AGCTTCCTCCGGGTCTCCCACTCGGGTGCAGGGGCCCAAGCACTTGGGCCATCTTCCACTGCTTTCCCAGGCCATAGCAGAGAGCTGGATTGGAAGAGGAGCAGCTGGGACCAGAACCGGTGCCCATATGGGATGCCAATGCTTTAGGGCAGGGCTTTATCCCACTGCACCACAGCGCTGACCCCTCCATTATTTTTAAAGGTTTTGTTTTTGTTTTTGTTTTTTAAGCATATCTTTATTCACTATCTGGTTATTTTCTCTCCCTAAGCTTTCTCTGGCTTCCATTTTTAAAACATCAGCCCTCATTGTCATTTGTGATTTTTTTCTTTAAGATTTATCTTATGTACTTGAAATTCAGAGTTACACAGAGAGAGAAGGAGAGGCAGAGAGAATTCTTCCATCTGCTGGTTCACTCCCCAATTGTCCGCAACGGCTGGAGCTGTGCTGATCCAAAGCCAGGACCCAGGAGCTTCTTCAGGGTCTCCCATGTGGGTGCAGGGGCCCAAGGACTTGAGCCATCTTTTTTTTTTTTTTTTTTGATTCCATAAAAACTTTATTTGACAGAGTTAGAGACAGAGAGAAAGGTTTTCCTTCCGTTGGTTCACCCCTCAAATGGCCCCTACAGCTGGAGCTATGCCAATCCGAAGGCATTAGCCAGGTGCCTGCTCCTGGTATCCCATGCTGGCGCAGAGGCCCAAGCACTTGGGCCATCCTCCACTGCCTTCCCAGGCCACAGCAGAGAGCTGAACTGGAAGAGGAGAAACCGGGACCAGAACCCGGCGCCCATATGGGATGCTGGCGCCCTAGGCGGTAGATAGACCAAGTGAGCCACGGCGCGGGCCCCTCAGTTTTTTTTTTTTTTTTTACCATGATGCATTTACGTATTTGTGTTTGCAGTTTCTTTTAATCTGTCCAGCTTAAGATTCATTAAGCTTTGTGAATACGAGGGCTAGAGTTTCTTCATCAGTTTTGAGTACTTCTGAGCTGGATATTTTAATATCTTTTTTTTTTTTTTTTTAAACAAAAGTGTTTCCTACAGTTCTTTATTTCCTTTTGAAATTCTAGGTAGATGAAATATCCTTTCAGTCTTCCAGGTCTTTAAATTGCTTGTTTTTACCATTATTTACTTTGGACTTCATTTGGGGCTATTACTTCAGTCTGTCTTGCAGTTAACATTTTCCAGCTGTATTTAACTTGTCAAATCCATCTTCAATTTCAATAATTATGTTTTTATTTCTGTAATTTTTATTTGGCTCATTTTCAGATCTTCGCAGTGTTTTATAGGATCCCATTAAGTTTTAATATACCTGACCATTTTGTTAAGATTTTGTGCATCTAATTCTCCTCTGTCCTTGTCTCTTTCCCTTTTCTCACCTCAGTTTCTTTACTGTAAAATGGTGGTAACACTACTAATAACACCAATTACATCATGACTTTCTATGAGTTAAGGTAATTTAATATATTGCATAGTATGTGGCATTAGTTAATGCTTAGTGACGTGTACCCCATTATAATAATTTGAGATAGTGAAATATGTTTAGTGTATGAGTATAATGAGATTTTACAAAGGCTTCAAATTTTATGTAAAATAACTAGAGTAAATATGTAGATACACTATAGCCTGTATAGCAAGATAATATTATATAGGGCGAGAGTTGTGCCGCAGCAGATTAAGCTGCTGCTTTTGCCACTAGCATCCCATGTGAGAGTGTCCATTGACTCCCAGCTGCCCTGTTCCCCGTCCACTTCCTTGCTAATGTACTGGGAAGGCAGTAAGAAGATGCCCAAAGTACTGGAGCCTCCGCAACCTACATGGAAGACCAGGATGGAGTTCTTTCCTCCTGGCTTCAGCCTGGCCTGGAATTGCTGTTGCAGCCATTTGGGGAATGAGTCAATGAATGTAAGGTCTCTCTGTCACTCTGCCTTTCACATAAATAAATACATTTTCAAAAAAATGTAATGTGTTTATCATGTATTAAATCATGTGTCTGGGGCCGGTGCTGTGGTGTAGTGGGTGAAGTCACCACCGCCTGCAGTTGCCGGTGTACCATGTGGATGCTGGTTCAAGTCCCGGCTGTTCCACTTCTGATCCAGCTCTCTGCTATGGCCTGGGAAAGCAGTAGAGGATGGCCCAAATCCTTGGACCTCTGCACCCACATGGGAGACCCATAGGAGGCTCCTGGCTTCAGATCAGCGAAGCTCCAGCCATTGCGGCCAACTGGGGAATGCACCAGCAGATTGAAGACCTCTCTCTTCTCTGCCTCTCCTTCTCTCTCTGTGTAACTGACTTTGAAATAAATAAAAATAAATCCTAAAAAAAAATTATGTGTCTTACACAGTTTCAGTAAAGTTACAATAAGTTTATATTTGACAGAATAATTGTAAAATTAGTGTGAAAGAGCAGATAGATGAGGAACAATTTTGTTCTTTTGTGTTTGTTCCTTGCCTTTATAATGTTTTTAAGAATGTATTTGAGATAGGGCCAGCAGACGGAGATCTTCACCAGCTGATTCACTCCCCAAAAGCCTTCAAGAGCCAGGGCTGGGCCAGACTAAGGCTTGGAGCCTGTAAGTCCACTGGGTCTCCCACGTGGGTGTCAAGGACACAAGTACTGGAACCAGCATCGGCCGCTTCCCAGCATGTGCGTAAGCAGGAAGCTGGATGTGGGTGTCCCAAGCAGTGACTTACCCTGCTGCGCCAAATGCCCCGTTAAAATAGTTTCATCTCAGAGCTATTTAGGTACTGAGATCAAAGTTTGACTTTTTTTTAAGATTATTTATTACATAAGGGAGATTACAAAAAAGGCCCCTCATGAGCAGGAAAGAAGGGGCACCATTGAGAACTCATTCCCATAAAATTGATCTCAGAATTCTAGATATCTTTCCTGTATAGATGACAGACTACAAGAATACTTGAAGTTCCAAAGCAGAAGAATTATAAGCTACTTTCTTGGATTCTTATTGTTTGATTTAGTCATGATCTGATTTATAGAACTTGGCACTTTGACTATCAGTTATACTTAGTGGTACAGATGATTTTTTCCTGTAGGCCTTACACTAGACATGACCTAATTTCCTGTTCATCATCTAAGATGGTTTAATATTTCCAACAGTAGCTGTATGGCATATTTGTTTTTTTTTTTTTTTTTTTGACAGGCAGAGTGGACAGTGAGAGAGAGACAGAGAGAAAGGTCTTCCTTTGCCGTTGGTTCACCCTCCAATGGCCGCCGCTGCAGCCGGCGCACCGCGCTGATCCGATGGCAGGAGCCAGGAGCCAGGTGCTTTTTCCTGGTCTCCCATGGGGTGCAGGGCCCAAGCACCTGGGCCATCCTCCACTGCACTCCCTGGCCATAGCAGAGAGCTGGCCTGGAAGAAGGGCAACCGGGACAGAATCCGGCGCCCCAGCCGGGACTAGAACCCGGTGTGCCGGCGCCGCAAGGTGGAGGATTAGCCTATTGAGCCACGGCGCCGGCCAGCATATTTGTTCATGTGGATATTTATTGAGTACTCCTAGGTTTAGGTGTTGATAAAAAGCAGTGGATGAAAATAGCTGATTCCCTGCTTACTTCACTAATACTAATGTCATATTTACTGAACATTTATGGTTGTAACATGCTTTATATGTCATTTAATACATCTTTAAAAAGCTTTATTTATTTTGAAAGTCTTATAGAGAGAGGGAGACATAGAGATCTATCCACACTGGTTCACTCCCCTGATAGCTCCAACAACTAGGGCTCAGCAAGGCCAAAGCCAGGAGTTTCATCCGGGTCTCCCCTGTAGGTGGTAGGGGCCCAATCACTTGGGTTATCTTCCACTGCTTTTCCCAGACCATTAGCAGGAAGCTGGATTGAAAGTGGAGCAACTGGGACTGAAACTGACACCCTTATGGGATGATGGTGGTGCAAGTGGTAGCTTTACCCATCGTACCATAATGCAGTCCCCATTTAATCTTTTTTTTTTTTTTTTTTTTTTTTTTTTTTTTTTTGTTCTCACACAGAGTGGACAGTGAGAGAGAGAGACAGAGAGAAAGGTCTTCCTTTGCCGTTGGTTCACCCTCCAATGGCTGCCGCGGATGCCACACTGCGGCCGGTGCACCGCGCTGATCCGATGGCAGGAGCCAGGTGCTTATCCTGGTCTCCCATGGGGTGCAGGGCCCAAGCACTTGGGCCATCGTCCACTGCACTCCCTGGCCACAGCAGAGAGCTGGCCTGGAAGAGGGGCAACCGGGACAGAATCTGGCACCCTGACCGGGACTAGAACCTGGTGTGCCGGCGCTGTAAGGTGGAGGATTAGCCTAGTGAGCTGCGGCGCCGGCCCCATTTAATCTTTCAAAAAAGCTATACAACAGGTAGTGTAGCTATCCCTGGTTTACGTGCAAATGTTTAGATACTTGTGTACATGGCATAAGGACATGTCACAGGGGTGATGAGGGTCAAATTCCATCAGATGAATACAGAATGTTTTCTGCCTGTTAGTTGTACATGCCAGCAGACCATAGCTGTGCTCGTTGCCTATTATTGGAGCATGATAAGATACATAGTGTTGGGTGGTCATGTACTGTGCTAATTTAAGGGATTGCCAAAATCTTGTCTACCATGGTTTCCCCGCCAGTATATACCGTGTATCTGTTATACTTAAAAGTATTTTTCCCATGCCTTCACAGGTCATTGTGATAGAAGTATAAAGGGTACTTTTAGTAAGTTTAATTTCTGTTACTGTTTTGCTTTAAATTGATCAAAGTTTAATTATTAAAGGATGTTTCCCCTTGGTTTTATATCTACCCATGTATGTATGTATCATAGGGTGATTTGTGTTGTCTAGTTGTTAGTTAAAATCAGTGTTTTTTCCTTGGAGCCTTGGTTCTGTGAGACTACTCCCAGATTAAATGGTTATCTTAGAGAATCAGCAAACAGTGCATTTGTTGTCTCTGGCAGTTAACTGCTGGTGATGGTGATGTGGAACAGAGCCTAACTCTTCTTTCTTTTCTGGGTGTCTTAGCAACAGCTAGAAGAGGAAGCAGCCAAACCTCCTGAACCTGAGAAGCCTGTGTCTCCTCCTCCAGTGGAGCAGAAACACCGGAGCATCGTCCAGATTATTTATGATGAGAATCGGGTAAGCTTGTGCTGGCGTCTGATTTCTACTATTGTTTTTAATGCTCATAAACTTTTGTTGCAAAGATTGATGTTTTTTCCTTATACAGTAAAAAAAAGTTGATAATTGTACTTTAATATTTCACTTTAGGTTATCTATTATATAAGTATTATTTAATGAGTAGAATTTTATCACCTGAGTCTCCTGTTGTAGGAATATTTACAAGCAAATTTGGTAGCACCTAATACCAAATATCTATACTGTAGTTTTCAATTTGTAAGGGGGATTTAATTAGGTGACTACGGTACCATTTTGGTACAAATCGGCCATTGAATGTGGACATGGACTTCATTATCAGATTCAAATTCATAGTTGGGCTATGTTTGACCTGTATTTCTAGAGTTCAGAGTACACTTAACTGTTTTGTTTTTTTTGTGTGTGTTTGTTTGGGGACAGGCAGCGTTAGAGACAGAGAGAAAGGCCTTCCTTTTCCATTGGTTCACCCCCCAAATGGCCGCTACGGCCAGCGTGCTGCACCGCTCCGAAGCCAGGAGCCAGGTGCTTCTTCCTGGTCTCCCATGCGGGTGCAGGGCCCAAGCACTTGGGCCATCCTCCACTGCCTTCCCGGGCCACAGCAGAGAGCTGGACTGGAAGAGGAGCAACCGGGACAGAATCTGGCGGCCCAACCAGGACTAGAACCCGGTGTGCCGGTGCCGCAAGGTGGAGGATTAGCCTAGTGAGCCGCGGTGCCGGCCAGTACACTTAACTTTTTAAAGATTTATTAAAACAATTTCTTCTTTCATACCCTTAATAAAAGCGTTCACAGATTTAAGAAAACCAGGCCTGAATTCCATGATAACTTTTGTGATGTCACAGATTTTAAAACTAATTATTTGAAAAGCAGAGTGATAGAGATAGGGGGACTTAGAGATCTTCCATCTGCTAATTCACTCTCCAAATGGCCACAACTGCTGGAGCTGTGTTAGGCTGAAGTCACATGCTAGGAGCCCCATCTGGATCTCCCATGTTGGGTGGCAGGGACTCAGGTACCTGAGCTGTCATGTTTCCCAGGTACATTGGCAGGAAGCTGGATTGGAAGCAGGGCCGCCAAGGCTTGATGTGGGATGTGGGCCTCCCAAGTAGTCACTGACCTGCTGCACCACAGTTGTTTCACTTAAAATTGGCTTTTTAATTTGGCTCAGGAACTAGCAGTTAAAAGGAAAGTCATTTACCCTCAGTATAAAGAAAATGCTTCAACAAAACTACTTAACAAAGTAGGCTTTCAGAAGTCCTCAATCCAAAAGTATATGCTTTCTTCCTTCCTTCCTTCCTTGTTTTTTTTTTTTTTTTTTTTTTTTTTTTTTTTTTTTTTAAGATTTATTTATTGGCCGGCACCGTGGCTGAATAGGCGGCGCTGGCACCCTGGGTTCTAGTCCTGGTTGGGGCGCCGGATTCTGTCCCAGTTGCCCCTCTTCCAGTCCAGCTTTCTGCTGTGGCCCAGGAGTGCAGTGGAGGATGGCCAAGTGCTTAGGCCCTGCGCCCACATGGGAGACCAGGAGAAGCACCTGGCTTCTGGGTTCGGATCAACGCAGTACGCCGGCCGCAGCAGCTATTGTGGGGTGAACCAACGGAAAAGGAAGACCTTTCTCTCTGTCTCTCTCTCTCTCTCTCTCTCACTGTCCACTCTGCCTGTCCAAAAAAAAAAAAAAAAAAAATTATTTATTTTCAAGGCCTCACTGGAATGTAAGAAATGAAAAATAGTGAGCAAGATTCGGTAGAGAATTCCAGTTTGTGTTTAGTTTTTGTATATAGAAAGATGCTTTCATCAATCTGATAAATGTTTCTTGGTGTCCAGTGTCCATTAACATCACTTGAAAACTCCTTTCAGGCCTCTTCTTGCTCTTTTAGCTTTTATGGATTTTTAGCTTTTATGGATTTGGTTTGTGTTCATTTTTTGAAGAAAAGAAATTGAAAATAATTTTTTTTTAGTATTAGATTGTTTTAAGCTTATTTGTAAGGCCAAGTTACAGAGAGAGGTCCTCCATTCACTGGTTCATTCCTCAAATGACTATAACAGCTGGGCCTGGGCCAGGCTGGAGCCAAGAGCTTCCCCCTGGTCTCCCACATGGGTGCAGGGGTCCAAGCACTGGGGCCATCATCCACTGCTTTCCCTGGCACATTGCCAGGGAGCTAGATTGGAAGTGGAGCAGTTGGGACTTAAACTGGCACCCAAATGGGATGCTGGCACTGCAGATACCTACTTACCCCACTAAACCACAGCGCCAGCCCCTGGACTTACCTTCTTACAGTGAAGTGGAAGTAACTCACAGTAACTGTAGTAGTCATCTTTTATATAGTAAAAAAATTGTATTCTAGCAGTAGTCATGTGCTGGGCTTGTATTTGCACAGTTCTAGAATCTAAGACCTTCACTGCCTCTTTAGGTCTTTTTGGTGAATGACCTTACTTGTCTTGACTACTGGCATGGATGGATGGGGCAAAGACAAAAGAACATCTCCCCCTTTTCCTTGTGTGACAGTAGTCTTTTATGGTTGGAAGTAAGCCAAGTGTGGCTTAATAGATGGGACCATTATCACATATAAGACATTCTCTCATTTAGGAAGTTAGAATAAGAAAGAAAGCCGTCCCAAAGTGACTAATTTTAACATTGGCTTACTAAGAGAAAAGTTGACTTGGCATCATATTTAAACTTTAGACCAAGTTTGTTTAGTCTCTAAACAGACTGTTCTCCTGAAATATTTTTTTAAAGATTTATTTTAAAGGCAGAGTTAGAGAGAGAGAGGTTTTCCATCTGCTGGTTCACTCCCCAGATGGTCACAGCAGCCGGAGCTGCACCGATCTGAAGCCAGGATCCAGGAGCTTCCTCTGGGTCTCCCATGCAGGTGCAGGGGTCCAAGCACTTGGGTCTTTTTTATTGCTTTCCCAGGCCATAGCAGAGCTGAATTGAAAGTGGAGCAGCCAAGACTCGAACCAGCATTCACATGGGATGCCAAAACTGCAGGTAGCAGCTTTACCTGCTATGCCACCGTGCTGGATCCTCCTGAACTATTATTAATAATTAACAATTCAGTTTGCTAGTACCCTGCTCAATTGTGAGTTCCAAAAACATTCACAAATGTTTATACAATTTAATAATACACATAAAAAACTTAGTTGTGAGGAGGTTTCAGAAACATCATGCTTGTATCTTTCTTTTAAAGATTTATTTATTTATTTGAAAGTCAGTTATACACATAGAGGAGTGGCAGAGAGAGATCTTCCATCTGCTAGCTCACTCCCCAGTTGGCTGCAATTGGCCCCACCCACCATACCAGAGCACCTGCCCCATATGTTTTAAAAGTATTTATTTATTTGAGAGAGAGAATGAGCATTCTCGTCCGTTGGTTCATTCCCCAAATGACTGCAATGGTCAGGACTCTGCTGAAGCTGGGAACAAGAAACTCCATCCAGATCTCCCACAGACGTAGAAGGAACCCAACTGCTTGAGGCATTACCACTGCCTCCCAGCATCCACATTAGCAGGAAGCTGGAGTTGGGACACAGAACTATTGATCCAAACCAGACACTCTAATGTGGGACAGGGGCATCCTAATGGGTGTCATAACCACGGGACCTAACACTGCCCTCCTTATATTTCGATTGGATGAGTTGTAAGAGAATGATTAACAGAAGAAAAGTGTCCGTAGCAGAGAGGACATTTAGTGCCACGATCTCTGGTCTCCTCGGCCAGTGCCCTAGGAATTATCTGTTGCTCTCCCTTTGCCTCTCCATGTATGTTTAGTTAGTCAATGAAGAGCTTCAGGTTCTGCTTTCTGAATACTGGTCTGGTCAGTCTCCTCCCCATTTGCCATTTAGTTTAGTTCGAGCCTTCATCTCTCAGTTACTGAATCTCTTTCTTTCAGCTCCTTTTCTTTCTAACTCATCCTTCATGTTTGTGTCCTATTGCGTAATTCTCCAAATAAAGCCTTGGATGATTTCCACCTTTCTACAGAATAGCCCAAACTTTTTATTGGTGCTTACAAGCCTATTTTTCTGGGCTTTGCCTATACTCCTTTCTTAGTGATAGCTTACCACAACAGACTGAGAGTGTTCACTTGAAGTTGCAGGCACCTTGACCCCATGGTGTTTCCCATGCCTGTAGGTGGTCACTGTTTTGTCTTTCCTGTTTGTCCAACACACTCAAACTTCAAGACCCAGGGCAAATACCATTCTCTCTCTGAAGCCTTATACTTCAATGTGGCAAGGGTTACCTTCTCCTTGTCTTAGAGTCTAGCAAATGCCTGGCACATACAGTGTTCTCAACACATGTTTGAAGAAACAATTACTTCTATTTGTATACTTAGAATAAAGTGTATAACATGGAAATAAAACAGTGTTAAGTTAAAACTATTGATAGTTTTTATTCTTTTCAAGGAAGATTTCTGTTGGATAGCACTTTCAAAATTGACATGTTAAAATACATATATAAGTGAACATTTATTTACTATTGAGTACTTATAAACTAGCTGTTTACTTTGTTATTCAACTGTTACTATGATAGGAAAGAAACTAATTGTAAGTTTTTCTTCAAAGAAACCAGTTTGGTTTACCACACAAAAGACTGGCCACTTTATGTTATTTATTCTTACTAAACTTCACTAAAGAAGATATCAGTTAAAGTATGTAACATGTTTCCAATAAAGAATGGTGACTTCCTCTCTTCAGATTATCAGGATCTGTTTGCTTTTAGGAATTCCTTAGGTATTGCTTTCAGTACACATGTTTACCTTATAACAGAAGAATTTTTGACAATAAGAATGAATTTAGCTGTAGGTCAGTCTTAGATAAATATTGTTAAATAGGTAGTGATTTTACACTTATGTAATCTGATTTTTAATTTCCACCATACAACAATGTCTTTATCTCTAGAAAAAAGCAGAAGAAGCTCATAAAATTTTTGAAGGTCTTGGCCCAAAAGTTGAACTGGTAAGTAAGAAATTTCTGTTTTTCTTTCCAGCAATTTTTCTTTCTTTCTTTTTTCTTTTTGTTATAGCTCTTCTTGGGATAAAATGGAATATAACACAGTTATTTTGAGATGAGAGAAGTGTAGCTGGACAAGACGTTTATGATCAGGTTTAAAATCACGGTTAATGAACTTGGTTATGTTGCAGAAGCATCATCCTGAGCATGTTTTTGTCTGAACAACCATTTAATCACTCCAGGTGGAAGGGAAAAAAAAAATCAAGAACAGAACTAGCCCTTCAGATCATAATGTAGAGTAGTGACATTGCTTACTCTTCCTTTCTCTTTGAAATTAAAAATCTAAGACTAGTTGTATTTAGCATGTGATATAGTGAATTTGTAAACTTTCCTCAAGAAGTGATATTATCAGAGGTTGAGATCAACATAATTATTTAGGGTTCCCAAAAGTCTGGAGGTTTGGTAAGAGTATGTTATTATGTAGACCCATTAGTACTTTACCTAGGCATACCTTAAAGTATTGTGTTTTATCACTTCATAGACATAGGTACATTTTATACATACATATTTGATTTCTTTTGTAGCCACTCTATAACCAGCCATCAGATACCAAGGTGTACCATGAGAACATCAAGACGTAAGTATTTCTCATTTTTGCAGTTTTGCAGTTAAAGACTTATATTTTATAAAGAGATCATTTTTATGTTATCTGCTGACATTACTTAAAATAGTATAGGTATGTTTTAGATTTGTGTAATTTGCTGTCATTTTACTATATGTTATCTTCCTCTGGCTTCTTGGGGGTTGGGGTGACAGCTTTGAGTTTCCGAGGCCAAAAAATAAAATAAATTATTGCATAAAACTAGCTGGTTTTATAATCTGCTAGTAAAAAAAAAAAAGGTGGATACTTAACATTGAAATGGCTTACCTTGAGGCTTGAATTTTTTGCCTCCTGTTTTGTCTTTTTTTCAGTGGAGTACCTGCAAGGCGCATGATGAAGTAAGATAATGAAGCTTTTTCATTTAAGACTAGTGATGACACCGTCCCCCACCAAGCCACATCTGCCATTGCAAAGTAGAAGTGCCACGGATCATTTTATCATTATTCAAAATCCTATTCTAGGGAAATCCCTTCCATGACTCTTGCTAATGACGGTATTTGTAGACCCTTCTGCCATTTAAATGTCCTGGTGCCTTGGAAGCGCTCAGTCACCTCACGTGGGTGAGGAGGCTGCTCCAGAATGTAGTTTGCTTACTAGCCTTGCTTATCCGAGTACCAGGCCTTTATGGATGCAGATTTTGGAATAAGAAAATAAGTGAAAAGAAAACCTAATTTCTTGATCTGATTGAAGGAAGAGAGGAAGCTAGATAGGTATCTTTTTTTTTTTTTTTAATTATCATAGTTAAAAATTTTAGGTGAATTATTCTTAGTTTGTTACAAAAATGTGATATTTCTACTTTATATGTTTTATTAAGTATAACCAGAACATTATAATTATTTTACTGGTATAGTTACTAATGAGCACATTGCTATTTATATATCTATTTTTTTTCTTTTAAAAATTTCTAATTGAGTGTGTGCAATAGTTAACTACTTTGCAGAACTGGTGGCAAATATAGTTTGCATGGTAGTATGCATGAAAATAATTGAAGTTTGAATAATTTTGACTTTTGTTAAGTGGTTCCTAATGGAAGTCATATACTTATGCATTTTTCTGTGAGATGCTGCTATGATATTGAGAACCCTTAGAAGCAGACAAGGCAAAAGTCATGTAAAGCATATTTTGTTTTGGAACTGTTTAGCTGTTTTAACATTTTTAAAAAGAAGAGTAGTAGATAAAATCTAGTTGGCTACTTTTAATGACTCTCTTTCCACACAAAGCTTCAGTTATGTGTGTATTCTGTCTTTTTTCTCCCGATATACGTTAGAGAGCATCTGTGTCTTTGATTTATTTACATTGCCTGTTTAATGCTCATCACATTTTCCTGAGATGGGTTGTTGACTAGATGACTTCATTTAAATTCTTAGCAAACATTTAAAATTGTACTTCCTGATTGTTGTTTGCCTTTGAGTAACACATAATCACAATTAGAGCCAACTGAGCACTTGGGAATGCCCCCACTGTAGATACCTCTGCGGTATTCACTCAGCTGCATGCACCCATGTGAAATGTTGAGTAGCTCTTCTTTTATCATCATCATTTGCTTTGTATGAAATAGCAAATGTACCATTTAATGATTCTTTTCATCTTTTGGCTACTTTTTCATATAGCCAGCTCCTGATTGTCCATGCTTATTTGAGTGGAGCCAGTGTCACTGTTAGTCCCGAGTGACAGATAATCCAAAAACTTTACTTCTACTTGCCTTGGCTTTGTATTTATATTTGAATAATCAGCTTGAAATCCTTTCTGGAAGTAGGTGGGGTATAAATATTTATGTTTGAACCTGCATGTCATTGTTTTTGAAGATCACAATGCTTCACATTTAAAAAGTGAAACTGTCATGTTAAGATACATGAGAAACCTTCCTGTCTTGTCACATTGCCATCCATTACTTAGCATGGGTTGTGTTGTTTCTGTGACTGAAGTCAGTCTTCTGTTTAGTGCAGAAGTCACTTCACTAAATGTGTTGATGTGCCTTCTCCTCAGAGAGGGGAGCACCTTACCTGAAGAGGGGGGTAACTGTAAAAGCTCCTTTTTTTCTTCTCACCTCCCGTTCACCAGGAGTATTCAAAGGTACTGGTATCATCAGAGTTCTCAAGAAGAATCAGTAACTGTATAATTATAATTTTGGAATAATATGCCCCATAATGTGACATATTGAAAATTATTCTTATAAAGTCTTGCTATAGAGTGGGAGGAATTTCAGTCTTTTCTAAACATTGCAAAAATTACAAAGTTTTATTTTGCAGGGTGAAAAAATTAGGATTAACTTTGATCACATCGTAGAGTCTTAAGTGCTCTTTGCCTGTTTTACAGTGTGTCTGGAAAAATAAATACACCATTAAATTGTGCTTTTTCTTAATGTCATGCAACCATATTTTTCTCTTCTAGAAACCAGGTGATGAGGAAAAAACTCATTTTATTTTTTAAAAGAAGAAATCATGCAAGAAAACAAAGGGTGAGGTCCTATCCTTGTTAACTGAAATTTGTACAGCTTTCACATTCATACTCATTTAGGCATTCACTTTCCCATTATTAGAGGAAATAGTTCTTAATTTTATTTAAAAATAAATGCTGATCTAGACACTAACAGTACATGTGACAAATATTAATATAATTCTAGTAACATTTTGATATTATAAATCACATTTAGTATCATTATCAAATTAATTTCACTAGTCATCTAAGTATAATATTTTCATCTAACCAAATAAAGAAAATGGTGAGTAGTTATAAAAATATTAAGGATAAGCAGGATCTTCTACATTTACTCTCTTAAGCCTCAAACAAATGTGGGTAAGTTATAGTTATGCTGAGTAGACATTACTGTTATTTTTTTACTTGAAACTGTGTAAGCTAGGTTTCAGGTTTCAAAATTCAAATAGTTCTCATTCAGTTATGATTTGCTGTTTCAAAGTTTTGTGATTATAATTTTTCTGAAAACAAAGTTATAGAAAATGTTAATATTTTTATTTCCATGTTCTAATTTTACAGAAAATGTTGATACATTTAAATTCAAATATTTAATAAATGAATGGTGCTCTTTAAATCTACATTGAAAATGAACTTTGTGCCTTATGTGGAGAGTTTAATGAGCTGTAAAACTCGGGAGGCAATGATGTGTTTTCATGTAAAGCTGATGTTCTGGTCTGCCAGTCTTTAAGCCTTCAGATACGGTCTTAAATTGCTGGTCTTGATTTTTTTTTTTGCCAAGAATGTGCAAATTAAGTAAGAAATTAACTCAGGTTTTTTTCTGCATAGCAATTTTGTTATAATAGCTAAGTTAGCTCTTTGTTGATCAAATACAGGAGCGCAAACTTTTTCACACTTCAGAGTGTAATTGTAAAATTTGTGTGTTCACTGATTTGCTGAATAAATATTTATTGACTGTGTTCTCCATCACGTATATTATTCTACACAGGTGAGCAAGATTGTCATATGGTTTCAGCCCTTAGGGAGCAGAGAGGTCAGCAGGCACTGCGATATTGTGATCATCTTGCAGCTACAGACATACAGATGACTGTGACGGGGAAACCTTGTTGCAGATATGAATCAGAAAGGGAAGTTGTACAGAAAACCATACATTGTGTAGACTTGTTCTAGCAGAGGGACTAGCGTAAGGAAAAGTGGAGAAAGTATGGCCGATTCAGAGGTGGCTGAGCTGAGACTTAGTTGGGAGTGAGGTAAGATATGGGAAGGTGGCCTGAGTTGTGTACTGCTTTGGGAGTGACCTAGGAGATTGTGGATCAGATCCTGAGGACACCTTACAAGTTTTTAAACTGAGACGGTTCAGGTTTGTGTTTTTAAGACTTTGGCTGCAGCATTAAGAATGTGTAGAATACATTTTGGAGACTATTATTTTAACCAGGTCAAGGGATGATTTACTCTAGATTATGGAGGTAGGAGTAGAAGTAAAGAAGATGAAGGTGAAGGATGCCAAAGAGACGTGGGAGTTGAGCAGGATGACCAGGAAGTGGTGGTGTGGTGTGGTGTGCTGCAGGGTGTGTGAAGCAGATAACACCCCTTTCTCCAGTGCCACTGTGCTGAGATGACCAATGCTAGTGTTTGAGTCCTTGTGCCCTTCTCTGTGTTCATGTGTGTCAGATACATTCACAGTTCAATGTTCATGAAGGAGAGTTCTTCTGTCTTCTCTGTTTAAGAAAATGAAGTCATAAAACATTTATCGGAAAGCATTAATACATACTTCACTGGGTTTCTTTTTTATCATAAAGTATATGTACCTTTCCCACACTGTCAGAAATGTCTGTTACATAGCATTTGTTTATGATTACAAAAATCTGCAAGCAACAGAAATTTCAACAATAGAGGGACAGTTAAAATGTGCATGTTTGCTCTGACAGATTGGAAGAATAACAAGAAGATGTTAATGTGATTGCCTATGGGTGATTGGTCAGATTGTGAACTGCTTATAAATTTTTTTTTTTTTTTTTGACAACAAAGACATGGTTATCAGGAAAATAAAAGCTGGTCAGTGGCTACTAGTTGTTTAATTAATTGATAATTTGTGTAGTCTTAATGTTAACTAAAAAATCCAGCCAAAATATGCTTTATATGCTGATTTCAGATAGGAATCAGAGTTCCTTTTCTTTCTCCTCTTTTAGATCAAAGACATTTTCTTTCACAATTGAGCCATAGGCCACATGTACTTCTGACTTAACCTTAAGAGGTAGCATATATTTTACGGTATTAGGTTTGTCAGAATCAGTTTCATTTAATTATTATTAATTTGCTACGGGTATTTAATAGGAACAAAAAATCTGCCAGCGTTATGATCAGCTCATGGAGGCGTGGGAGAAAAAAGTGGACAGAATAGAAAATAATCCTCGGAGGAAAGCTAAAGAAAGCAAAACAAGAGAGTACTATGAAAAGCAGTTTCCAGAAATTCGAAAACAAAGAGAACAGCAAGAAAGATTTCAACGGTAAGTAGTTTGATGTTTAATGGCTGTGGTATTTTTCTTCAAATCACATTTCTGTTCTTTCACAATATTTATAGTTTCCTGAGTCTGATCATTAAGAAACTTTGTAAAGGGGTAGGTGTTGTGGCATAGTGGGTTAAGCCACCACCTGTGATGCCAGCATACCATGTGTGCCAGTTTTTGTCCAGGCTGCTTCACCTCTTCTTCTTCTTCTTTTTTTAAAGATTTTATTTGTTTACTTGAAAGTCAGAGTTATAGAGAGGCAGAGAGAGAGAGGGAGAGATCTTCCATCTGCTAGTTCGCTCCCCAAATGACCACAATTGCCGGAGATGGGCTGATCTGGAGCCAGGAGCCAGGAGCTTCTTCTGGGTCCCCCACATGAGTACAGGGGCCGAAACACTTGGACTGTCTTCCCCTGCTTTCCTAGGACATAGCAGAGAGCTGGATCGGAAGAGGAGCAGCTGGGACATGAACTGGCACCCATATATGATGCCAGCGCTGCAGGTGGAGCCTTTAGGCCGCTATGACACAGTGCTGGCCTCAAATAAATCTTTAAAAAAAATAAATAAATAAAGTTTTATAAAGAATTTTTATGCTGAATGTAAAATTTTATTACTAAGCATTAATATATCATATTGAACTTAATATTGTTATATTTAATCATATTGTTGAATCTAAATATGTGTATTTTTAAAAAATATGTGTATATTTTGAAATTGTTCAGTTCCTAAAAATATCAATTTTATTGATAATGGAAGTTAGTAATCACAGACTTGAATATCCCATAGTCCTCCATTTTCAGCTTAACGAAGCAGCATTAAATTAACCACTAATTAAGCAACTTTAATTTTGATAGAATAGTTTCTGATTTGTTTTGACTTTAGGACAGCATGTACTTTGTGAAGCTCTTAAAAGCTTTAGTTTTTTTCACTGCCTCATTTAAGAGTCATATAATCTCCTTTGCCCACAATTAAGTTTTTGTGAGGGATATTGTCTGTTTTTTCTTCCCTTTTTAAAACGTTTGACCTACTTTCTAGTTTGTTATCTTGTTTGCTAGAAGGCAGAAAAAAGATAACTGTTTGAGATTGAAATTGCATCATTCACTTTTTTTTGTAGAAGTTCCTCATAACTAGTTTTCTTTTAATTTGTTTATTTTCAGTACAGACTCATACACATACATACAACACACAAACACACATACACACACACACACAAAGCCATGAGTAGTTCTACCATTTGAATCTTGGACAAGTAATCTTTAGGTCAGTTGTGCATTTAAATTCTTATTAATTTAATAGGTGACTCAAGCTTGTTACTTAAAAGTAGTTCCTCAGTAGTATGGTGGTATCTTCTCTGACTTTTCACATGTTTAAAAAGACCCATTCAGGACTATAATTTAATTCAGTTGTGTTCTCTATGAAAGGCTTTTTAAATGTATTTTTACTTTCTTCCTCATATTCAGAGTTGGGCAAAGGGGAGCTGGTCTTTCAGCCACCATTGCTAGGAGTGAGCATGAGATTTCTGAAATTATTGATGGTCTCTCTGAACAGGAGGTAAGAAAATTAATTGATTTAATTCAAGTTGATGATTAATTATTAAAGCATTTTAGTGCCACAGCCCAGGATCTAAAGGTTTATTTGTATGTAGATGAAGGAACTTGAGGAACTTGGAGTTTAGACTGTTTCAAAGATACAAGCCAACCATTGAAGGGCTTTAGCCAAGGCATTCACATGATCATATTGGTATTTGGGATCAGGGAAATCTGGAGAGAGATGAATAATCTGTTATGATAAAATGAAAAATCTGAGTCAGGCGAATGGTGATGGGGTGTGGACTGATAACAGAGAGTAATTGAAGGTGGAATGGACAGAGTAAGGTAGATGGATTGGATATTTATGGTGAGAAAGGAGAGAGATGGAAAGGGACCCTTGATTTCCAGTTTGGGGACTGAGCTGGTGGTTCCATTTCCTGAAGTACTGAAGGAACATATGTTTCTCAGATGGCAATGTATTCTCCATAGGGTGCTCGTTTGCCTTGGGACAGAGTTGAACCAGAGAGACTTTATATCATAGCTGTGTGCAGGTAGACAGATCCCAGTGAAAGGGGAAGGTCTTGAATGACCATATAGGCATTAGAACTGAACAAGGGGTGGGCATTGTGGCAGAGCGGGTAAAGCCCTGGCCTGTGCCGCCAGCATCCCATGTAGGCGCCCGTTCGTGTCCTGGCTGCTCCACTTCCAATCCAGCTCTCTGCTAGTGGCCTGGGAAAGCAGAGGAGATGGCCCAAGTGTTTGGGCCCCTGCACCCATGTGGGAGACTGAGAAGAAGCTCCTGGCTTTGAATCAGCCCAGCTCCAGCATTGCGGCCATTGGGGAGTGAACCAGTGGATGGAAGACTTTTGTCTATAACTCTACCTCTTAAGTAAATACGTAAATCTTTAAAAAAACTGAATGCAAAAGATATTTTGCACCAAAGTAAGCTCATGCTGTTAATCTCATTTTCCGCCAAACTTTTTGAAGTACCCTTTGATGTATTGTCCGAGTCCAACAGCAGTGTTTCTACCCTTATGAGGGTTCCTCACTCAATTTTCTAAAACAGAATTAGTCAACATTGGATTAGTCTCACTTCACATTTGTGTCTGTTATGTGTTTTTTTTTTTTTTCTTCCTTCTTTCATTATTTATGATTGACTTGAGTGTTACCTTCATGAATGTGGTTATTTGGCCTTTGGGGTCATCTTGGAATTTTCAGTACCTCATATTTAGTAGCATATTAGTAAAAAAATGTAGAACAGATGAATTTTAATCACTAATATTGAGACTACTTAGCTTTGTTCCAAAACCCATCCTACTGCTTTGGATTTTTTGCAGCTTTTGATTTTATCTGTGGCTTTTCTTAAGCCTCATCTCAAAATTCTGAGGTTTGTGGTTATTTGAAGTGGTGACTCCTTTAATGATCTAGGGTTATTACTCTGCTGGGCCGGTGTGTGACACAGCTGCTTAAGCTGCTGCTTGGGACACTGGCATTCCCATGTTGAGTGCCCATTCAATTCCCAGCTACTGTGGTTCCCATTCAGCTCCCTGCTAATGTTCCCAGAAGCAGCAATGATGGTTTAAGAGTTAGAGTTCCCTTCACCTATGTGGGAGACCTGGATGATGTTCTTGGTTCTTGGCTTCAACCTGACCTAGCCTTGGTTGTTGAAGCCATTTGGAGAGCCACCAGATGGAAGATTAATTGATCTGTCTTCTCCACCCCTCTCCGCTCTGCATTTTGAATAAATAAATCTTGTGCTTTTTTTTTGAACAGACTATTAAGTGGCTATATATTTCAAAATAAATGTTACATGTTAATGTTTTTGAGGGCCTAATATACAGTTAATTACTTAAATTTATAAAATTAAGTAATTAAACTGAAATGTTGAATGATTCAGAAATATTTAGATAAGTAAAAATCCCTGCTTATATTTTGCTCAATGTATTTAAAGGTAAAATGTCGTGTCATGAGTCCTTCATACCCTCCACCCTTTAATACTGCTTCATCTGGCTAAGTTCTCTTTCTTTTTGTGGGTATTGTTGGTTTGGGATGTGGTGGAATAATTATGCTTGCTTTTGTTTGTTTTAAAGATTTATTTATTTATTTGAAAGGCAGAGTTACAGAGAGAAAGTCTTCCATCTGCTGTCACTCTCCAGATTACTGTAATGGCCAGAACTACACTGATCTGAAGACAGGAGCTTCTTCTGGGTCTCCCACACGGGTGAAGGGGCCCAAGGACTTGGGCCATCTTCTACTTCTTTCCCAGGCCATAGCAGAGAGCTGGATTGGAAGTGGAGCAGCTTGGTCTCAAACCGGTGCCCATGTGGGGTGCTGGCACTGCAGATGGTGGCTTTATCCGCAACATCACAGTGCCGGCCCCTATGTTTGCTTTTTTAAGGAGGGCAAGTTAAATATAGTTACTCCTTAAAATTGCCAGCTGTGCTGTTATGTATATGTATATGTGTATATATATATATAAAATCTTACGTAAACATTGTGAAAGTTCTGTAGAATAGAGAGTTGTAACTGGCTCTATTTTGCAAGGCATAGCTGTGGATTGAATAATTTGCCCAAGGTCACAGACTAGTAAATTATAGAACCAGAAATCTGATTCTAGAACTTTGTGTTCTCTTCCATATCTATACTCAGTCAAATCCACTCTTTCAACGGATATTCACACCTTCCCTGTTAGGTGCCAAACTTTGTTCTAGGCATTGGGAATACAACAGTGAGTGAAGCCATTAAGGTATAGGATCTCATGATATTAAATCACTAGTGAGGAAGATAAAGATTTAAAAGTTTGAATAATATTCACTTAGTCTGTGTTATAGAAAACACAGTCTGTGAGTTTTTTTCCAGGATGAGAAAATAACCCATTTATACAGAGTTTGTGTTTCTTGATAATTTGTGGCAGGATTCTATGAGTGGTTGATTACTGTTTTGCATTCATAATTGAGTAAGAGTGTGTCATATATTCTTCCAGCCTCTTATGTTTCAGAATTCTAGTCAGAATATCCCTGGAGGGGATGAAATACTGTAGAAGCTCTGGAGGTACTTGAGCCACTTTAGATGTCAGACTGTTGTTGGTCAGAAATAGATTTTTGTAGGTGGTTTTCTTTCCCTCCTTTTTGACTTCTTATATCCTCTTTTCCCAAGGAGAGGCTCTAAAGTGGTTTGGGAGCCTGTTCAAAACATAATAGTGCCAGCGCCGCGGCTTACTAGGCTAATCCTCCGCCTTGTGGCGCCAGCACACCGGGTTCTAGTCCCGGTCGGGGAACCGGATTCTGTCGCGGTTGCCCCTCTTCCAGGCCAGCTCTCTGCTGCGGCCCGGGAGTGCAGTGGAGGATGGTTCAAGTGCTTGGGCCCTGCACCCCATGGGAGACCAGGATAAGTACCTGGCTCCTGCCATCGGATCAGCGCAGCGCGCCAGCTGCGGCGGCCATTGGAGGGTGAACCAACGGCAAAGGAAGACCTTTCTCTCTCTGTCTCTCTCTCTCACTGTCCACTCTGCCTGTCAAAAAAAAATTATAATAATAAAAAATAAATAAAAAACCATAATAGTAGTATTGTTTTTGTTGTTGAGAATATACTTTTTTAATGATCATTGTAATTAAAAATTTATTTATTTATATGAAAGGCAGATTTACGAGGGGGGTGCAGGGAGACATAGATCTTCCATTCTGTGGTTCACTCTCCAAATGGCCGCAACAGCTGGAACTGGGCTGGTCCGAAGCCATGAGCCAGGAGCTTCTTCTGGGTTTCCCAAGTGGGAGCAGGGACCCAGGCACTTGGGCCGTCTCCTGGTCTCCCAGCTGTATTAACAGAGATCTGGTTTGGAAGTGGAGCAGCCAGGACTTGAAATGGCTGCCATAAGGCATGCGTGGCGCTGGTGTTACCCTACACCACAGTGATGGCCTTAGGACAATTGTAATATTCAGTCAGACATATGGGACTGTTTTACTCAAACATTTCATTACGCTGTTAATGTTGAGGATTCAGTCATTCCTAAAGCTGTATTTAAGATCTTCTAAGCATGTTCCAGAGCACGTTAGCCTCACTTCTGTCCAGGCAGTGTTAGATATACTCCTTTAGGAATACTTTGTTGCCCTTGGAAAATTTCATGCAGAAAAACCACATGTATATATTTAATAACTTTGCATCTTTTAGTAGTATATTCAGAAGCTTTAAAACATAACCATAAAGGCAGGCATTTGGCCTAGCAGTTACAGTGCCTGCATCCCACATTCAAGTACCTGAGCTCAAGTTCTGGCTCCATCTCCTGACTCTAGCTTCCTGCTAATGTATAGATCTTGGGAGGCAGCACTGATAGCCAAGTAATTGGGTCTCTGTTACCAATGTGGGGGACTGGATTGAGTGCTATACCTTCTGATTTCTTTCCCTTGCCATTATGGGAATTTGGCACGTGAACCAGCAGATGAGAACTCTCTGTCTCTATCTGCCTCTCAAATACATAGATAAAAATTGAAAAGTTTAACATGATGACATATTCTATATTGCTTTTTTTTTTTTTTAAAAGACTCTATTTCTTTATTTGAGGCAGAGTTACAGAGAGGCAGAGTCAGAGACAGACAGGTCTTCCATCCATTGGTTCACTCCCCAAAATGGCCACAATGGCCAGAGGTGGGCCAATCCAAAGCCAGGAGCCTGGAGCTTCTTCCAGGTCTCCCACATGGGAACAGGGGCCCAAGGACTTGGGCCATCTTCTACTGCTTTCCCAGGCCATAGCAGAGAGCTGGATTTGAAGTGGAGCAGCTGGAATTTGAACCGGTGTCTTTTGGGATGCCAGCACTGCAGGCAGAGGCTTTACCTGGTATGCCACAGCATGCACCCCCACCCCCTTTTAAAAGATTTTATTTGAGAGGTAGAGTTAGAAACAGAGAAGGAGAGACAGAGAGGTCTTCCATCCACTGGTTTACTCCCCAAATGACCTCAATGGTCGCAGCTGAGCCGATCAAAAGCCAGGTGCCTCTTCCAGGTCTTCCACAGGGATACAGGGGCCCAAGCACTCGGGTGAATTCTGCTTTCCAAGGCCATAGCAGAGAGCTGGATTGGAAGAGGAGTAGCTAGGACATGAACTGGTGCCCATATGGGATGCCAGCGCTGCAGATGGAGGCTTAGCCTACTATGCCACAGCATTGGCCCCTCTATATTGCTTTTAAAATTACCTCTGAAATGCATGTTTGAAATGACATCCATCCCTTGGAATTTGTAACAATAATCTCTGCCTTGATGACTAAATCCATGTTAAATAATTTTTCTTACAGTTTGATTCTAGTAGGGGACCTCTATAAACATCCAAAGCTGATTTGTTAGGTGAGGTGATTTCAAGGCAGTGTGATATTCAAATTGATGAAGAGCACCCTGTAAAGTTAGATTTTGTGAAGACTTGACAATTAGATATATCCACTTTTATGAGGAAAGTTTTTAGGGAAAATCTTGTCTCATTATGTTTGAGTAGATACTTGTAGATTTGGTAAATGTTTTTTGTTGAAAGTTTGGCATTATAAACTTCCTAAATTATTTGAGAATGATGAGTTGTATAGATGTAACAAAGATTTAGTTGACATCAGCTGATAATAGTAAGGGTAGCAGTCTTAAATTTTGATTATGTGAAATTGGCCAGAAGTTATTATTTAAGTGAGTTTAAATAATTAAAAGTCAGGGACTTAGATTTTGATGGCTATTTGCTTATTTTTTTATTAATTGTTTTCTAAGATAACATTAAGATTTGCTCTCCAAAGTGCTATTCAAACTATATGACTACTTCATTGAGCTTTAAATATTCTGGGTCTGAAACTTCATTAAGTATCAGCTTCATTTAGAGAATTCTTCTCAAAATAGTAGATTATTACTAAGTGAAAAAGGCATGTACTCTCTTCCTCTTTTCAGTGGCTATTAAGATGCATTAAAATTATTATACATTAGATGCTGTGGTATTCATTGCTGTTGTCGTAAACTACATATGTTTTACTGTATATTAAGACCACTGGTATTGACATTTTAGTTTGAACTTTACTCTAAATTTGATGTTTGTTTTCTTTCTCTTTTTTAGAATAATGAGAAACAAATGCGGCAACTCTCTGTGATCCCCCCTATGATGTTTGATGCAGAACAAAGAAGGGTCAAGTTCATCAACATGAATGGGCTTATGGAGGACCCTATGAAAGTTTATAAAGATAGGCAGTTTATGAATGTTTGGACTGACCATGAGAAGGAGATCTTCAAAGACAAGTAATTTAAATTTTAAATTATTTAATAGAATTCTGTGTAAATTGGTAAAAAGTATTTGACATTTACTTGTAAACTGAACTGTTACCAAAAAGCTTGGTTCCCTTTTTTGGCATCTGAATGGGTATTGTGAAAGTAGAGAATATGATTTTCCTGTAAGTTTATAGGTGTGAAAATAGGTGACAGATAAGAACTGGGATCAGAGTCAGGGTAAGAGTGGCTCCCAAACTTGGTTGCTGGCTGAATCACTTTGTAGAATTTTTTTTTAAAGATTTCTTTCTTTCTTTCTTTCTTTTTTTTTTTTTGAAAAACTGAGTTAGAGAGGCAGAGAAAGAGAAACTTTCCATCTACTGGTTCACCCCATAAATGGCTGCCAGTGGCTGGAGCTGGGCCAGTCCAAAGCTGGGAACCAGGAGCTTGTTCCCAGTTTCTCATGTGGGTGCAGGGACCTAAGCACTTGGGCTTTCCTCTGCTGCTTTCCCAGGTGCATTAGCAGGGAGTTTGATCCGAAGTAAACAGCTGGAACTCGAACTGGTGCCCATATGGGATGCCAGTGCCCCTACTATGCCACAACGCTAGCCCTTGGGGAGCATTTATTTATTTGAAAGAATTAGAAAGAGGTCTTCCGTCCGATGGTTCATTCTCCAATTGGCCGCAACGGCCGGACTTGCACCAATCCGAAGCCAGGAGCTTATTCCGGGTCTCCCACGCGGTTGCAGGGGCCCAAGGACTTGGGCCATTGTCTACTGCTTTCCCAGGCCGTAGCAGAGAGCTGGATTGGAAGTGGAACAGCTGGGACTCGAACCAGTGCCCATATGGGATGCCGACACTGCATGCAGCAGCTTTATCTGCTATGCCACAGCGCCCGCCCCTTCCCTTAATTTTTTTTTTTTTTTATTTATTTGACACGTAGAGTTAGAGAGAGAGAGAGAAAGGTCTTCCTTCCATTGGTTCACTCCCCAAATGGCCACTACGGCTGGCGCTACGCCGATCCAAAGCCAGGAGTCAGGTGATTCTTCCTGGTCTCCCATGGGGATGAAGGGGCCCAAGTACTTGGGCCATCCTCCACTGCCCTCCCAGGCCATAGCAGAGAGCTGGATTGGAAGAGGAGCAACCAGGACTAGAACCTGGTGCCTATATGGGATGCCAGTGCTGTAGGTGGAGGATTAGGCAAATGAGCCACAGCACTGGCTCCTCCCTTAATTCTTAATAGCCCAGTCTTTTACTTACTCACACAAGCTAAAACCTGACCTGTTCCTATAAATAATGAACGCCTTATTGACCCCTCCAAAATAGATGTCACATGTGCCTTCTAACCCAGCAATGGGGACCCTTTTTGTTGCCAAAGACATTTGGCTATTTATAACATCATTCACAGGACATACAAAATTATCGACTTAAAAAAATTAGCCTGCTAAAGATTAAGATTTATTTTCTTTATTTGAAAGACAGAGTTACAGAGAGGCAGAGGCAGAAAGAGAGAGAGGGCGAGAGAGAAAGGGAGAAGTCTTCCATCTGCTGGTTCACTCCCCAATTGGCTGCAATGGCTGGAGCTGTACTGATCCAAAGGCAGGAACTAATTCCAGGTCTCCCAAGCAGGTACAGGGTCCCAAGGACTTGAGCCATCTTGTACTGCTTTCCCAGGCCAAAGCAGAGAGCTGGATTGGAAGTGGAGCAGCTAGATCTCTAGCCAGCACCCATATGGGATGCTGGTGCTTCAGGCTAGGGCGTTAACCTCCGGTCCCTTGGGGAGCTTTTTTAAAGTACATATTTCTCTGCTTTATCATAGGCCATTCTGGGCAGTGCCTAGCGATCTTTGCATTTAGTTGTCTCTAATGATTAGGAATAGCAGGAATTAGTTTGTATATAATATTTCTTTTCCCAAATTCTTCTCTCTCTCTCTTTTGAATTTTTGAAATGTTTGTATGTGCATGTTTTTGTTTTATTTTTTCACTCAGGTTTATCCAGCATCCAAAAAACTTTGGACTAATTGCATCTTACTTGGAAAGGAAGGTAAGAAATGATTTATACTGAGAATGTTTTTAGGTTTGTATTGGTTGTTTCTTGGGTATTTTTGTGTTGTAACATATAGAAATACTTAGGCAGAAGTGATTTTGCAAAGAGCTTGATTAAAAAAAAAGATTCTTCTATGATTAGCACAATTACGTAAAACATATATGAAATGGTAATTACTATTTTAATAGAAATCCTAAGCAGAGAACTCAAACTTTTATGGTTAATGAAAAATGACCTTTTTTTTTTTTTTTGCTTCCTGATTTCTTCCTTCCCTCCCCTCCCCCTCCCCCTCCCCCCTCCCCTCCACTCCCCTCCCTTCCCCTCCCCTCCCCTCCCCTCCCCTCTCCGAAAGGTAGAGAAACCAAGCTCTTATATCTGGTGGTTTATTTCTCAAATGCGCACAACAGCTAGGGCTGGGCCAGGCCACTCAGGAGCCTGGAACTCAGTCCAAGTCTCTCACATGGGTGGTAGGGACCCAATTCCTTGGGTTATCACTTGCTGCTTCTCAGGGTGCACATTACCAGGAAGCTGGAATTGGAAGTAGAGTTGGGACTTGAACCCAGGCACTCTGATAGGGAGTATGGGCATCTCACGTGACCTCTTTTTTTTTTTTTGGACAGGCAGAGTGGACAGTGAGAGAGAGACAGAGAGAAAGGTCTTCCTTTACCATTGGTTCACCCTCTAATGGCTGCTGCGGCTGGCACACTGTGGCCGGTGCACCGCACTGATCCGAAGCCAGGAGCCAGGTGCTTCTCCCGGTCTCCCATGTGGGTGCAGGGCCCAAGCACTTGGGCCATTCTCCACTGCACTCCCTGGCCACAGCAGACAGCTGGATTGGAAGAGGGGCAACCTGGACAGAATCCGGTGCCCTGACTGGGACTAGAACACTAGAACCTGGTGCGCCGGCGCCGCAGTTGGAGGATTAGCCTATTGAGCCACGGCGCCAGCCTCAAGTGACCTCTTAACCAGGGCACCAAAGTCCTGCTCTGACCTTATATATAAGATCAAATCACATAGATTGCAATGCATTTTGAACCCCATTAAATGTCTTATTAAAATGCCAGGCTCCTGATTTCCTGTGAATTTTTTTTTCATGTGAATTAGTTTTCCTTTTTTGAGTGAAATATCTAGATATTTTTAACATTTGTATACATGTAGCAGTAAAGGGAATATTGGTTAATGTTTCTTAGTTCTTGATATCTTAATTTGTATTGAGACAACTATCCTTTCCATTTACATTGTGTGTGTGTGTGTGTGTGTGTGTGTATATTTGGGTTCTAGGTTTGCCTTAAAGTGCTAGTCATGTTTGTTTCTCTTCAGTTTATGTTTTGAGAACATCAGAAATTTTTCTTGAAAATATTAGATTTTTTAAAAATGTTACTGCATTAAAAAAAATCTTTTTCCTTACAGAGTGTTCCTGATTGTGTTTTATATTACTATTTAACCAAGAAGAATGAGAATTATAAAGCCCTAGTCAGAAGGAATTATGGAAAACGAAGAGGGAGAAACCAGGTTTGTGGTTTGTGTCATTTTTCTGTGAAAGGTGTTTCAGGGTTGGTGGAAATGTGAAAAGGAGTCTTGCACTCAACATACACTTTAGAGGTTGATGTCTCTATTAAATAGGATGTCATGCTTATTTTGAAGTCTTCTATTTTGAATGTATTTTACATTTCTAGTGTGATGAGATTAATTTAAAAACATTTTAACCTTTCCTGTTAGCTCAATCTTGCATTTCAGTGTTAACAGTAATCTTTTAATTAAATACGAGTCTCTTAATACCTACCTAACATGCCATCCTTATCAGTCCTTTTGTCTGAGGAGGGGACAAGGTAAGGTGAGGGAGAAAGATTGTGTAGCATAGTCACTAGAGTAGAGGGTTGTTTACTGAAATACCTGGGACCTGATCTTGTTACAGATTAACTTCATTTGTGGAGTTTAGATAATTGTACTCTTAAAAAGTACTTTACCTAAAAAGGCACTTTTTTTCCCACAAGTATGTGTTTTCACAGTTGCTATTCAGTGGTTTCAAAACTATTTCTACCAAAATAACCCATTAGCAGCTGTCACAGCTCGTGTATGCATGCATTACCAGTGAGGCTGCTGTGTAAGTGTTATCTCCTGTTGCTCTCCACACCCATATAGATCCTGCAATATGGACTTGCATGCCTGTGCTCTCACAGCTGCTGACTGTTTGTCGGCATGGCTCAGTCTCTTCTGGATCTCACACAGCCATGCTTCCCATGTGGAAGGGTCTTAGTCCCTTTCTTCCTGGGTAGCCCTGGTTACCAGATACAAGTTATTTGACCCAGTTCTCTCATTCACTGCCATAACCTTTTTATGTTTCCTGGGTCATTGTTTCCTATGAAATATTCTACCCTACAGATGTGGTTAATGTTTTCTGGAAACAGTATGTTTTTAGAAAATTATGTATTAAGAGGGAAAAAGAAAAAGCCATCTAGTGGTCCATTCTCCAGGAGTATACAATGGTTAGGATTGGCCAAGCTGAAGTTGGCCATTGGGAACTTAATTCAGATCTCCCACGTGGGTGGCAGTGACCCAAGTGCTTGAGCCATTTCTTGCTGACTATCGGGGTGTGCATTTGCAGGAAGCTAGAATGAGGAGCTAGAACAAGGAGTTAAACCCAGGTACTCTGATATGAGAGGAAGGTGTCTCAAACAGCATATTAGCCCCTATATCAAATGCTCCCTACCCCAATCTACTTTTTAAACAAGGTTCAACTGCAAATTTGTTTTTAATTTATCTGTTAAGTCTTCAATTTTTTATTTATTTGAGAGAAAGTTCATATCCTCTGGTTCATTCTCCAAAGCCCATGATGAATCAAATGCCTGCAGTGGCCAGGGCTGGGCCAGGCTGAAGCTGGAACTTGGGAACTCAGTCTAGGTCTCCCCTGTGAGTGACAGGGACCCAACTGTCTCAGTCATCCCCTGCTGCATCCTGTGGTGAACATCAACAAGAATCTGGAATAGGGAATGAAGCTGGGACTTGATCTCAGGCATTTTGATAAAGGTTGCCTCTGTCTTAACCTCTAGGTGAAATGACTGTTCCTCAAACCAGTTTTATAGTTCAATCTGTTAGTATCCCATGACAAATAATTATGGTTCTAGATATATTTTAATTCAATGCATATTAGAGATTGGAAACCAAGAAGCACTCAGAAGTATTGGTGATTTAGAATTACAAATTAAAGGCCGGCGCCGTGGCTCAATAGGCTAATCCTCCCCTGCGGCGCCAGCACACCGGGTTCTAGTCCTGGTCGGGGCGCCGGATTCTGTCCCGGTTGCCCCTCTTCCAGTCCGGCTCTCTGCTATGGCCCGGGAGTGCAGAGGAGGATGGCCCAAGTGCTTGGGCCCTGCACCCTCATGGGAGACCAGTGGAAGCACCTGGCTCCTGGCTTCGGATCAGCGTGGTGCGCCGGCTGCAGCGGCCATTGGAGGGTGAACCAACGGCAAAGGAAGACCTTTCTCTCTGTCTCTTACTGTCCACTCTGCCTGTCAGAAAAAAAATTAAATTACATGTCAGTAATAACTTGAGTCTGTTTATATTGTTTTTGTTAGAAGTGGTAATTTATTTTCTTGAGAAATGCTGCACTTCACAGCATAACCTCGCCGACAGAATATGTGGTACCTCCTAGTAACCTATAGCAAAGCATAAAGTCAGTTTTCAGGAACCACATTCTTCATTTGCTCTTCATAGGAGTCCATGGTCGTCTTTCATTATGACCACTATCTTTTATGTCAGTGTGGTGTTTTTTTCTTTTTCCCCCAAAGTAATTTGGGTACTGGATGAATTTCTGTCCAAACTGTTGGCTGGTCGGACAGGTTAAAAAATTGGATGTGATGGAAAGAGCTTTAGTCCTAAAAATGCTTCTTCCTCTATTTATAACTCTCGATGAGTCTTTTTATGTGCTCAGCCCAGTTCTCCATGTCTGTGAGTGTTGGAGCAGTAGTATTCAACTTGCAGGGTTAATATGACACTTGCTATTTGTGTAAATCCCTGGAGTAAGGGTGAGCATCTAGAGAGTGCCCAGTAAGTAGTAGCTGTGATTATCTTTATTGCTACCACGGTGGTGTATTTTTTGGAATTTATTCTTTAGGAAATTGATTTGAAATTCATTTGGCTTAAAGATTAGTTACTAATATATTTTGGTAATTATAGGCATAAGATACTTTCTTCTTATTGCCTGAAGTACATTTTTGAAGCAAGTATTTCCCAGTGGTCAAGCAGTACTTTGTTCTTTCTGCCTTGGTCAATTTTTAAAAAAGATTGTTTATTTGAAAGGTAGAGGTACCGAGAGAGAAAGGCAGGGGGAGATACTCTCCTGTCTACTAGTTCACTCCCCAGATGGCTATAGTCTCTAGGGCTGGACTGGACCAAAACCAGGAGTCAGGAACTTCCTCTGGGTGTCCTACATGGGTGCAGGAGCCCAGGTACTTGGACCATCTTCTCCTGCCTTCCCAGGTACATGAGCAGAGAACTGGATCAAAAGTGGAGTAGCCGGGACCATCCCGGATGGTGCTCATCCGGGATGTCGGTGCTGCAGGCAGCAGCTTTACCTGCCACACCACAGTGCCTGCCCTCCTCATACAGTTTTAGTTAACTGTTGCTTCTTGTTCTTAAGTTTAGGTATGCTGTTTCTGGAAATCCATGTTTTTTTTTTTCTGTTTTCTATAGACTTGAGCCTTTAACATATAAATACATATACAGATATTAGATATAGTAGTAGTGAATTTCAGCAAAAATTACCTTTCATCTTGCTGTAAGAGGACCTAGCTAAAACTGAGTCCTCTTCTGCATTTCTTTGTTAATGTACACATACCCCTCACCACAGGGGGCTTTCAGAGGGACTTGAGCGCTCCTGCTCCAGCCAGTGTACTGGGGAGGGTGGAGGAAGCTCACCTGTAACCTCCATCCTGGCCACAAGGATTAGTGCTTTACAGATACGCCTTGAAACGGAGAAATCCTTTCAACCTCTTTTCTAAACCAGAGCTAATTCTGTTCTCTCTCTAATGTTAGTGGCAGTCCTTGGGATAGGTCCGTATGTGTACTGCCACTAGGAAAGTTCTGTGGTTGCTGTTAACTGCACGTCCTCTCGTATCACTGTCGCCTGGTCATTATAGCGTGGTGACAGGTTTTTCTGGAGAGGTACCACAAACTTGGGCAGACTCTACTCCAGCAGGTCCTTCCGTTTCTTTGGACCGTATCCATACTTTGTACAGAGCTGCTGCTTCTCCCAGTTGACAAGTGTAAGCCAGTGCAACCGTTGCTCCTCAGGCCCTCGCACCAGGGAAGGGGGTGAAGTCAGCTGTTGACTGGATTCCAGGCTGCAGGAAATGTGTGGCATTGCTTACTTTGTTTGAAGTCCTGTTTGAAGCTAGAAGAAGAAAAGTATTAGAGAAAACCATGGACTTTTGAAGATCCCATATTATGAAAAAATTACTCATAAATTTCAAATTTTTTTGCCCTGAAATTTATCTTTTAAGGGCTTTTTGAAGTAAGATGATATGTGTTGTCCCTATCTGAGGAAACTGTCCAGCTGTCTGCTGATGTCCCCATCATATCTACAGGCTATACATAGTTCACTTGCTGGGCAAAAGATGAGCTTTGTCATTGGTGTGTCCTTTCCCTGGTTTGGAGTAACAAATAGACGCTGCATTTGTGGCAGAGTGAGGTTATCAGCATTTGAACTAGGAATTGTAGCCACTGTAGCCTGTAAGGGATTCAGAGCTCAAAAAGACCTTCCATTGGTAAAGCAGACACAGTGAGTAATTTGAAAATATCCTTGATTTCCCAGGTTTCTGTTTAAGTAATAAATGCACAGAAAAATGGGAAACTGACAGGATAAGGAATTGAGACTGTTGGAAAAACAAGTGAGGGAATTGTGGTGTTGAAATGATTTAGAGCAAGCGCCGCGGCTCACTAGGCTAATCCTCCGCCTTGCGGCGCCGGCGCACTGGGTTCTAGTCCCGGTCGGGGCTCCGGATTCTGTCCCGGTTTCCCCTCTTCCAGGCCAGCTCTCTGCTGTGGCCAGGGAGTGCAGTGGACGATGGCCCAAGTACTTGGGCCCTGCACCTCACGGGAGACCAGGATAAGTACCTGGCTCCTGCCATCGCATCAGCGCGGTGCGCCGGCCGCGGCGGCCATTGGAGGGTGAACCAATGGTAAAGGAAGACCTTTCTCTCTGTCTCTCTCTCTCACTGTCCACTCTGCCTGTCAAAAAAAAAAAAAAAGATTTAGTAGATAAAATTATAGAGTGTTGTTCTTGTTGGATTGTGAGAGTTCTTTTTGTTTTTCAAATGGTGTTCCGTTTCTTAAAGAAATTTATTTTTATTTGAAATTAGTGAAAAGTAGTTGACACTTACTTGTAAATTGAAGTATATTGAAAAAACTTGTCCCCTTTTTGGTGTATGATGTATATTATGGAAAGTAGAGAATATGATCTTCCATAAGTTTACAGGTGGGAAAATAGGTGACAGGTAAAAACTGTGGCCAGAGTTGAGGTGAGAGCGTCTCCCAAACTGGGTTACTGGCTGAATCACTTTGGGGAACTTTTTTTTTTTTAAGATTTATTTATTTATTTGAAAGACTGAGTTAGAGCGAGAGAGAGGCCAAGACAGAAAGAGAAGACTTCCATCTGCTGGTTCACTCCCCAAATGGCCTCAGTGGCCAAGGGTGGGCTGATTTGAAGCCAGGAGACAAGAGCCGGGAGCTTCATCCAGGTCGCCCATGTGGATAAGGAGGCCCAAGGACTTGGACCATCTTCTACTGCGTTCCCAGGCACATTAGAAGGGATCTGGGTCAGAAATGAAGCAGCTGGATGTTGCCCATGTGGAATACCAGTGTCAAAGGCAGAGGCTTAACCTATATCACAACACTGGCCCCAATGTGCATTTTAAAATCTGAAGAATAATGCTGAGGCATGATAAGTCATGTAATGAAATCATGTTTGCATTCTAGGGAATATTCATGAAATCAGTCCATACCCCCAAAAGAGAGAGAAAGCTATCATAGGTAGATGGTGTGAAATGTGAACAAGGACATATTTGTAAAATATTAGTTCAACAATGTTTGGCAAATGGCAATAAGAACCAAGAAGGATACTGATTGTTCTTCCTTCCTCAGGATGGGTAGGGCACCTCTGGCTGGTGGGCTGTATAAGGCCCATAAAATCGTTCAGTTTGGCCCTGCCAAGGCAACTGTATACAAGACTCGAAATTCAGTAAATCCTTAGCAGGCTAATTTTTTTAAGTCGATAATTTTGTATGTCCTGTGAATGATGTTATAAATATCCAAATGTCTTTGGCAACAAAAAGGGTTCTCATTGCTGGGTTAGAAGGCACATGTGACATCTATTTTGGAGGGGTCAATAAGGTGTTCATTATTTATAGGAACAGGTCAAGTTTTAGCTTGTGTGAGTAAGTAAAAGACTGGGCTATTAAAAATTAAGGGAAGGGGCCGGCGCTGTGGCATAGCAGATAAAGCTGCCGCATGCAGTGTCAGCATCCCATATGGATACTGGTTCGGGTCCCAGCTGCTCCACTTCTGATCCAGCTCTCTGCTATGGCCTGGGAAAGCAGTAGACAATGGCCCCAGTACTTGGGCCCCTGCACCCACATGGGAGACCCGAAAGAAGCTCTTGGCTCCTGGCTTCGGATCAGCACAGTTCCGACTGTTGCGGCCAACTGGGGAGTGAATCAGCGGGTGGAAGACCTCCCTTCTTCTCCCTCCCTCCCTCCCTCCCTCTCTTTCTCTCTCTCTCTCTCTCTCTCTCTCTGCCTCTCTCTGCCTCTCCTCTCTCTGTGTAACTCTGCCTTTCAAATAAATAGATCTTAAAAAAGAATTGAGGTGGGCATTTGGCTGAGTAGTTAAGACATCCATATCCCACATTGGGTGCCGGGGTTTGAGTTTCAGCTCTGGGTCTGACTCAGATTCATGCTGATGCAGCCCCTGGAAGGCAGTTGGTGATTGCTCCAATAGTTGGATCCTTGTCACCCATCTAGAAGACCTGGATTGAGTTCCTGGCTCCCTGCTTTGACCCTGGCTGTTGCAGGCATTTAGGGAGTAAACGAGCTGATAGCAGTTCACTCTCTTTTTGTCTTTCTCTGCCTGTCAAATTATTAATAATAATAGTGAAGGAAAGTTTTATTTAAATAACTTACATACATATTGTCTGTTGAAAGGAACAGGTAAAGGACAGGTAGAGTTATTATGAGGCAGGATTGACATTAGTTTAAATAAAGAAGAAGGATTGAGATGGGATGGCAAATGGTTTTCACATAGCTGGAATAAAGGGCTTTGATTTATGCCATGTGCAGCATATATAGATACCTGTTATCACATGCTCCACTAGGAGCAGCAGACACTTAGATGAGTAAGACTGAGTCCTTATCTTTGATGAAACAGTAACACAGCGGATAGATGCTGATAACCAGACAGTAGGCACCCCTAGTGATAGTGCCCCCAGGGTGTGGACATGTGGCAGAGAAGGAGGGAGACAGGGCTGGTGTTCCTTTTCTGGAAGTCTGAGGAAACACCTCTTAGGAAATGCAGCATTTTGAACTGAATCTCAGAAGGCATGTGGGAGTTTACCAGGCAAGGAAAGGTAAGAAGAGTGTTTCAGGCAAATAGACCAAAGTGCTGGATGTTTAGGTGAGTCCAGCACAGCAAAGAAGAATGTGGGAGAAATGGGGATTGGAGGGAGATGTGCAGGGCCCACGGGCTGTGCTGTGAAGACATACTGGTGCTCAGTCCTGATTAGGTTATGCAGCATTGGTTTCTGAGGTGAATAAATGCAAGCTTAATTTCACTTTTTTCTTTCAGTGTCATAGTTTTAGCAGTTGAGACATCAAAGATGAAAGGGTCCATAATCTGTCCACTCACTTTCTTCATTTTTCTCTCTCAGGCTTTGTCCATGTACATCTTATTGTGATTCTAATTACAGCTTAGAAATATCTGAGTGTGGGGCCGGTGCTGTGGCTCACTTGGTCGATCCTCTGCCTGTGGCACCAGCATCCTATATGGGTGCTGGGTTCTTGTCCCGGTTGCTCCTCTTCCAGTCCAGCTCTCTGCTGTGGCCCGGGAGAGCAGTGGAGGATGACGCAAGTGCTTGGGCCCCTGCACCCACCTGGGGGACCAGGGGGAGCCTCCTGGCTCCTGGCTTAAGATTGGCGTGGTGCTGGCTGTGGCGGCCATTTGGGGAGTGAACCAATGGAGAGAGGACCTTTCTCTCCCTCACTGTCTGTAACTCTACCTGTCAAATACATTAAAAAAAAAAAAAAAAGATATCTAAATGTTTTTTCTTTTCACTTCATTATGTCTTTAGTATTTTCTCAAATTATTTCAGTCATAGTATCACCATAGCTATCTAGTAGTCTATTAAATGTACATTCCCCTCTTCCCAAGTATAAAAGTATTTCCCATAGCATTACCCATAATAATGAAAAAATGGGAATATATTAAGTACCTAACATTAGAAAGGTAGTTAGATAAATGTATGTGTTGTCAAATTTTAAGGTAGAAGTGGAATACTTGAATGACAGATTAGACGTAGGGGTTATAGACAAAGGCAACCAACCTTATATTTCTAAGTGGAGTCAATATTTTTTACCTCATTAATCAGTCCAAAAATCTGAGCACTTTTTTTTTCACATGTGAGTTTGACTTTTCGATAGACTGCATTAAAAATCATGGACTGACTTTTAATCTATGACTATGTTGTAAGAATCATTAAAAATTTTAGATAATTATAATTTGTCATTACAGTGTGAAGAGCTGTTTCTGGTACATTTGTGTTTTACAAACTGTTTCATTTTAGCAGCAAATTGCCCGACCCTCACAAGAAGAAAAAGTTGAAGAAAAAGAAGAAGATAAAACAGAGAAAACAGAAAAAAAAGAAGAAGAAAAGAAAGATGAAGAAGAAAAAGATGAGAAGGAGGACTCTAAGTAAGTAAAATAATTAGTGAAATAATGAGTTAAATGTTGTAGTTATTTTAAAATATTAAAACTGAGGGGCCATTATGTTCAGTGGGTTAAGCCACCTCCTGAAACGCCAGCATCCCATGTGAGTACCAGTTCCAATCCTGGCTGCTACATTTCTGAGGCAGCTCCCACTAATGCTTCTGAGAAAGCAATGGAAGATGGTCCAAGTGCTTGGTCCCCTGCCACTCATGTTGGAGACCCAGATGGAGTTCTTGGCTTATGTCTCCTTTACCCAGCCCCGGCTGTTGGTGACCATTTGGGGGTGAACCAGCGGATGGAGGATCAGTCTCTCTCTGTCTCTCCCTCTCTCTGTTTAACTGCTTCTGAAATATATAAATTTTTAAAAACAACAACACTCAATCTGGAAGGTATGAAATTTTAGAGACAGAATTAATGGGATGTGTGCTTTGATCATCAATAGTTCTTATTATGATTAAGAAATGGAATATAATGGACTTACTTGCTAGACGTGAGTTATTAATATTCAGAAGGAACAGGCCATGATAAAATAATTATCTCCAAAGCATATTGAATGTAATTTAATCTCTGATTTGGAAGATTCTTTGGGATTTTTTTTTTTTTTTTTTTTTTTTTTTTTGACAGGCAGAGTGGACAGTGAGAGAGAGAGACAGAGAGAGAAAGGTCTTCCTTTGCCGTTGGTTCACCCTCCAATGGCCGCCGCTGCAGCCGGCGCACCGCGCTGATCCTGGCAGGAGCCAGGAGCCAGGTGCTTTTCCTGGTCTCCCATGGGGTGCAGGGCCCAAGCACCTGGGCCATCCTCCACTGCACTCCCTGGCCATAGCAGAGAGCTGGCCTGGAAGAGGGGCAACCGGGACAGAATCCGGCGCCCCAACCGGGACTAGAACCCGGTGTGCCGGCGCCGCAAGGTGGAGGATTAGCCTATTGAGCCACGGCGCCGGCTCGGGATCTTTTTTTTTTTTGAAAGGTCGAGAGAAAGGGAGGGAAAGAGAGAGCTAGAGAGAGATCCTCCATCTGCTAATTTGTTCTCCACATGACCACAGCAACCAGATCTGGGCCATGCTGAAGCCAGGAGAGTCAGGAACTCCTGATCTCTCACGTTGTGTGGCAGGGACCCAAGTTCTTGGGTCATCTGCTGCTGCCTTTCCAGGCACATTAGCAGGAAGCTGGGTCGGAATCCAAACTGGCACTACAATATGGGACGCCAGCATTGCAGCTTACTACCCCACAATGCCAACCCCTCAGGATTTTTTTGAACCTCAGATTTTATACATTAGCTAGTCTAAAAGTGCTAGAAAGAAGAGTTTTCATTTATATAGCAAGTTGTAGTCCAGGTTTATTGACTTTATCATAAAAAATAGAGTTCCTGATTTGTTTGTTCTTATTGTTGTTTTCCTGATTATAAAAGTAGTTCTTTTTCATTATAGAAAATCTGGAAAAGGGAACAAAATAAAATGTACACTAGTCTATGATTCTACTCAGAGATTGCTGTGTCTAAAGATTTGGGGTGGGGCAGGAGAGCTTAGCGGCTGGTTTGGTTGCTTTTTTCCTCAAGGATTAGCTTTGTAATTATGTAGACAAATTTACCAATCTTAAGTGTATATTTTGGTACCTTTTGACAAGTGTAGGCACTCACATAAATGTTACTGTAATCGAGATGTAAAATGTTTTCCTTGGTCTGGAACATTCCTCATGCTCCTTTGTGGTCAGTTTCTCTGTCCTTGTTCTCCGCCTTCAGCAGCCACTTTACCTTTTTTAGAATGACATGTAAATGGATCATACAGAACGTAGATTTCTATGTGACTTCTTTCACTTAGCATAAATGCATTTTAGACTCATGTTACATCTGTCAGTGGCTTGTTACTTTTTAATATTTATTGTGTCACTTATATACTTCTATAGTCCTCTTGAAAATATGTAAAGCTCACCCAGTTTTATGGCGGCTAAAGAAGCCTAACTCACGAGGGACATGGTTTTAAGAGGGCCAGATTATTATGCATTGTAATATGTACTTCAGGGAGACACTTACAAAGGAATAAAGAGAAATTTTTATTTTAAATCAAACATTTATTGTACCATGTAACTCATATGGAACCGTCACATCTTGATTTTACTTAAAACAAAAAACCCTCTAAGTTATTTAACCAGCATTTGTTTATAACCTTTGTGAGCTAGGTTTTTCAAAGAATTCAGAAGTATGTAAAAGATGTGCCATATCCAGGTAGTTGATGATCTAGGATGGGAAAACTAGGCAAGGTACTAGTAGTATTTAAATAAAAGACGGAAGCTTGGAAGTAAGAAATGAATAGAAACAATAAAGTATGTTGGGAGATTCTGAAGATGTTGAAGTTACTTCTGTCTGAATTGTTGAGAGGACTTTATAAAGGAGGTGGTGGTAGAGTAGAGAAAACAATATGAATAGTTATAGAAATGGCAGCTAATGGGGTCTGGCATTGTGGCGTAGTGGGTAAAACTGCTGCCTGCGATGCCAGCATCCCATCTGGGTTTGTGTCCTGGCTGCTCTACTTCCGATCCAGCTCCCTGCTAATGGCCTGGGAAAAGCTGTGAAGGATGGCCCAAGCACATGGGCCCATGCCACCTGTGTGAGAGACCAGGATGTAGCTCCTGGTTTCTAGCTTTGGCCTGGCCCAGTGCTGGCCATTGCAGCCATCTGGGGAGTGAACCAGCAGATGGAAGATCTCTTTCTCCGTAACTTGACTTTCAAATAAATCTTTAATAATAATAATAATAGACCAGAATTGGAGGTACTGAAGTACTGAGTACAGTGCTAGTAGGAATGGAGATGCTATAGTTAGTGGAAGGAACATCACTAAGATGAAATAACCAAAACTTGTCCTTTGATCACATATTGGAAGTAAAGGCAAAGGGCAAGATCTAAAGGTGGTGCTCACTCTGTGTAACTCAGTGGTCTTTAATGTGTACTGTCAACATCAGACAGTGAGGTAGAGCAAGAGGCACAGTAGTGAGAATGAATATGTATTTGTTGAGTGTTTAGTGATAGGAAATTAGGGTGACTGTTCCAGTAGGTATTTGGAAAGGTGAATCTGGTCCTTAGGAGACAGAGTCTGAGTCCCAAGGCTGTAGATGAGGAGTCATTGCAAGTGCGTCACCTCACAGAGCTCTAGGGCCTCCAGGCAGATCATTGGTCAATCTCTATATGAGAGAATGAAAAGAGAGTCAGTATAGCTGCAGGGTCATTTTCAATGCTAAGCTGAAAAGGATATGAAAGGAATGATCCCCAGTGTCATCAAGTGCATCAGGATGAATGTGGTGAGCATCGAGAAGAGGCCATTTGATCTTGAAGTGTGTAGGTCATGGTGACTTTTGACAAACACTATTAACAAAATGCTGGAGAATAGAAGCCAGATTGACAAGAGTATAAGGAAGCAGAGGGAAAGAGCTACTTGGTAACCTCTGTTTAGGACCAAAGAGATGTGAGCTACTGAAGCAGTTTTTCATTCTGTGGGAAAAGGCTATATCTTAGAAAACCATGCCAGGTCTTAAAGTAGATAAAATTAAAAATCATCTTCTTCTATTAAACAGGAATTATTGAGTCTTAGTATCTATCAGATCATTTCCAAGAATGTACATTAAGATCCTTGTTTTTATATATAATAACCATATATATAATAACCACAGGAGGTAAGTACTGTAGAGAATCTTCCAGTATTACCTACAGTACTCTATTAATAGTAACTGCCATTCACTGATAGTGTGAGAGAATAGTGGATAGTGTGAGAGAAGTTAACTTATTAATAGTAAGCACATATGATACTTACCATGCTTTACGCTGCGTGTTGGACTCCTGTTAATATCCTCATTTCACAGATGAGAAAACTGAGGCACATGGAAGTGAGGCAGTTTGTCCACGGTCATTCCAGGGCTAGGAAATACCAGGCAGCCTGGATCCGAAAGCTGTTCTGTATGTGAAGCCACACTGTCCTCTGTGCATAGTTAGTGTCAGGGTAGATGAGAATACAGAGTTTGGTCTAATAAAACAATACTCTGGATTATTCCTGCTGAAAAGTGTCTCTCTTGAAGATCACCTGTTTTCTTTGATTCATCTCACAGATGAGACGATGTAGAACAAAGCCCGCAAACCAAGACTCCTAGCATTTGGTATGGTTTACAACCTCTGGAATGCAGATCTAGGGGGTTTTCTATGGTCATTTGACACTTTATGGTAGAATGTTTTAGTTTCTAAGTTAGTTGATTTGAAACACATTTAAATTTTAAGACAATTAATATGTAAAATAGGTATTTGTGAAATAATCTTAATTTGAGCCAATTAAAACACTTCAGTTATGACGTGACGGAGTTTTTCATGATTTTTTAAAGTGAGATAAGGTAGATTTATTCAATTTCTACTTAAAGAATGTGCAAACTGCAACTTTCTGTGATGTATGTGAAATTTAAATCACACAAGGTTTACTTGCTTTGGCTTCCAGAGAAAATGTCAAGGAAAAGGATAAGACGGAAGGTACAGCAGAAGAAACTGAGGAGAGGGAGCAGGCCACACCCCGGGGGCGAAAGACTGCCAACAGTCAGGGCCGCCGGAAGGGCCGTATCACCAGGTCCATGACCAACGAAGCTGCAGCTGCCAGTGCTGCGGCCGCAGCAGCCACTGAAGAACCCCCTCCGCCGCTGCCGCCGCCGCCAGAACCCAGTGAGTGGAAGAAGTGACTGTGGCTGGGCTCTGGTTTATTTTAGGGTTCTGTTTCAGTGTTAGGTAGAACAGGAGGGATGGTTAATATTAACAACCTAGAAGTAATCCCACCGACTGGGCCGCAGTTCTTGAACTTCACAAAAATTTATTATTTTTTTTTTTAATAGAAAAGAACATTAGCCACGGTGTTGGCTACCTTGATACAGCTGTTACTCTTTTCCACTTTGTTGCAATCATAGTTTGCATGTCACTTTGTTTTCTGATGTTTTAACTTGGTGTGTATCATAAATATGTTCTTTTTAGTTTTAACTAATCTCCACCCACTTTTATTTTTTAGCAGTCTGTAATGTTGGCTTGTAAGAGGCATGACTTAACAATTTCCCTTCTGCCAAGTGATTAGGCTTTCCTCTCACCCATTTAAAACCAGTACAGGGAGCACTGTAATGAAGAAGTCTACTCATATAGCTTTTTTTTGTTTGTTTTCCTAAGAATAAATTCTTAGGCAAGGGAATAGGAGGTTTAAGAATGCAAACGCTTTTCTCTCTGATGAAATAGCATTTCATTAGTTTGTACAAGGATTGTGTTAATGCTGAGTTCCACTGTCTGATTTTACCACAATGTGAAGGACGGAAGAAAATACAAGTTCTGGCAATGGCAAGAACAATGTGGGGGAACTGACTGGACAGGGTGAGGAGGATAGGCTGCGGCAGATGACAGTGGGCCTTGTTGGAACTATATATTGCTTTGCTAACCAAGTGGGAAGCTTGAATGGTTCTTAAATAGAGGAGTGCTATGATTAGATTTGTATGTTATAAATATACAGATTGTGGAAGTCATGTTGGATAGGATACGGGCAGGAGCAGAGGGAACAGTTAAAAAGACTCCTTTATGTATGCAGTGGCCCAGACAAGGAGGGGATGGATTCAGGAGGTAGTTGTTGACACTTGTCATTAGATGTGAGTGATAAACGCAATGGAGGATTCAAAAAAATTAGTCTGAGGAGCCAGTTAATAATTCAGATGACTGGGTGGATGGTGATGCTATTAATTGAGAAAGGTGCTCACTTCAGGCCTGATATTTTTAGTTTCTTTTCCTAAAGTAAAAGAGAAAGTGTTCAGTTCATGATCCATCGATGCCTACTGGATATGAGACAGTGAGAGGTCCAGACAGAAGGGTCTCCAGGAGTTGAGATGAGATGGAGACTCAGGGATGGAGGGGGCATTGGGCCTGGACAGGAAGAAGACAGTAGTTTTTTAGATAAGAGGAGAGGTGGGGTAGAGATCCACTCAGTGGGAAGGCACTAGGTGAGGTGAGGCTTCTCCAAAAATAAGCTAAAAATGTTCAAACATGTAGATACATACAGATTATGTGATTGATCAGAGTGAAGGATTTATTTTTTTCCGCCTGATCAAGTTCTTTGTTTTTCTTTCAGTTTCCACAGAGCCTGTGGAAACTTCTCGATGGACAGAAGAAGAAATGGAAGTTGCTAAAAAAGGTACATTGCAATACTTCAGGTTTGTTTTGGGGAGGGAGATTATTAGTAACAAGTGAAATGGAGCTGAGTGTTTTTTTTTTTTTTTTAATTGAAAAAGAAATGTCTACCAAAAAGGTAAATACAATTTGAAGCAAATTTAAGAATTGTTTTTGATGAGATATCTCCACTGTGCCATTTTTAAAATGCCTGTTTTTGAGGGATTTAAATTTCTCCCTACAGTTTTATTTTGAATGTCATTTTATTAAAGAGCAAGTAGCTATTTTCAGTTTACCAAAATAGTTGTGATTATATGCTATTGAAATGGTTTTGGAACAAATTTTGAAAGTCTTTATGTCTATTATTTAAAATTTGGATTCAATAGAATGGTAGATACTTTCTCAGTTTGTGTTTGGTAAGTCATTTGATGATAAACCAGTGACTGAGAAATTGCACTCTCTTTCAGAGGAGGGAGCCTAAACTTTGAAACCCTGCAGAGGAAGCTTTGAATCCTGTCTCTGCCACTTTCATATCTGTGTGGCCTTAATCTTAACTCTGGAATTTCATGGGCCTTTGTTTCTCTGTCATTGGCTTATTAATGTACTATAATTTGAAATTGAACAATGATGTCTAATAGAATGTCAATTAACAGTTAATTAAAAAAAAACACTTCCAGAGGTTAAGTATTTATAGTTCTAATAAGAAATTATTGTAAATAGCTTGACATTTTAGTGACATGTTTCAGATTTGTTTTCTATTTAGTGGATATGAATGACACATTTTGGAATCATACATGAACCCAACTTCACCAAAAATAAAGCAGTTTATTTGCTATTATTAGCAAATGCTAAATTTGCATTACTTTAAAAAAGATTCATATTTATTATCTGATCATCAAAAAATGTGATGGTTAAATAAGTAAATATTAGCTATACCATAGAGCGACCTTTTTCTGGTAAATACTTAATTAACTCTTTAGTCACCACTCTTTTCAGTTGTTATATATCAGGCAGGATTTACAAGTGATCTTCCAGTTTTTATTAGTAAGAAAACTCCTTGTATTAAACTTGAAAAGCTGATAGTTTCCTATGAATTTGAACTGAGAATTCCTACTTGGGTGTACTGATATTTAATGCATATATGTTTGTACAAATGCATTTATATATATACCACATTCTTTGCATATATTAGTGTGTATATGTTTGTATGTGTGCATACATGTATTATTTGATTAGAGATGTATTCAGTTGTGTGGTTTCTGTGATGTATTACTACCATGGTATTTCAAAAAACATTTCGAGAGCATTGCTTGACTGTAAATTGGCTGAGGATGAATGCTGATTATAAGTGGTCTTAGCATACTTATATATGAATTTGTCTTAGTCGTTTACATTTGGTTACCTTTTAAACTTTATATTGATATATTCAAGGATGTAGAAGTATCTAATCACTCACTCTGCAAGTATTAGAGCCATCACTATGGGTCCAACACAGGTCCTAGCCCTGTGGAAGATATATGGCAAGGATAAGGCTTAGTCCTTCCAGTATAATGATATAATGGGTGTATTTTAATTGGAGGTGGGGGATAATAGAGCTGTAAAAGAATTTTGTGATCAATAAATATTTCAGTAACACTCAGGTTTATCAGTAAGTAAATGAAAGCACTCTTTTAGTGTTAATGATTAAGTTGATTTAATGTTTGGCTTTCTTACTTTATCTGATGACTGTTTAATTAATGCTTGGTCTCTTTTTAAATACAGGTCTGGTTGAACATGGTCGTAACTGGGCAGCAATTGCCAAAATGGTAGGAACTAAAAGTGAAGCCCAATGTAAAAACTTCTATTTTAACTATAAAAGGCGACATAATCTTGACAACCTCTTGCAGCAGCATAAACAGAAAGTGAGTATATCAGGAGTGATAAATCTTTTACTTAATTTTGTGTCTTGTATTTTTATTTAATGTATTTGCCTATAAGAGGTATGCTAGTTTCTTGGTACAGATTGACTACTTCTCTATTTACTGCCCAAGGGAAAAAAAGAATTTCTGTTTGTGCTAATGGGAATTCAGTACTTCTGAATTACTGCAGACTGGATTAGAAAAATATATAGGGGCTGGCGCTGTGGCATAGTGGGTAAAGCTGCTGCCTGCAGTTCTAGTCCCAGCTGCTGCACTTCCGATCCAGCTCTATGCTATGGCCTGGGAAAGCAATGGAAGATGACGCAAGACTTGGGCCCCTGCACCCATGTGTGAGACCTGGAAAAAGCTCCTGGCTCCTGGCTTCAGATGGGCTCAGCTCCAGACATTGCGGCCATCCAGGGAGTGAACTAGTGGGTGGAAGACCCCTCCCTCTCTCCCTCCTTCACTCCCTCCTTCCCTCTTTCCCTCCCTCCCTCCTTCCCTCCCTCTTCTTTCTCTCTGCCTTTCAAATAAATAAGTAAATCTTTAAAAAAAAAAAAAAAGACACAGTGGAACACAACAGTCTGCACGTGTGTGTGTGTGTGTGTATATATAAGCATTTTGGAGTTTGAATTTAGTTGGAACTATGTTGGTCATGTTGGATGAGTTTAAAAAATGTATTTTCAGGTGTACAGGGAATTGACCTACTGGCTGAAACACCTGCATCTTATATTGAAATGTCTAGGTTTGATTCCTAGCTCCAGCTGCCAGTTCCAGCTTTTGCCAATGTAGACCCTGGGAGGCAGCAGTAATAGCTGCCACCCACACCCTGGATTAAGTTCTTGGCACAGGCTTATCCTGGCCATTGCATGTATTTGGGGAATGAATCAATGGGAGAGAGCGCTGTCTCTCAGATATATAAATAAATGTGTGGTGAGTGTCTCTCTGGGATTTTTCTCTTGCATTCAGACTAGGAACAGAAGAATTAATTTTTTAGCCTTCAGAATTTCATCTAGTACTGTGACTAACATTGGGAAATGATGTTTCTTTTAGTTAATACTTTAGATTGATTTTATTTATTTGAAAGGCAGAGTTAGAAGGACAGAGAAGTCCTGCATCTGCTGATTTGCTCCCCGAATGGCTGCAACTGCCAGGGTTGGACCAGACCGAAGCCAAGAGCCAGGAGCTTACTCCTGGTCTCCCACATGAGTAGAAGGCCGAAGGACCTGGGCCATCTTTTGCTGCTTTCCTAGGAGCATTAGCAGGGAACTGCATGTGGAGCAGCTGGGAGTCAAACTGGTACCCATATGGATGCCAGTGTCATAGGCAGCAGGTTTTTTTTTTTTTTTTTTTTTTAACAGGCAGAGTTAGACATTGAGAGAGAGAGACAGAGAGAAAGGTCTTCCTTTGCCGTTCGTTCACCCTCCAATGGCCGCCACGGCCCGCGCCCTGTGGCCGGCGCACCGCGCTGATCCGATGGCAGGAGCCAGGTACTTATCCTGGTCTCCCATGGGGTGCAGGGCCCAAGCACTTGAACCATCCTCCACTGCACTCCCTGGCCACAGCAGAGAGCTGGCCTGGAAGAGGGGCAACCAGGACAGAATCCGGTGCCCTACCGGGACTAGAACCCGGTGTGCCAGCGCCGCAAGGCGGAGGATTAGCCTAATGAGCCGCGGCGCTGGCCCATAGGCAGTAGTTTTATCACAATGCCAGCCCCTAGATTGGATTTTTTTTTTTAATTTATTTTTTGAAAAGCAGAGTTACAGAGAGGCAGAGAGAGAGAGAGAGAGAGAATATCTTCCATCTGCTGATTCATTCACCAGATGGCATCAACAGCTGGAATACACTGTTCTGAAGCCAAGAGCTTCTTCCGGGTCTCCCACACGGGTGCAGGGGCCCAAGGACTTGGGCCATCTTCTACTGCTTTCCCAGGCCATAGCATAGCAGAGAGCTTGATTGGAAGTGGAACAACAAAGACTCTAGCCAGCGCCCATATGGGTGCTGGCACTGCAGCTTTTACCCGTTACGCCACAATGCTGGCCTCCTAGATTGGATCTTAACTAGCACCCTCATATATAAACTAAGAATGAGGACTAGATAACTGGTGTTTTTTGGCAATTGGAGCAGTAATAATAATTTTTCCTCTCTTTGATGAATCTTGCTGAGGGAGGATGACTATTAAAGTGAAAACGCAATACAGGTTCTGTGAGGGGCACAGACCAGAGAACCCCAGGGTTGTAACCTCCAGATCCATGGGTCTGCAAACTTAGGAGACCTTGAATATACCTTTTAGCAACAAGAGTGTGTAAGTACAATGTAAGTAGTTAATGTCTTACATTTAAATATGTACTTATATACCTTTGCAGGTAGGCAACTCCAGGAGAGTAATGAACAGTTTTACATAAAAACATAGATTATAGAGGGGAACACATTTTTTTTCTTTTTAAGATTTACTATTTATTTGAAAGGCAGAGTTACAGAGAGGCAGAGGGAGAGAGAGAGAAGTCTTCCATCTGCTGGTTCATTCCCCACATGACCGCAACAGAATAAAGCTGCGCCCATCTGGAGCCAGGAGTTTCTTCTGGGTCTTCCATGTGGGTGCAGGGGCCCAAGCACTTGGGCCATCCTCTACTGCTTTCCCAGGGGTATTAGCAATGAGCTGGATCAGAAGAGGAGTAGCCAGGACATGTACTGGAACCCCTATGAGATGCTGGCACTGTAGATGGCAGCTTTACCCGCTATGCCATTGTGTTGGCTGTGGGGACATATTTTTTTAAAAAGAGATATTTGACTTCACAAATTTTTAGATTCACTGGCAAGACCAATGGTAACTTGTATATAAAAATAATTCTTAACTAATGAAGGAAGTTGATTATAGCATTTATAATAATGCCAAAAATACAAAGTTACTTACATGCCTTAAAATAGGAGAATTTTAACTCTTGTATATTGATATAATGTTTTTATAGATTTATTAATACAGATAATTTTGAAGAATTCATAACATAGGGAATGTGTTCAGTTCATGACTACAGTAGATTTTGTAAAGTAGGATATACAACTACATAAAGGCCATGGGCTGTATTTACTATATATATAAGGATTTATACATTCGTACATGTAGTATATGCATCTTGAAGACTAAAGGAAAATATACCAGTGTACTTAGAATTAGTTGTTAGAATTATGAGCCATTTTAAAATCTATTTTATTCCACATTTCAGTGTACATGTTATCTTTAGTAGAACCTAATGTACATATTACTAGGAAGATTATCTGGAGTAGAAGAGCATGGAGATTTGTAGTTTCAGAAATGTTTTGATGCTACTTTTAATCAGTTTGGTGAAATGACTCATACTCACAGAAGATCAGTTAGTGATTGCTCAGATGTGCTTGTTGCACTTTAACCAGAACTATTGTCAAACATACAGTTTTTTTGTCAGTTTTCTACCAGGGTTCTGTATTATTTCGGAAGGGAAAAGACTTGTTTTTTTTTTTTTTTTTTTTTTTTTTTTTTTTTTTTTTTTTTTCCTTTTAGTTATGCCAATCATCTGTCATTTAATTGACTATTGTTTACTTCTTTAGGCCTCACGGAAACCTCGGGAAGAGCGAGATGTGTCTCAGTGTGAAAGTGTCGCTTCCACTGTTTCTGCTCAGGAGGATGAAGATATTGAAGCCTCCAATGAGGAAGAGAATCCAGAAGACAGCGAAGGTATCTCAGAATCTTAGATTTCATCTGACTTCCGCTATCCCGAATTCCTAATCTTTAGCTTAGTTATTTGTGTAGGAATTGCTTGTTTAAGGAAGAGTGTTTTCATGTTATGTAGACTTTAACCTTGAACATAATGTCTGTATTCATATAACCAACAAGTATTTAGGTGGCACTTAAGATAGTGTAGGTGCTACAGCCAAAAGGTTTTGAAAATGGCGGTCCTGCTTCAGATACTAAGTACTTGTGGAAGAACATGTCTGTGCATCGGTATCATTGCTGCGTTTATTTGTCAGTTGATGTCATCAGTTACATTTTCCTCTTTTTTTCTTTACTGTGAGTTTGATTTATTTCATACCTTCTCAAAGGATTTATGTACCATTTACTGTAAAAAGAATGAATGACTCTACAAGTAGGGAAAAATACCAACCCAAAAAGTTAAGGAAAAAAAATTTTTTTAATTATTTAAATAATTAAATTAATTTAAAAGGTTTAATTTTTGACAGTTTTCTGAAAATTTTTTTCTTGAGTTTTTGCTAAAGGAAACAAAAGTACTTAATTTATTTCAAATTTCAGTTTCAAGTTTTTATGGATTTCTCTTATAAATTGAACTGCTTCTAATATCGAGATTTTCATAATGCTCTTAATAGTTCTTTGCATATTAAACATGTTCATGTTTTGTGTATGTGAATATTTACTCCATCTCATTTGCCTTTTGTTTTATTTTTGAGTTACTGGAGTTTAAATTTTATGTGTCATTAGAGCTGTTTATCTTTTTCCTTTATAAGCTGTTATATCTTATGTAAGCTTGGGAAGTTCACTACCTTCCAGTTTTAGAAATACTAGATTCTGTTTTATTTTTTTCTCTATGGGCGGTTGTTTTGTAAACTTAAATGTGCTTTGCTTTTAAATAATAAGTGAACTTTTACTGGGAGGTTTTTGTGAAAAGTGAGGTGGTTGTTATAAGCATAAAGAGAAGATTGGAGCAAGCTGGGCTAGTTGAAGAGCGCTGCAAACAAGAAAGACAGTGTGGTATGTTTATGGTCCTCTCAAAGAGCTCACCAGATTTTGTCCCCTTTTAACAGGTTTGTATCTGGCTGCTAGTGATCCTGGGGTTATAAACGAAAATGAAATCTGTATTCAGTTGTCCTCCTCAACCATGGTCTGAAAATATTTGGAGACCACATGCCACATTTCCATAACTTTCATCATAGTGTATTGTCACAACTGTTCAGCTTAGGATTCATTATTGTTGTTAATCTCTTATGCTGCTTAATTTATAAATTAAACCTTACCATAGGTGTGTATGTATAGAAAAAACATGGTATGGGATTTGAGCCTATCTATAGTTGCAGGCCTCTGCTGGGGAAGTCTGGAAATGTCTTGCCCACAGATAAAGGGTAACAACTATATTAATCTCCTTGGACTGCCATAGCAGAGTACTGTAACCTGAGTGGCTTAAACCGCATACATTTATTTTCTCACATTTCTGGAAGCTGGAAGTCTAAGATCAAGGAGCTGGCAGAGTTGCTTTCTGATGAGGACTCTCTTCCTGGCTTGCAGATTGCCAGCTGCCTCCTCCCTTTGTCCTCACATGGCCTTTCCTCTGTGTGCACTCCTGCTGTCTTCCTTTTCAACAACAGTCCTACTGGATTGCCGCCCACCCTGTGACCTCATTTAGCCTTAATTACCTCCTTCCAGCCCTGTCTCCAAATACAGTCACACTGGGGTTTAGAGCCATAACATAGAGATTTTGGGATGGGGAAACAATTCAGGCCGTGACAAAGCCTGTCCATGGGTAGGCTCGCAGATTCTCAAAAACTAAGAACCAAAAAATGACTCTTTTTTATTTTCTTTCTGTTGTTTTGTCTTAGTGTGTGTTTGTTTTCAGATTGTTAGGTATGGTATTAAAGTAATGTGTCCATCTGACCTAGTGTTAGGTAGCATGTTCACATCCTACAGGTGTTTGCCTTGTGACATCGAGAATAGTTTCCTATTAATAGGACATGAACTTACCAGTAGAATCCTGAGATCTCTCAGTTCTTTTTGATTTAACTTCATTTGGAAAGCATTGAAGTAAAGAATGTAAAGGCTGTTTACATGGTTTATGATTTCACACTTAATAATCTTAACGAGACACTATAGATGCACTGTTGATTGTGTGGCAAGCCTCTTGCCAATGGAAGAATGAAGGCAGCTGCTGAAGGGACAGTTAATTCCTATGTCTGTTTTCCTAAAACACATCTGACTCTGTGAGTATCTTTCACGATCACAGGAGTTCAAGCAGAAAGGCTGAAACTTTACCAAAATTTGCATTTGTTTTTGTTCTCTTGCTTCAAATCACTCCTGAAGGATTTTTGTATTTTTAGGAGAAAAAGGTAGTCATATTTGACTGCTAGTTGGTGATGTACTTATCCTTGTGTCTGTACTGTTTTGTGGTTGGGAGAAGATAATTGAAAAATGCTTATGTTAAAATGATATCTGCTGCATAATCACTGCCATACCTTGATTTTAAAGATAAGTGACTTGTCAGTTTGCCCTGGGATTTAAGGCTTGCCATTGCTATATAAATAGAAGTGAAGGTTGATTTAAGGTTTTTTGTTTGCTTCTCATTATTTTGATAGCATCTTTCACTAACAGTAATTGCTACTCTATAAGTCCTTCCTACTTATGAGGTACCATATCAAGTTTTTGTTGGTCTGTCTTTTGTTTTATTTTTGAGACTTGATCTCCAGGGCTGCACCCATCTAACTACTTAATATTTCCATGTAGATGTCTAGGAACCACCAAATTCTTTCTGCTTTGCCATTCCCTCTCCTCAAGTCTTCCCTGTGTCAGTTAAAGTTCTTTTGATAACATTCTCTCATACCTCACATGCAGTCTGTCAGCAATCAGATCCTTTTCTCCACCTCCTTTTTTAAAAAAAAAAAAAAAAGATTTACTTTATTTGTAAATCAGAGGAAGAGAGAGAAATACCTTCTGTCCACGGGTTCACTTCCCATATGGCCACAACAGCCAGGACTGGGCTAGGCCAAAGCCAGGAGCTTCTTCCATGTCTCCCACGTGGGTGGCAGGGGCCCAAACACTTGGTGTTTCCTCCACTGCTTTCTCCCAGGCACATTAGCAGGGAGCTGGATGGGAAGTGGAGCAGTCAGGACTTGAACTGGTGCCTGTATGGGATGCCAGCACTGCAGATGGTGCCTTAACCCACTGGACCCCAGTGCTGGCTGCAACAGTATTTTTTTGGTTGATCTTTGTGCCTTTTTTTTTTTTTTTTTTAATTCTAGTTTTGTTCCTTTCACTCAGCAGCCAGAGTGCTCTTTATACATTGTAAATTAGATCTTGTTTCCTATACTCCAAATCCTGTAATATTTTCCCATCTCATTTGGAATAAAAGCCAAGGCTTTACTGGGTCTTTTGAGGTCCTGCCTGAGTTCCTTGAACCTCTGAACTTCCTGCCGCTACCTTTTCTGCTTATTCCCTCTGCACCAGCCACATTGCCCTCTTTGCTGTTCTTGAGTCCAGCAGCACCGTTGCCCTCCCTTGCCTGCTCCCCCCAGTCCCTTTCCTAGGTTGTGTTCATGCTCACTGTCACCTCCGTCAGGCATGTGTTCAGATGTCACCTTACCCTCTGTAATCCCTCCTCACCCTCTGCTCCCCAAATTTTGTTACGTAGTCACTGCAGTTCCTACCACCTGACTTGCCACATTTATTGTTGTCTTTTACAATAGAATGTGGGTTCCATGAGAGCAGATACTTTTCTTTTACAGCTGTTTTTTTTAAAACAGGTATTTTCTTTTTAAAGATTTATTTATTTGAAAGGCAAGGGTTACAGAGAGGCAGTGACAGAGAGAGAGAGGGAGAGAGATTGATTTTCCATTGCTGGTTCACTCCCCAGATGTCCGTAACAACAGGCACTGGGCTGATCTGAATCCAGGAGCTTCTTCTACATCCCCCATGTAGGTGCAGGGGCCCAAGGACTTGGGCCATCTTCTACTGTTTTCCCAGGCCATAGCAGAGAGCTGGATCGGTAGTGGAGCAGCTGAAACTGGAACCAGCGCTCATATGGGATGTTGGCACCGCAGGTGGCGGCTTTACCTGCTATGCCACAGTGTCGGCCCCTTTCAATGCTTTCTACCTAGAATCTCAACTCTATATGCATAGTAGGTGCTTTATACATATTTGAATGAATGAAATAATGAATTTGTAGAGATTTTTCAAACTTTTTTGGATGGTCATGTAAGTTTTGATTTTATTGTGGCTTCAGAGTTTCATGTTTGTGTAACATATTTCTACATATTCCCCAATATTATGTGTATCTGGTCCTAAATTTTCTTCTAAACATTTTTAAAATCTTTATTCCATCTGGAATTATTTTATACGTCAAGTAAGTTAAGGCCCATGTTTTTGTTGTAAAGAGCCAGTTCTAACAGAAGATTTTATTGAATAAATATTGATTTTAAAATACCTCCTTTGACATATCTTAATTTTCTAGGCATGTTAACATCTGGACCTTGTCTTGTCCAGCTGCTGTGTGTGACCTGTCATTGTAGCAGTTCTCCTATGTTCAGGTGCACTGGCTCAGTTGTCATTTTCACTGTTTGCAGACACATTTTCTCCCACTTGATTACTTTCCATTTTCTTCGATTTTCTCAAAATACTCTGTTCTTTCATATGTATGCTAAATTGGTTTATCTAATATCAGACGCTTTTCTTACAAACTGTTTTATGGATTCTTGTTGGAAGTGTGAACATCTGTGTATCCTATTTATAACAGTGACAAATTGGAAGTAATCCAAAAATTCAACAGAGAAAAGGTTAAGTTAATTTAGACTTTTCATGACCTTACATTCATTCCGTAATTCAGCCAATATTTGAGTCTGCTGTGTGCCAGGCACTGTGCTTGTCACCAAGACTTCAGAGAATAATAATATATGATCTCCATCTTAAGGAATTTATGGCCTGGTAGAAACAGCTGATAATCAAATAACTGTGAACACATGCCAAGTTGTAACTCTAGTGCTATAAGAGCCTAAGGAACAGGAGCTAACTTGGTTTAGGAAGCTATGGGAAGCTTTTTAAGCATGTGATGTTTGAGCTGTTTCTACAGGAAAAGTAGATGACAGAACCTTTTAGTAGGGCAGAATGGCATGTACAAAGTCTCTGTGATGGAGGATGTATTGAAGCATTATGAGAACTGAAAGGCCAGCTGTGTGCAAGATAAACTGGAGATGCTGCCAGGCAGACTTTACAGGCCATCCTAACACCTTTGGAACTTTATCTGAAGAGTGATGGGTCTCTATTGAAAAGAATAGAGAAGGGGAGTGAGTGAGGTGTTACGGTAAGATTTGGCTTTTAAAAGGTCACTCTGGATTTGATGAGGAGAATGGTCTGAGGTGGAAAGTGAGAGGAGTCACTTACAGGCTAAAGGGGTGCTATGAAGCTGAACAGAGTTTTTGAATTAAAGGGATATTTTCACAGAGAAAATCAGCCAGGCATGGGGATCTATGGAAGGAAGCTTCCAAAGGTGACCTCTAGATTCTGGTTTGTAATTGGATAGTAAACACTAGAAATAATCTGATTTGGGAGTATTGACAATAGACCTTTGATTTTAGTAAAGATGTCAAAAGTATTTAAACTGTAATTATAAAATGATGCAAACAACATGGGGAAAGACCTGTTACATTAAATTAAAAATCTATGAAGTATAACTCCAGAAGCTTCCTGTCCAGTGTCATACTACTAAATATCTACTTGTGGCTTTTGAATGCTTGAAATATGACTAGTCCAGATTGAGATACACTGAGAATATACACCAAATTTAAATTTAAAGGCTTAATACCAGAAAAGGTAAAGTTTTACTAACTTTAACTTTACCGATGTGATTTGGATTATATTCCCACTGGACAGGGGTCATTCTGGAATGTGATCTCTACTGGGTTTAAAACACACACACACACACACACACACAGGCCTGTAAAATTGTGCCAGAACATTGCCAGTTATGGCCATGGGTGTTGTTTAGTTTTGTTGTCCTGTCTTTTGTTTTTCAGATTTCATATAAATTATTTTTAGACATTTAAAAGCCTTTATGCTTTCGATTTCAGAAGCTCGAGACAATTTAATCTTTCTCTCGCATACCCTCTGGAAAACTTTAGCTTTCTCAGTGGCTGTAAATACTTCAATGAGGTCATCCAAGGAGTGTAATTCATCCTAAACAACCACTTTCAAGCATGGTTTCTGTCACCATCTGAAGCGTGTTCATTATCAGATTTTTATGCTGTATCATTATCTTTAAGGTGCTGAAAATAGTTCTGATACAGAAAGTGCTCCTTCTCCTTCACCAGTTGAAGCTGTCAAGCCCGGGGAAGACAGCACTGAAAATGCTCCATCGCGAGGAAACCCTGAGCCCGTGGCTGAGCTCGAGTCCTCCACTGAGGCAGCCGCACCTGGTGCATCTCCTTCCTCAGCAGCTCCGAGCACAAAGCCAGCTGAAAATGAAAGTGTGGAGACCCAGCCGAACGACACCATCAGCACTGAGACGGCAGAGCCGATGGACGTAGACCATCAGGATCGCAGCACTGAAGCAGCTTCTACTCTTGATACCCCAACCACTACCAAAGCAGACTCTGTGGATGTTGAAATTAGGGTGCCAGAAAACAATGCTTCTAAAGTGGAAGGTGATACCAAAGAAGGAGACTTGGAGAGAGCCAGTGAAAAGACGGAGCCTAGAGATGAAGACTTGGGGGTGGCCCAGCAGATAGATGCCCAGCGACCCGAGCCCCAGTCAGACAATGATTCCAGTGCCACGTGCAGTGCTGATGAAGATGTGGATGGCGAGCCGGAGAGGCAAAGGTGAGACTGCCTCCTTAGTATTACCCTTTTATTACTCTCAGCTGCTGGCAGGATCACAGCATGGTGCTGGCTGCAGAGAGAGGACTCCTGCAGTGACAAGTTATAGTTCGTCTGTATAATTTCAATATTGGACTGTGGTGTTCATCTGTTTACAAAACCAAGAACAATTGTATGATCATTACTTCATTTCTTAAAGAAACATTATAAATTTTTCCTATATCTGTCTTATTATATATCCTATGTGATAGCAAAAAAACAAAAGATGGAATTTCAGCTGACAAAGTTATAACTAAAACCACAGATGACTGTCATGCCTTAGCATGGTAGCAGTGGCATGTGGTGTGATGGAGTTGGAGGTGAGAGGTGTGGCCTCAGCTGTGCTTTCCTCTAAGGTGGTACAGTCTCCAAACCAGGCTACCCCTGCAGCATAGGAGATGTAAGAAAATGCTAACAGGAGAAACATTTTAAGTGTTCTGAAAATACTTTAGAATTTTTTTTTTTGATAAAGATTTATTTATTTGTTTGAAAGGCAGAGCTAGAGAGGTCTTCCATCTGTTGGTTCACTCTCCAGATAGCCACAGTGGACGGAGCTGGGCTGATCCAAAGTCGGGATCCAGGAGCTTTTCCGGGTTTTCCACGTGGTTGCAGGGGCCCAAGAACTTGGGCCATCTTTTACTGCTTTCCCAGGCCATAGCAGAGAGCTGGATCCAGAAGAGGAGCAGCTGGGACTTGAACCGGCACTTATGGGATGCTGGCACTGCAGGTGGTAGCTTTACCCGCTATGCACAGTGCCAGCCCCTAGAACATGTTTTAAATACAAGTTTTTTATGTCAGTTAAATTTTTAGATGGTTCATATTTATAATTTACTAAGGGGTTTCCAAAAAGGTTGTGGAAAATGTTCCTTAATTTTTTAAAAAGATTTATTTATTTATTTGAAAGAGTTACAGAGAGGCAGAGGCAGAGAGAGAGAGAGAGGTCTTCCGTCCATTGGTTCATTCCTCAGATGGCAGCAACAGCCGGAACTATGTCAATCCAAAGTCAGGAGCCTGAAGCTTCTTCTGGGTCCCCCATGTGGGTGCAGGGGCCAAGATCTTGGACCATCTTCTGCTTTCCCAGGACATAGCAGAGAGCTGGATCAGAAGTTGAGCAGCCAGGACTTGAACTGGTGCCCATATGGGATGCTGGCATTGCAGGTAGTGGCTTTACCTGCTACACCACTGCACCAACTCCCCTTAATTTTTTTTTTATTTTATTTTATTTTTTTTTTAAGATTTATTTAGAGGCTGGTGCTGTGGCACACTAGGTTAATCCTCTTCCTGTGGTGCTGGCATCTCATATGGGCACTGGTTCTAGTCCCAGTTGCTCCTCTTCCAGTCCAGCTCTCTGCTGTGGCCTGGGATAGCAGAAGGTGGCCCAAGTGCTTGGGCCCTTTCACTTTCATGGGAGACCAGGAAGAAGCACCTGGCTCCTGGCTTTGGATTGGCGGAGCTCCAGCCATTGCAGCTGTTTGCAGAGTGAACCAATGGAAGGAAGACCTTTCTCTCTGTCTCTGTCTCTCTCTCTCTCCTCTCTCTCTCTTTTTTCTCTCACTAACTCTACCTGTCAAATAAATAAATAAAATCTTTTAAAAAAAGGATTATTTATTCTGAAAATCAGAGTTACAGAGAGAGGGAGAGACAAATACCTTCCAACCTCCGGTTTGTTCCCCAGATGGCCACAACAACCAGCACTGGTCCAGGCTGAAGCCATAAGCTTTATCCAGGTCTCCCACACAGGTGCATGCGCCCACATGGGATGCCGGTGCTTCAGGCCAGGGCATAAACCCGCTGCACCACAACACCGGCCCCTAATTGGAAGTCTTTCCTGGTGTTTGCTTTTTCTTGAAGAAAGTGGAATCACCTAGAACCATAGTTGGATGACAGATTAGTACAAATTCTAGTGTGCATTAATCAGAAACTCAGCCAGATCCTGCCTTTTGTTGACCTTTCTCTTCCTTTTTTAACAAGAAAGAGACTTATAGCCATTCAGCAACCAATCTACTCAGGGTTCACCTTTACCAGGTGTCCTGGAGTCTATATGTTTCCAGTCCGTATGTAGAGTACTTTATATTATTTATTTGAAAGGCAGAGTTACAGAGTGGCAGAGACAGAGAGAGGTCTTTCATCTGCTGGTTCACTCCCCAGATGACTGCAATGGTCCCGGAGCTGGGCCGATCCAAAGCAGGAGCTTCTTCAAGGTCTCCCATGTGGGTACAGAGACACAAGGACTTGGGCCATCCTCTACTGCTTTCCCAGGCCATAGCAGGGAGCTGGATCAGAAGTGGAACAGCCGGGTCTCAAGCTGGCTTCCATATGGGATGCTGCACTGCAGGTGGTGGCTTTACCTACTACGCCACAGCACCAGTCCCCCATACTTTATATCTTATATGCTCTATAGGGAGATTTGATACTAAAATAATAATATTGAGCATTACAGTGACATTCTCTCAAAGTATTTTTGCGTAATAGAACTATCATTAACCAAATTAAAATAGGAGTTCTGCTTATCCATTGGCTTACCAGAAGGTTTAGCCAGTTTTGATCATTTCTTTTTCTTTCATCTCATGTAATCTAAATTTAATTTTAATGGTTTATTTTGGTTTTTAACTGGATTAAATGTGAATGTGTTCAAATTGTGTAGTTCTTTTTAGAAAGCATTCATTAATGAAACTTCTCATTGTAAATAAGGATTATCTATGTTTTTTGGTATCTATATGTGTACATGAGTGAAAAAATTGGTTTAGCAGTTATCTTAAAAGGTGAACATCCTAGTGGATGAACATGACATTAGGCTTGAAATTGAGAAGCTGCTTGTAAAAATGTAATTTCTGAATGATACAAACTTTCCATCACTTCCAAACTACTGGAAAACATGCTTCATTTTCTACATATTTATTATTATCCTTGTTCTTTATATAATATGTAAATTGTTTCCTTTTATACTTTCTGATTTTCTTACCAACTTATACATTTAAATTTATTCACCTTCCCCCATGACTGTGACAGCATTGGTAAATATGACAAAGACCGTAAGGCATGCCACTGGTACATAGTTTCTTGGGTGTTCTAAACTCAAGTGTAGGTATAGGAATCAAATGAGTCAGGTGGCGTCATGTGGTCATGAGTAAACGTGGCAAGTGGAGGCGTGCTTTGGAATGAGACGGCTGCCAGACTCAGCCTGTGGGAACACTGGTTTCTCCAGTGTTGGTTCTCCATTTTTCACGAGAAGCCAGAAGTTTGCAATTTAGGGTGAAATTCTCAATTTTAAAATGGTAGCAACTACTGAAATGTTTAGAACAGTACTCTGTGATTCTAGCAAAACATCCTGTAACAGGTAACTAGTTTTAAATCTTAGTGGTACAACAGGACTGAGTGTATTTTAATGGCTGTTGACTAGGAGTTTTTTGTAAATATAGGTGATTGAATTCAAATAAATTTCAGCCTGTAAGTCAATATTAGGATTTTCTTTTTTATTATTTAAATATCGTTTAAGAGTTGATGTGTGCCCGGCATTGCGGCTCACTTGGGTAATCCTCTGCCTGCGGCGCCAGCACCTCGGTGTTCTAGTTCCGGTTGGGGCACCGGATTCTGTCCTGATTGCTCCTCTTCCAGTCCAGCTCTCTGCTGTGGCCCAGGAAGGCAGGGGAGGATGGCCCAAGTCCTTGGGCCCTGCATCTGCATAAGAGACCAGGAGGAAGCTCCTGGCTCCTGGCTTCAGATTGGCACAGGACGCCGGCTGCAGTGGCCATTTGGAGGGTGAACCAACGGAAAAGGAAGACCTTTCTCTCTGTCTCTCTCTGTCTATAACTCTGCCTGTCAAAAAAAAAAAAAAAAAAAGAGTTGGTGTTTGTGTGTGTATGTGTATTAACTTAGAAGGAATAATTATATGTTTGAAGTCTCTTTAAGCAAAAATATATTGATTTATCTTTTTTTTTTTAAATTGACAACTGCAGAATATTTCCTCTGGATTCAAAGCCTTCGTTATTAAACCCCACTGGATCTATATTGGTCTCCTCCCCAATAAAACCAAATCCGTTAGACCTGCCTCAGCTTCAGCATCGAGCTGCTGTTATCCCACCAATGGTAAGTTTTCAATGTAAGAAAAGTGAAGTTGAAATGTAAAGACCTCTATAGACATATTTTTTCTCTTCTGCAGTTGATTCTTAATGTTTTTTTAAAAATATGAAAACCACATTGCGTGAAATTAACCGTCCTAACCAATTTTAAGTATATAATTCAGTAGTGTTAAGTGTATCCACATTATTGGGAAACTGATTCACAGACTTTCATCTTTTAAATCTGAAATTCTGTTCCTTTTAAACAATTCCCTGTTCCTCCTCTCCTAGCCACTGGTAACCATGCTTCTACTTTGTGTACCAGGGAACTGTTTTCCCCACAACACTTGATTTAGATATGTTTGTCTTATCCTTGCATCACCCAGTTCTCCAACTGTCTGGACACCAAGTAGGTGTCCTACAACTCAACTCAGTTCTGATCAGCTACCCGGAGTTAGTGTGAGATGCCATGGCTATAAGGACTCAGTCCCACGGATGGCCCTCACTTTACAGAAAGGCCAACCCTGTAAGTATTTGGTCCTCCAGTCACCTGCACTTCAGTTCAGTGAGGCCACAAATCGGAGCATCTTCCCACCCTCCCTCTCACTGACAGTTTTTACTTGAATGAATCACAGAACTCAAGAAAGTGCCTTACTCACTGTTATGGCATATTGTAAAGGATACAGCTCATGAACAGCCAAATGGAAGAGGTGTATGGACCAAGGTATCATCCCCTAGGTGTTCACCACCTTCCCAGCATCTCTGTGTTCCAACAGGGAAGCTCGCTGAGCCCCCAGGGATTTTATGCCTGTCTCTGATGATAATTGGTAAAAGTTACGTGTGTGCTTATGATAGACTTGCCAGAACAAATTGGTTTACTTAAACAGGTCCTTGTTGAGTATCTGCCTAGTTTAAAACAGCATTTCTTTGTGAAGAGTTTTATTTATCTGTTTATGTATTTGAAAGTCAGATGACAGAAGCAGCAGCATTCCCCAAATGCCTGTGATAGCTAAGATTGGGCTAGGCCCACGCCAGGAGCCAGAAATTCCATCCAGGTCTCCTACCTGGGTGGCAGGGAACCCAAGTACTTGGGCCATCGTTTGCTGCTTCCTGGGCACATTAGCAGGAAACTGGATTGGATTCAGGGACAGGTATCCCACGTGTCAGCTTAACCCACTGTGCCTCAACGCCCACCACTTAAGATAAAATTTTATTGCTGTTGGGAATATTTTTGTATCATGGTCTATAACATTAAAAAACCTTAGCAATTGTTCTGGATAATAAAGCAGAGAAAAAAATTCTTGATAATGGCACAATGGGTAAAGCTACTGCCTGTAATGCTGGCATACCATATGGGTGCCAGTTTATGTCCTAGCTGCACCACTGCTGATCTAGCTCCTTGCTAATGGCCAGGGAAAGCAGCAAAAGTTGGCCCAAGTGTTTGGGCCCCTGCTACCCACATGGGAGACTTGGAAGAGGCTCCTAGCTTCAGCCTGGCCCAACCCTGGCCATTGTGACCATCTGGGAGGTGAACCAGTGGATGGAAGGTCTCTCTCTGTTTCTCTCTCTCTCTCTCTCTCTTTCTCTAGCTCTGACTTTTTATATTTAAACAAATATTTAAGAATATAAAATGTAATTTCTTATGAGGTTAAAAATTTCTGTGGATATTCAGAGAGGAAGGAGCTTTTTCTTAGAGACTTTAAATTCCACATAGGAAATAATGTGATTGAATTAAAGCAGGTCATTTGGCTTTATAGCAAAAGGAGAAATAGCCTTGTTTATATGTAAAGCAAAGGTTATGTGTGTTTTAGAATCAGTGAAAAAGTCCTACTATGGTAGAGGAAAACCTTCAAGTCTTCAGATAATCGGATCTCTTGGGGTTCCTAGTGCTGTTGGTTATTTGTGAAGTGTTTGGCCATGAACTGTGTTCTGGCCTATTTATTTAGCATTAGACAAAACAGCCTGAGTTCTTTTCTTTGTGAAGTAGGAGAAACAGAACTAAAAACAAGCAAGCTTGGGAAGCAGCACCGTGTTTTTCTGGATGGCTAGGGAGCCTCTCTGAAGGAGTTGATGAGAACTGGCTGTGGGAAGAGAGAGATGGATTACTCAAGGATGATGACCAGGTTTCTGGCTAGGGCAGCTGAGATTCCATTTCTAAAAAAGATGATGAGCACTAAAGGAGAAGCATTGAGTTTAGAAAACGCAAAGTCCTGATTTGAATAAGTTCTGGATTGCTTTGAGATATCCAAGAAAATTGTTAGGCAATTTTATATGTAAGTGTGGGATTTGGAGAAAGTATCTTAGAAATAGGAACTAGATGTGTCATTAATGTAAGGATGACATTTAAACCCACAGAAGTGGATGTGGTAATTGAGAGACAAGGATGTAGGGGTGGGACCCTAGGCCAGGCCACAAGGAATGTGGCCATTATAAGCCGAAATCATATGGATGTGTTTTAGCTTCTAATTTTAATGTTTTATCATAGTTTTTGTGATTTACATTGTGTTCAGCTCTGAAAAGAGCTGTCTAGCATTTTAAGCATTATTTTTGAAGATTAAAATGGTAAAATAGGCTGAACCAGTAATATGAATGAAATAGCATTACTTGTAACAGATGGCAATTATCACTACATTGGTTATTGGCATATTTAGATTTTTTTTCTTCTATAGGTTTCCTGCACCCCATGTAATATACCAATTGGAACCCCAGTGAGTGGCTATGCTCTCTACCAGCGACACATTAAAGCAATGCATGAGTCAGCACTGCTGGAGGAACAGCGGCAGAGGCAGGAGCAGATTGATTTGGAATGCAGAAGTTCTACAAGTCCATGTGGCGCTGCCAAAAGTCCTAACAGAGAGTGGGAAGGTAGGTGGGTGGCACTACCACCAGAGAGAACTTCCCTGAGGGAAAACAAAACTAAGCCCAAAAGTAGTATCTTTTGTGCTTTATATGTTAAGGGCTAATCAACTGATTTTACTACATTTGTCCCTAATAGATACAATTCCTTCAGTTGACCTTAGGTGAACTATTAAGGAATGTTAGTTTTATTGACTAATATTATTGATGGTAGTAACATTGTTCTGGTTAATGCGAATTTTCTAATACCCATCTTTATGCTGAAGACTTTATCAGAGCCACGCTTTATGCTCCGTTCGTCTGAATTTTCAGAGTAACCGAGAATTGTTGTCTTGTCCTTGATGCAAATCATGCACAGCAGCATCATGTTCTAATTCTGTGATACGGTGGGAGACAGCTTTTTCTAATGGATAGTGCCAGTCAGACCCTGGCTTAACTTTACCCTGGCATTTGCCAACTGTGTGGCCATAGTCAAGTCACTTAATCTTTCATAGCATTAGACTTCCCATCTATAAGGTGACAGTAATAATGTGTATTACCTTGCAGGGGTTGTAAAGTTAAGAATGAGCGTTTAGTATTATTATATACAACACTTGACTCAGCATGATTTTATGTATAATATAGTGTATGCTAATTAGCATCTTAGTATATTCTCAGTGCATTAGTAGATACACTATTATAGATACAGTAGATATTGTGGAGGCACCTATCAGTGTTATGTCACTGTTGTTATTTCAGGTGACACATTTGAATAGATGTGTGCTGTTGGAGTTACAATACACTTTTACTTTCTTAAAATGATTTCTAATTTTTATAAAGAATTAATTTACTTGAAAGTAAGAGTGGCAGAAGGAGAAAGAGAATAAATGAGCGAGCCCTTCTAACTGTTGGTTCATTCCTTCAAATGTCCACAACAGCCAGGGATGGTCAGGCTGAAGCCAGGAGCCAAGAACTCCATTCAGGTCTCCTGTGTGGGTGGCAAGAACTGAAGTACTTGGCCATCATCTTCTGCCTCTAGTTTCATTAGCAAGAAGCTGCATCAGAAGCAGAGGCGAGACTCACTCGTAGATGTGAGTCTCTTCATCACTTCAGGATGTGGGAGTCCCAGGCAATGACTATAATAAATTCTTCTGACATAGAACAAGAATATGCATGGGTATTCTGGGTTTTAGTGAATCCAAGGATTATTTGTATATTACAGAGTGCTTAGCATGTAAGAAGATAGTACCTTATATTGATAAATGGGAACTGGGAGCTTTATTTTATTTTATTTTATTTTAAGATTTCTTTATTTGCAAGTCAGAGTCAGAGAGAGGGAGAGTGAACCATCCACTGGTCTCCAGGTCTCCCATGTGGGTCTCAGGGGTACTGGTACTGGACCGTCTGCTGCTGCTTTCCTAGGTGCATTAACAGGGACCTGGATCAGAAGTGGAGCAGCTGGGACTTAAACTGATGCTCCTGGGGGCTGCAGGCATCGCAGACATCAGCTCAATCCTCTGTATCACAGTGGCAGCCCCAGACCTGTGATCTTTAAAATGTCATGCATTTCAACACTATTTAGTGTAAAATAGAAACTGGAGTAGCTACCTGATTCTGCCAAATATCTGCCCCCTGCTCAGAGACACACTAGTAATGAGTTATTAATTACATAACACACTTTGGGCTGGCGCGGTGGTGCCCTGGGTTAATCCTCTGCCTGCAGCGCTAGCATCCCTTATGGGTGCCGGGTTCTAGTCCCGGTTGCTCCTCTTCCATCCAGTCCAGCTCTCTGCTGTGGCCTGGGGAATTGTTTTTACTTTCCTGTAGTGTTTACATGTATTGTCCAATTTTTCTGATGATGTTGAAGACTTTTTCTTGTAGTGAAGTAACTCAAACTTACACATGTAGAGATAAAGTTAGAATTGAGTTTCTAAAGCAAGGTTTAAAAGAGTTTATGCTTCTGTGTAACTGAATTCAGTTTGTTCTGGGTTTCTTTTGTTTCTCCAGCTCTGGGTACATGGTGATCTAAATAGTTGTGTTTAGAACCAGCTAGATTTCCATTCTTTTTTAAAAAATGTTGATATTACTGGTGGATTTTTAAATATATTACTAGAAATTGTGATCAGGCAATGAATTCTTAATACAATCATCAATTTAAATTCTGTAGAAAGAAGTGATTTTTCTTTTGAAGAAGGTTTGTTTCATAAATCTGTTGACTCAGAATTAGGACACTTAATTCATCATACTAATATAGCAGAAAAGAAAACTATCTATCATCTCGATAGATACCTCAGGCACAACATCCATTATACACAGTGAGACACTGTCATTCTGTGGTTTAGAGCTACAGAGTCTGGATTTTACATTGCTTTTCAAAAGTTTCTGGTGCTATGAAGGCAGTTGGGCAATTAGATTTGATTCTTCTTAGCTTTAGTTTCTTTGTGAAGGCTGAGATATTTCATGTAATACAGTGGTGCCCAGCACTTGCTCTATTGATAATACAGTAATTGTTTCTGATTTTTAAAAAATATCTGAGTAGACAAAACTTTATATACCTTTGGGTAATGAATCCCTTTTGAAACCAATTATAGATTTTAAAACTTAACAGTGAAATAGTAGAGACCTTCATAATGACTAAGAACGAAGAGGTATCCCATCTCTTAATGCAGTGTAGCTGGAGAAGAGAAGTTTGAATATTTGAATAGGTAAGGCAAATTGTAACTTAAGGATAAGACTATCAAAAGATTATCAACCTAGAAATCCTAAAGGAATCAATTGAAAAGTTATTAGAGCTAAAAGGAAAATTGAAGCTTCTTAGAAAAAAAGTAGAAATTCGCATCTTTCTGATACATCTACAGTATTGTGTCAAATATACAAACATGTATATATGAAAAGGTGATTTTCCTAGCAACAGAATATTAAATATGTAGGAATAACTTTTGACAAGTAATGTACCAACCTATATGAAAAAAAACTAAATTCCTTTAATAGAAAATTCATTATTATAAAGTATATAAAATCTCTACTATTTATAAAGCAAATTAAATGGAAATTCAAGTGATACTTTGAGGAGAAAGTACTGAAAATGTTTTTAAAACTAAATTTATTTGTAAGGACAAATGGATAAGAATAGGAAAAAGAGTAGTGAAATGAATGGTAATTTTTTTCTTGCCATTTTTTTCTACACATCTAAATGCATAGAGATGATTTTTACTTTGTGCTGATCTGATTTTCAAAAATCATTCCAGTATGTCAATTTCATTTAAATAAAGACAAAATTATTTATATGTATTTAAAGTTCTTAATCTGACTATATTTTGGCATGCTCTGTAAATGTTTCAAGTTATTTTATACTGTTTGGAATGTTATTTTATACTGTTTGTGTGTTATGTAATCGTCATTAATATTATTACAGTTATATTCATGGTTTTAGAAGTTCTGTAGGATTTTTTAATTAGCTTGATCTGCATCTTTGAAAGTCTTCCATTTCTTAAACTTATTTTTCTCAATATTAAGAAATGAGCATCAACAGGCTGATTTTAAGAGTTGAAACCCTTGAAGAACTTAGCTGTAATTCAGGCTAGACTTGAATTCACAGAATTGCTTGCTAATCTGATGTTTGCCTGTTGTGATTCTCTTGCATGTGGAAACACTTGATTCTCCTTAAGAGGAAAAGAAACATTTTTTTGTCCCTTAAAGAGAAAAATTATGTCATTTACATAGAGTTAGATTGAGAGTACTTCCTAACCTCTCCGTGGAAGATCCCTCACCCCCAGGAATTTCCAACTTTGATTGTAGTATATAGACTAGATCTGCCCATGGATGGTGTGGGCTTGGTCCTTTCACACTTACTATTATTTTGATAACTTTAACTTTCATAGGAAAATCAGTTGCCTATATGCCTTACACTGAGGTCAGACGTGCTCTAGAACAGGAAGAACAGGTGCACAGTACCGCAGCAAGGTCAGCCTCACTGTGTAGGCTCTCTCCAAAAGAAGTCAGTTGAGCCACTCCACAGCCTGATATGAGAGCAGCCCGCTCTAGTGTCCTGCTAGGTGAAACTCCTCAGTGCAGTGGCTGCTGGCCATCTACCCATAGAGGCTCTACGTGGGTGGGTTAATCTCATGAATGAGCTGCTCTGCAGGACACGTCCTTGCTGTTTGAGAGCAACCTCCTTGTTTCTCTGCATTCCATCTTCAGTTGTATTCCATTGAGATTCACTGGGCCACTGGGAAATGTATGTCCATACTTTTACATTGTGATATTGATTAGCTTTTGATTGAAGAATGTGTGTATTTTCTGACATTCTCGAACTCCACCATCCCTCTTCGGCCTGCAGAAATTCAACTGTTCTGTGAGAGCCAGGCAATTAGTGTTGCTCAAATTATGCAGCATGAGGAGAGGACGTCTCACTGGTTGTCGGTCGTGTCTGCATAGTCTGAAGCAATGATAGCAGCTGGCCCTTAAGCACCATTTTTTCTCACCTGCATTGTGAGGTCAAGAGTGACAGAGAGTGAGAAAAAAATCATTTAAGGTTGATATTTGCATAGACTAAGCAGAAAGCATTTGAACGAGTATCAGCTTGGAAGCTCTGATGTGAAGGGAGTTGATGTTTCAGCCTCACAATACCATTTGTGACGTGATCATGTATAGAGGCTCAAGAGAAAGAAGCTCACAGTGGAAATGTTCATCCTTGACTTCATTTTATATCTGTCATTTAATTTGTGATTTGCAAATTTAGAAATGGCTGAGATAAGTATCATGTTGCAAACGAGGACATTGACTATTTTAAATCACCTTTTCCTTTTCAAAGTCCTGCAGCCTGCTCCCCATCAAGTGATAACTAATCTTCCTGAAGGGGTTCGGCTTCCAACAACTCGACCAACCAGGCCGCCACCACCACTCATCCCATCGTCCAAAACCACGGTGGCTTCCGAAAAGCCGTCTTTCATCATGGGAGGCTCCATCTCACAGGTAAAATGGCTGTGCTTTGCTGTAGATTTCCTGTTGAATGTCTCTTAGGAGAAACTTTTCCCTCTTCCTCGTGCTAATTTGTCAAGAGTACTGCTAAAGAATAATGTATCTGAATATGAAACTTCCAGAGACAATCATCAAGAAATGCAGCATTTGCTATACTCTGTTCATAGTTTGAGTGGCCAGGGCATACTACCTGTTCTGACTTACCAAAGGCATATGTTTGCCCTGAAGTTTAGTGTAATGTAAAGTAGACTGGAGTATTTTCAACTAGTAGAATATTTATTTTAAAGACTGTAAATATTAAATAGTTTTTTATTTACTTTATAGGAAAGTCCTGCTTTATTTTGATTTTGGCCATTAAATCTTCCTGGTGTTTTTTCCTTTTTCAGTTGAGATAGGATTTGAGCCTAATAGTTCAGTCAGTTTTGGCTAATGTGTACAATGTGACCCAACTCTAATCAAGTCACTGAACATTTTCATCACTTCAGAAAATTTTTCCTGGCTTCCCGAGCAGGTCTCCTCGCCACCACTGTTATACTTTGTTTTCATAGGTTCATCTCGCTTTTTCTAGAACTCCCTGTGAAATGAATCAAACTGTATACATTCTTTTATGTCTATTTTCTTTAATTTGGCATAGTGATTTTAGGGATTCAGTCAGGTTTTTGTGTAGTAAGTACTTTTCCTCTTTACTGCTGAATAATACTCCATTGTTGGAACAGGTTGTTTATCCAACCCTGTTGGTGGAAACCTGAACTGTTTCTACATTTTGGCTACTAAGAATATAGCTGCTTTTAACATTCTTCGAGTAGGTTCTTTGTGGACATGTAGTTTTCATTTCTCTAGTGTAGTTATCTGGGAGTGGGGTGTGTGTGTGTGTGTGTGTGTGTGTGATTTCCTAGAGTAGTTTTGTATTTGTTCTGTTTTCTGGTCAGTCTTTTTCATTTTAGTCATACTAAGTAAATGTGTAGCAATATCTCATTGTTGGATTTTGAATTTCCATAACAACAAATGATGTTAAGTACTTTTTTGTGTACTTGTTAATTGTACATCTGTCTCTGTGATGTAACCACAGGTGGAGCATCCCTAATCTGAAAGTTCAAAATTGAAATGTTCCCAGATGTAAAACTTTGAGTTTCATCACACAAGTGGAAAATTCCATATTTAACCTCATATGACAGATTGCAGTCAAAACACAGGTGTGGGGGCCGGTGCTGTGGCATAGTGACACTATGTGGGTAGCTGATGTGGGTGCTGGTTCATGTCCTGGCTGCTCCACTTCGAATCCAGCTCTCCGCTAATATGTCTGGGAAAGCAGCAAAAGATGGCCCAAGTGCTTGAACCCCTATAAGCATGTGGAAGACCCTAATGAAGCTTTTGGCTCCTGGCTTTGGTCTGACCCTTTCCTGGCTGTTGTAGCTGTTTGAAGAGTGAACCAGTGGATGGAAGATCAATTGATCTCTTTCTCTGTTTTCCCCCATCATTCCCTCTGTCTCTCTTCTTCTGTTCCTCCCATTCTCTAATTGCCTTTCAAATAAATCCTTAAAAAAAAATAAAGCCACACAGGTACAATAAAAATATGTATAAAGTTACATTTGGGCTATGTGTATAAGGTATATAGAAACCATAAATGAATATCCCTTGGATATTTAATTAGGTATATACAAATATTCCAAAATCCAAAACACATCTCTCTGGTCCTAAGCATTTTAGATAAGAGATGCTCAACCTATATTAAGAATTGTCCGTTACTATTGAGTCTTTCTGTTACTGAGTTGTAGAAATTCTTTATGTATTATGGTTGAAAGTTCTCTATTGGATGGATGTGTATTAGAAATGTTTACTCTATTTGTGGCTTGTCTTTTTATTTTCCTTGATGTAGTATATATATACTCCTTTCCCCTTATGATTAATTCTGTTTCATTAAGATTTCTTTGCTTTTTCCAAGGTTGTGACATAATCTGAGTTTTCTTGTGAAAGCTTTCTAGTTTTGAATCTTATGTCAAGGCCTATAATAAGTGTTAAATAACTTTTGTGTGTGGTATGAGGTTAGAATTGACATTCAGTTTTCCACTTAGATTTCTAGTTCCAGTGCCATTGGATGAAAAATTTTTCATCCTCCACTTGACTGCTTTACTGCCTGTGTTAGAAATCAGTTGGCTGTGTATGTGTGTGTCTATTTCTATACTTTGAGTGCTGTTCCCTTTCCCTTGTCCACGCTTTTGTCAGCACCACAGTTTTGATCTTTCTAGCTTTATAGTAGTGATTTTGTTTCTTAAGATTATTTTGTCTATGATATGTCTTTTGCATGTCCCTATAAATTATTTAATCAGTTTGTCAATTTCTTAAAAAGCTCAAAGCCTGGGATTTCATTGGTATTGCATTAAATCTACGGATTAGGGGGTAGGTGCAGGGTCTTAGTTCACCCGAATGAGAATGGATTGGGTCCAAAGAAAGGTAAGTGCGCCGCTCGCTCGCCTGTTCCCCAGCCTCCCGATCCCGGATATGGTCAGACGCAGTGGGGAGTCAAGTCAAGCAAGCAAGAACTCAGTTTATTGCGCGTGTAGCAAAGCCTTTTAAAGCACAAGACTGCAGGATTACTGGGGCAGGGCATAAGGACCAACCAATTACTTAAAAGGTCATTTTACAGGGTGATTTTCTACAGGACCAGCCACATGTCTGTACACTCGTCATCAGTTGTCGTCACCTCCCCTGATGCTGCACAGGCAATCAACTTTGGTGGTAGACAACTTTGGATACCGCCCACCTTACTTCCTTTGGGTGCCATCTTTGAATTGCCTCCTTTGCCTGATTTCCCCACAGTAGGATTGGACAGTATTGAATCCTCTAATCCATGAATGTGTATTTTATCTTTTTTTTAAGATTTATTTATTTATTTGAAAGCCAGAGTTACACAGAAGGAGAAGCAGAGAGAGAGAGAGAGAGAGAGAGAGAGAGAGAAGTCTTCTATCCGCTGGTTCAGAGAGAGAGAGAGAGAGAGAGAGAGAGAAGTCTTCTATCCGCTGGTTCACTCCCCAGTTGGCCACAACCGCAAGAGCTGTGCCAATCCGGAGCCAGGAGTTTCTTGCAGGTCTCCCATGCGGGTGCAGGGGCCCAAGGACCTGAGCCATCCTCTACTGCTTTCTCAGGCCACTGCAGAGAGCTGGATCAGAAGTGGAGCAGCCTGTACTTGAACTGGCGCCCATATGGGGTGCCGGTACTGCAGACGGCAGCTTTACCTGCTACACCACAATGACAACCCCTATTTTATGTTTTTATAAATGATACTATTTAAAATTTTTAAAAATTTTTTTTTATTTTTATTTTTTGATAGGCAGAGTTAGACAGTGAGAGAGAGAGACAGAGAGAATGGTCTTCCTTTTTCCGTTGATTTACCCCCCAAGTGGCCGCCACGGCTGCGCGCTGCGCTGATCCAAAGCCAGGAGCCAGGTACTTATCCTGGTCTCCCAGGCAGGTGCAGAGCCCAAGCACCTGGGCCATACTTCACCGCCCTCCCAGGCCATAGCAGAGAGCTGAACTGGAAGAGGAGCAACCAGAACAGAATCCAGTGCCCTGACCCATACTAGAACCCAGTATGCCGGCGCCACAGGCGGAGGATTAGCCTAGTGAGCTGCGGCGCTGGCCTAAAATTTTTTATATCCCAGTTCTTGCTATTATATAGAAATATAATTGACTTCTGTATTTTCATTTGCCTCCTGTAACATTGAGTTAGTGCTTCTAGTAGGATTTTGGTTTTTAAACTCTTTTTTTTGTTTTGGTGGATTTCTTTATGTATGCATGTTGTTTGCAAATGAGGATAGTCATATTTCTTCCTTTCTAACCTTTAGTCTGTGTATTTCTTGTTTTATTGCACTGGCAAGATAAAACTTTCAAGTGATATTGAATAGAAATGCTGGGATGAAGGCATTCAGTACTTCACAGTTAGCTATGATGTTAATTGTAGGCTTCTCATTACTGCCTTTAACCAAAATGAAGGGTTTCCTTCAATTCTTAGTTTGCTGAGTTTTTTCCCCTCTCAGTTTTTATACTTCTCAGCATTTCTATTTTGTTCTTTTTTATGATTTATTTCTCTTTGATATTCCCTTTTGATGAGACCATCATTCTCATACTTTGCTGTAATTATTTACATGTGATTTTAGTTTTTTGAACATATTTATAATGGCTGATAAAGTGTGTGTATTAAGTGCAAAGTTCAGACAGTTTCTGTTCACTGCTCTATTTCAGATGTGTGGCTCCCACTTGTTTCTTAGTTTGTTTAGTAATTTTTGGTCAAAGCTGGGTATTTTATATAATGTGGCAACTCAGGAAATCAGATCTGCATCCTCCTTCTGCCACCCTGGGCTTATTGTTTCTTTTTGTCCTTTTCTTTCATTTTCATTTATTTTATGCTGACTTTATTCCCAAGCCATAAGTTTTGGTTTCTTAGTGTCTTCTGGGCTGTCTGTCTTCTGTGCCGATCCTCTGCTGGTTTAGGGACAGTTTGTTTCCTTTCAGTGAGGATCATTTCCATGTGGCACGGGGAGCTCACGTGTGAGTTCATCCCAGCATGCACTCTGTAGGGGTGGCGGTGCGTCTTGGGGGCTTTGTTCAAGTGAATGTGTTCAATGGCCAGAGAATCTACATCCAAACCCTTCAGTTCCCTATCATTCTCTGCATATCTAAGCAGGTACAACAGAAACTCAGCACTCTTTTTGGCCACTGACCCTGTGTCCAGCCTCACTGCTTGACCTGCGCACTCCCAGCTGCTCCACCATTGCAATGGCTGAATGACTTGCTTGCTTCTTTCATGTGACATCTTTCAGATACTTGAGAGCTTTTTGGATGTGCATATCCTTGATAGCCTGGGCAGTTTCTCAGGTGTTCTTGAAGTAAACACAAAGATTGGAACCTCTTGATTTGCATGATTTTGTGGGATTTTTCTGAGTCAAGTGAGTAAGTAGCGAACTATCACCCAAGACCACACAGGAGAGGGGCTTGTTATTTCTATTTCTGTTTTCAGTTGTTGTTTATTTGTTTAATGACTTTCTTGAACTAATTTTGTAGAATCTGAATTATTTGTCATACGAAAGTTCTGCTTGGTTAGCCTAGTGGTCAGTTAATGATTAGAGAATCCCCAAATTCGTAAAACCATTAATTTTCCAGTCTTTGTTTAGGGGTTCTCTGTGTATATTGGGGTGTGCCTTTAGCACTCAGTCAAGGCAATTGGCAGCTCTACTTTAGTCTTCGTTTCCTGCTCTGCAGAGCTTTCATGTCAGCCAAAGGTGAGAGTTTAGGGCCTTCTCACATCTTTCTTAGAAATATAAAAGCTTGGATGGCGCCGCGGCTCACTGGGCTGATCCTCCACCTTCGGTGCCAGCACCCTGGGTTCTAGTCCCGGTTAGGGTGCCGGATTCTGTCCCGGTTGCTTCTCTTCCAGTCTGGCTCTCTACTGTGGCCTGGGAAGGCAGTGGAGGATGGCCCAGGTCCTTGGGCCTGCACCCGCATGGGAGACCAGCAAGAGGCACCTGGCTCCTGGCTTTGGATCGGCGCAGCATGCTGGCTGTAGCGGCCATTTGGGGGGTGAACCAATGGAAGGAAGACCTTTCTCTCTCGCTCTCTCACTGTCTAACTCTGCCTGTCAAATATATATATATATATATGTACATATACACACACATGTGTGTGTGTGTATAAAAACTCATAGCCCTATGTTCCCAGGAGTGTGCTGGAGCTTTTCATACATCGGTGAGCATCTTGATCCTAGCTCTTCCTTCTGGGCTCTGGTTAGCCTGTAGTTTGTTCTCTATCTGCCGCTCTTGGCAGCAGAGAAGTTGGTCATCTTTGACAAGCCTGCACTGCCTTCCCTATCCTAGTCAGGTTAAATAAGGCAGCTATGCAAGCGAAATCTCCAGATTCATGATAGGTGTATGGGAATGAGGGTTTTAAGGAACTCCAGCCCTGCTCTCCCCTTATGCTGGCTGCCAGTCTGCTGGTTTGTACCCTGGTGTTTAGGACCACTCCAGAGCTCATGGGGAGAATAGGAATGGCAGTAGAGCAAGTTAAAATGCCACTGAGCTCACTCTTCTAAACTGAGTCAGTGGCTTTTCTTGAGTAAAGGCTGCCAGTTCTCTGCAAGCCTTTGGTTAATTTTCAGAGTTCTTTAAAGGCCGATTCATACATTTTTGCAGATAATTCTGGTGCTTTTTATAGAAGAGAGTATTCAGGAATCTTTATTACTCTATTTTCACTGCATTCTCTCTCCATAGCATTTTTAAGAAGAATAAATGTTAATAATAATAGCTTTTATTTTGAGCACACTGTGTAAGTGCTTAGTTTTTGGAACTTTTAATGGAACATATTATCTGTGTTTAATTTATGGAAGTTCAGAAGCCGTATTTTGCTCTTTTTAATTTTTATAAGAAGTCTATGAAGGATATTTTCTTGTTTTGCAGAGTTTTCTTTAAAAAAAAAAAAGAATTATTTATTTGAAAAGCAGAGTTACAGACAGGGAGATACAGAGCTACTTGCCACCTGCTGGTTCACTTCCCAAATGGCTATAATGGTTAGGGATAGGCCAGCCTGGAGCCAGGAGCCAGGAGCTTCATTCAGGTCTTCTGCTTGCTAGCAGGGTCCAAGCACTTGGTCCATCTTCCACTGCTTTCCCAGGCCTTTAACAGGGAGCTGGATTGGAAGTGGAGTAGCTGGGACTTGAACCCGTGCTGATGTGGGATTCTGGTGTTTCAGGGGGCAGGTTAACCGACAGTGCCAGAACACTGGCCTTTACAAATAGTATTCTTAATTTTGCCTGACAGGGGTATAAACTTCTATTACAGACATGTGAACATTGACTTTATAATTGACCTCGTGAAAAGACAATGTTTAGTCTTTAAATTATTTTTTAGGGAACGCCTGGCACGTATCTGACTTCTCATAATCAGGCTTCCTATGCTCAAGAGGCAGCTAAGCCCTCGGTGGGATCCATCTCTCTTGGACTGCCACGGCAACAGGAGTCCTCCAAATCAGGTCAGTGTGTTACAGCAGGACACAACTGCATTTGTAGCATCACAGCCAGTAATTCAGTACTTGGTTTATTAATACTTCTCTGCTTTTGTCCACAGCTGCTTTGCCCTACATCAAGCAGGAAGAATTTTCTCCGCGAAGCCAAAATTCCCAACCTGAGGGTTTATTGGTCAGGGCCCAGCATGAAGGTGTGGTCAGAGGTAAAATATGCAGAAACATTAAGCTTTTAGCCCCAGTGAATTTTAAAGTCATTAACATGTTTTAATACTGAATTTTCAAGTTACAGCCTTTAAATTTTAAATTGAAGGGGTGGACATTTGGCCTGGTGGTTAAAATGCCAGTTTTGACAAACATGTTCCATATTGGAGTTCCTGGGTTTAATTCATGGCTCTGGTTCTTAACTCCAACTTCCTGCTAATGTAGGCTGTGAGTGGCAGTTGTGATGACTCAAATAATTGGGTTCCTGCCACCTATTGGGATACAGGGATTGCATTTTTGGCTCTCAGCTTTGACCTCAACCCAGACCTAGAGAGAGAACCAAATGAGATAGGATGAGATCTGTTCTCTGTCTCTGCCTCCCAAATAAAAAGTGGAAAGAAAATTTTTTAATGATGTATTGAGGCCGGTGCCGCGGCTCACTAGGCTAATCCTCCACCTTGCGGCGCCGGCACACCGGGTTCTAGTCCCGGTCAGGGCACCGGATTCTGTCCCGGTTGCCCCTCTTCCAGGCTAGCTCTCTGCTGTGGCCAGGGAGTGCAGTGGAGGATGGCCCAAGTGCTTGGGCCCTGCACCCCATGGGAGACCAGGAGAAGTACCTGGCTCCTGCCATTGGATCAGCGCGGTGTGCCGGCTGCAGCACGCCAGCCGCGGCGGCCATTGGAGGGTGAACCAACAGCAAAGGAAGACCTTTCTCTGTCTGTCTCTCTCACTCTCTCACTGTCCACTCTGCCTGTCAAAAAAAAAAAAAAAGTATTGATTTATTTATTTGAGAGAGAGAGAAAGAGAGAGGTTTTCCATTTGCTGGTTCATTCTCCAAATAACACAACTGCCAGGTCTGTACCACTCCAAAACTGGGAACCAGGAACTCCATTGTCATCTCCCACTTGGGTGGCAGGGGCCTTCATCTGTTGCCTTCCCAGGCACATTAACAGGAAGCTGGATAGGAAGCAGAGCAGCCAGGACTGGAACCAGCACACCAGTATGGGAATTCAGGGTTGCAAGCAGCAGCTTAACCCTTTGCGCCACAATGCCCAGCTCCAAGTCAGAACTTTAAGAAGGAAATTGTAAATAATTTTTCTTTCCACGTAAACATGATGGCATAGCAGGTTAAGCTACCATCTACAGTGCTGGCATCCCATATGGGTACCAGTTCGAGTCCTGGCTGCTCCACTTCCAGTCCAGCTCCCTGCTAATGTGCCTAGGAAAACAACAGCAGAAGATGGCCCAAGTGTTGGGCCCCTGCACGCATGTGGGAGACCCAGAAGAAACTCCTGGCTTTGGCCTCACTCAGCCCTGGCCCTTGTGACCATCTGGGGAAGTGAACCCATGGATAGAATCGCTCTCTGTGTCTACCTGTGTGTCTGTAAATCTGACTTTGGAATAAATAAATAAATCTTTTTACAGTTTTCTTTTTAAAAAAAAAAAAGATTTATCTTCATTTATTTGAAAGGCAAAGATCCAGAGAGAGAGGGAAAGAAATCTTACATCTGCTAGTTTGCTCCCCAAATGACCACAATACCTGGGGCTGGGCCAGGCTAAAGCCAAAAGCCAGGAGCTTCCTCTGGGTCTCCCATGTGATTGACAAGGGTCAAGAGCTTGGGCCATCCTCAGTTGCTTTCCAAGGCTCATTAGTAGGGAGCTGGATCAGAAGTGGAGCAGCTGGGTCTTGAACTGGTGTCCACATGGGATGCGGGTGCTGAGGCATTGGCCCAACCTTCTACACCACAGTGCTGGCCCCTCAGTAGTTTTTATAATTGCAATATTTTTTAGAGGTATATGTCAACAAATAAGAACTATTTGTTGTGTTTTTTCTTTTCTTTATTTTTTTGTTGTTGTTGTGTTTTTTCATTGTCTTCTTATTCCTCTCCCAAAATAAGGGTTGGTTTTCATTTTGGGAGATAGGGAGAGGTAGGGGATATCATTTGCTAATAATTTTGTTTTTATTCAGGTACCACAGGAGCCATCCAAGAGGGAAGTATAACTCGGGGAACTCCAACCAGCAAAGTCTCAGTGGAGAGCATCTCATCCCTGCGGGGCTCCATCACTCAGGTTTGTTATGATCACCCCCAGTCCGTGAGTGTGCGATGTCACACTGAACAACGGCTGGGGAGAAACAGAAGCAATGTCTCACAGACTGTCCCAGTACTCCAGTTTCGTGGCTAAGTTTACTGTTCTGGGTGGTGGGACTGGATCTGAGTGACAGTAAACCTCAGATCTGCAAAGCACCTCTAGAGAAGGCATTAATGCATTGTTTTGTCCACAAAATGCTATCTATAATGCCTTGGTTTGAAAAGGTCACTTACTTGGAAATTGACAGAAGAAATGGGGCCCTTGTTGATGGAGCTTTCACTGTCTTGCTGGCAGAGCTTTTTACCACATGTTCTGCTTAAAATAGAAATGGAGAATTGTTACAAATTATTTGCTTGCTTTTCTCCTTGTGAAGATGTAGGTGTACAACCTCAGTATGTTAGCTGCCTTGTTAGAATCACATGCTAAATTATGAGATGTGAATGGCATTGATAAAGGCTGCAAATATTAAATATTTTCCTCTATTTTGAGGGGAAAATAAGTTACCAATTTTTATTCACGAGTGGCCTTTCTTTTACTTAGATGTTAATGTGAGATGTGAAATAATCTTTAGCCTCTTATATAGTTGTGGAAAGGAAAATCCCCTTTTTGGAAATAGTTGTAAATAGAAACCTGTGCACTTGCAGGTGTCTGAGTTTGTGTGTCTTCACACGGTTTCAGTTTCTTGTTCTGTCCCCTAGAACGGTAGTTCCCAAGGTGTGGTCCCTGGGTCATCTGCGTTAGTTTCGCCTAGGAAGTTGGTTGGTATATAAATTCTCAGCTTTGTGCTACTCTTTGGGGGTGAGGCCCAGCACTCTTTTCCCAGGCCTGCCAGTGATTCTGCTCAGGTCTTGCTAACCAAGTGTGGGCTGTGCCCTGACATATTAGCATCCCTTGGGAGCTTGCTAGAATAAAGCAGAAATGTTTGTCCCACAAAGGACCTTATGAATCCCAATCTAGATCCAGCTAATTCTTCCCTAGGGCTTGGTTTACAGAGTATATGGCATATAGTGATCTAGAAAGTTAGATACTAACTCTTAATATCTCTCCTTGCACATTTGGCCAAAATGTGTGTTTCAGTTTTTAGGACAAGCTAGCTTTAATAAAGACAGAAGAAAAATAAGTTGATTCATGCATTATTTTTCCTGATCACTCTAGAATCCACACTTTGGGCAGGAAGACAGAATCAGCTGGGTCAGTTGAGGCTGTTTCATTTGTTCATTTTAAATATGTCCATTTTAGCACTTCCAAAGTTTACAACTGAGCTCACTTCATGGAGGATGAGTAAACACATGGTTCTCGTTCTCTCCTTGCTGTAAGCATGTAATTTCAATCATGCTTATTGGAGTTTCAGGTGTTTTCAGAGTACCCTGGGGACCCAGGATGTTTACCAGGACTAGGTCTAAGCCCCTCACTCCTGTTTCAACCCATGCGGCTCACTTTTTAAAGATGATCGGGGGCTGGCACTGTGCATAGCACGGAAAGCTGTCGCCTGTGGTGCCAGCATCCCATATGGGCATCGGTTCTAGTCCCGGCTGCTCCACTTGCAATCCAGCTCTCTGCTATGGCCTAGGAAAGTAGTAGAAGATGGCCCAAGTCCTTGGGCCCTTGCACCTGCATGGGAGACCTGGAAAAAGCTCCTGGCTTCGGATCAATGCAGCTCCCGATTTGCGGCCAATTGGGGGAGTGAACAGGCAGATGGAAGACTTCTCCCTTTCTCTCTCTCTCCCTGCCCTCTGCCACTCTCTGCCTCTCTGTAACTCTGCCTTTCAAATAAATAAAATAAATCTTAAAAAACATTGAGCAATTTATCTTTTTTTTTTTTTTTTTTGGACAGGCAGAGTGGATAGTGAGAGAGAGAGACAGAGAGAAAGGTCTTCCTTTTGCCGTTGGTTCACCCTCCAATGGCCGCCGCGGCTGGTGCGCTGCGGCCGGCGCACTGCGCTGATCCGAAGGCAGGAGCCAGGTGCTTCTCCTGGTCTCCCATGGGGTGCATGGCCCAAGCGCTTGGGCCATCCTCCACTGCCTTCCCGGGCCACAGCAGAGAGCTGGACTGGAAGAGGGGCAACCGGGACAGAATCCGGCGCCCCGACCAGGACTAGAACCTGGTGTGCCGGCACCGCAAAGTAGAGGATTAGCCTATTGAGCCGCAGCGCCGGCCAAGCAATTTATCTTAAAAGAAATGTTCTGTAACTAAAAAAGGGTAGAAAGAGTAATGGCCATTGGCCCAGAAGAGGACTATTCATGCTAAAATTTAGGTGATAGGACCGCCACATAATTAGTATAACAAAGCAAAGACCCATACCAGAGTTTTCTTCCCCCCTTATTGATGACCACAGCCCTAACTCAGCAGACAGTTTGATGTCAACTTCTTTCGTCTTCTTACTACACATATGAGACAAAGGTGTAGTATCCTAAATTTAAAGCTTAATCTGTCATGTTTTACTTTTATTATAAACTTTAAAAAGTAAAATCTGTATTTATTTGACACAGTGAGAGTACTCCCATCTGCTGGTTCACTCCCCACATGCCCACAATGGCTAGGACAGGGTCAGGCTGAAGCTCAGAGGAGGAAACTGAATCCCGATCTCTCACATGGATGGAAGGAATCCAGTTAGGCCTGCTTCCCAGAGCCTGCATTAATGGAAGCTAGAACTGGGGTCTCAGCCAGCAGTTTCTATCTTTATTTATTTATTGATTATTTAAGTGTTTATTTGAAAGGCAGAGTTACAGAGATGTAGAGGCAGAGTTGGGGAGAGAAGTGCTCCATCTGCTGGTTCACTCCCCAAATGGCCACAATGGCGAGAGCCGGGTCAATTTGAGCTGAGGAGCCAGGAGCTTCTTCCGGGTCTTCCATAATGAGTGCAGGGGCCCAAGCCATCCTCCACTGCTTTCCCATATGAATTAGCAGGGCGCTGGATTAGAAGTGGAGCAGCTGAGACTTGAACCGGCATCCTTATGGGATACTGGCAGGAGCTTAACCCATTATGCCACAGTGCTAGCCCTGTCAGTCAGCAATTTAACATCTTGGTGAAACACGGCCTTCTAAAGGCTTTTTAATATTTGCATGATTTTACACCTTAAGGTAAACGAACTTCTTTTCTCAGAGTTAAGTCCCTTAATTATAGATTTGACTTCAGGTGGGGAATACAAATGAAAAACCCATCATTATTTTACAGTTTTATATGGCAAGAGTTTGTGGATGAAGACATGGGATTTCTTTATGTTACAAAAAGTTTATTTAATTGAAAGAGTTCTTCTATCTGCTTGTTCAGCCCCCAAATGCCAGGAGTGAGCCAAGCCAAAATTAGGAGCCTGGAACTCAATCCTAGTCTCCCCTCCTGTGTCTCAGGGTGCCCGTTAGCAAGAAGCTGGTATTGGAAGCAGAGCAGAGACTTGAACCCAGGCACTCTGATGTAGATGTGAGCATCTGAAGCTTACCGCGGCACCAAATGGTTAAATTTATAAAATTTGTTCATAAAAATTAATTGCTGACCTCTTCTCATGTGCTGGTGCTTTCTTCTTTGAAGCTGCAGGGGGATCTGACTCTGAGTGAGGTGCGTTACATTTTCTGAGCCTTCTCCTTTCTTGTAAACTTGAGTGACTCCTCTGGTGCTTGTGTTTGATGTGATGACAGGGTACCCCGGCTCTGTCCCAGGCTGGCATACCAACCGAGGCGCTGGTGAAGGGATCCATTTCTCGAATGCCCATTGAAGAGAGTAGTCCTGAGAAAGGCAGAGAAGAAGCTGCATCCAAAGGCCATGTAATTTATGAAGGCAAAAGTGGACATATCTTATCCTATGATAGTAAGTACTGTGTGCACACCCTGAAGTGAGTATTGTAATGTATGGCAGAAACACAGGCTGGTTTTCCTGCATTCTGGCAGTGGGGAAGGCTGTACATTTTTGCCAAGCCCATGTTTTCTTTTGGTAAAAGAAGCATTTTGTCAAAATCCGCTGAGATAGTCAGTGGAAAGTGATCTGCAATGCAAAGTGAGTGCTGAGTGTCCCAAGTAAGTGGTTGCTAACATCATCGTTGACTGTGGTCAGTCAGTTTAGCTTAAGAAAACAATCTCTGTTCAACTTAAATAGAATCACTTTTATTTTAACATAATTAATATTTTATGAGTTGAATTAGTGAGTAGAGGCCAGCACTGTGGTTAGCGGGTAAAGCTGCTGCCTGTAGTGCCGACATCCCTTATGGGTGCCAGTTCAAATCCTGGCTGCTCCACTTCCAATCTAGCTCTCCGCTATGGCCTGGGAAAGCAATAGAAGATGACTCAAGTCCTTGGGCCCCTGCACCTGCAAGGGAGACTTGGAAGAAGCTCCTGGTTCCTGGCTTCAGATTGGTGCAGCTCCAGTCATTGTAGCCATCTGGGGAGTGAACCAGTGGATGTAAGACTTCTCTCTCTGCTTCTGCCTCTGTAACTGTGACTTTAAAATAAATAAATAAATCTTTCAAAAAAAAAAAAAAAAAGAATTAATAGATAATAATTCTTACCTTGGAAAGAATATTCAATTTAAATACTCTTTAATAAAACTTTTAATGTTTATAACTGTGTATGTAAGCATTTTCTTTAGATGTATTCTTTTTTTTAATTAAAAGGTTTATTTATTTATTTATTTTTTTGAAAGGCAGAGTTACAGAGGGAGAAAGAGGGAAAAATCTGCTGGCTCACTCCCCAAATGGCTGTAATGGCTGGAGCTGGGCCAGACTGGAGCCAGGGGCTTCTTCCTGGTCTTCCACATGGGTGCAGGGGTCCAAGCATTTGGGCAGTCCTTTGCTGCTCTCCCATGTGCATTAGCAAGGAACTAGATTGGATATGGAGCAACCAGGACTTGGACTGGTGCCAGTATGGGATGCTGGCATCTCAGGTGGCAGCATTACCCACTACGCCACAGTGGCAGTCCCTTAAGATGTATTCTTAATTTACATTTTTCCCAGTAGTAGTATTGTATAAGAATCACTCAAATGTGATAGAAACATTAGCCAAGGGTGTGACTGAATTTGAGTTTTCATTTGCAACCAACTATCTGTGATCTTAGAGTAGTCATTAGGTATGATTTCTATTTGTCTTCGAATTTAAAATATAAAGAAAGAAAGTGTGCGAGGATAGTGTCTGATGCTGCATAATGCATGGTCGCTTTCTTACTTCCTTGTGTCCTATTTTAACATGCCTCATATATTCTGATTAACACTATGTTTCTGCCCAAGCCAAAAATCTGGGTATCTTCCTTGTCCTCTTTCTCTTTTCATAACTAGCAATTCACTGAGTTATTTGGGGTCTATTTCCTGATGCCTCTGGAGTCTGTATCCCCATTGTTACCATCATCTTTCCTCCTGTTCACTCAGTGACTCCCTGATTTCCCAGCATGCTTTTTGTCTTAACCATATTCAAAGCAGTTCATCATATAGCTTCTTGTTGATTCTCCATGGCCTTCAAGGTAACCACAAACCCTGCCTGTGGTTTCCCCATCCCTCCATGACCCACTCCCAGATTCTCTTCAGATTGCTCTCTTCCCACTTTTCTCTTCACCTACTATGTGTACTTCCTCTACCCTTGTCTGGCCGACTCCACTTTCCACAGGAGTCATTTACTGAGTTGAAGTTCTTTTAGTGTATCTAGAGGGACTTAATTTGTTAATCTTACCTATAAGCATATATTGTTCTTGATACACACAGTAGGCATTCAGTAAGTATGTCTGAACAAATTAAAACATTGTCATGAATATCATCTACACAGATGATGATACTACTGTTTGATTAAATGGACTACAATTAAGATAACTTATTTAATGTCCCTTGTAGATCTTGGTCTCTGAGCAATTCTTGTTTCTACATTTTTCAGATATTAAGAATGCCCGAGAAGGGACTAGAAGTCCAAGAACAGCTCATGAAATCAGTTTAAAAAGAAGCTATGAATCAGTGGAAGGAAATATAAAGCAAGGAATGTCAATGAGGGAGTCTCCTGTATCAGCACCGTTAGAGGGTAAAGTGTCCCCTAAATGTTATTTAGATACCTGTACTTTTGTTCAGTAAGTTTGCAGTGTTGAATTGTATTCAGTCTCTGTCATTTCTACCTCAAATTCATTTATATTAATGAGTTTAAATTTTTACTCATATCTCTGTATAAACCACGTGTCACATGACGGTGGATGGAACTGAAAGTGGAATATAATTGGTCATATCATAGGTAACAGTTAGAATGCTCAGATTTGAATGCTCAATTTGTAGATTACTTTCTGTTTGAGTTAAGTGAGTATAAAAATGGAAATTTTATTATAACTTTATTTTGAAATTGTGAGGCAGATAAAGTAGTGTAGTGGATAGAGCAAAGAGATGAATCTGAATTCTAGCTTTATCCTTTCCTGGTCAGTTTGTCTCTGCCTGTTTCTTCCTGTGTAAATTAAGGGACTCTGCCTCCCATTGTGTGAGGATTAGAGAGCAGTGTTACCTGGTGTGGATCATGTGATATACTTTTAGTAAATGATCACCTTGGTTTGCTTTGCTTTTGTTAATAACTTGCCTTCTTTAAATGTTTACCTGTTCCAACTAATTTTAATATAGATAAAATGCTCCATGCGGGATGAATTGTACACACATTGCTCAGAGCTGGGTTTTTTAAATATTAAAAACAAAACCATTTATTTTTGCTTTAGGGTATTTGTGTATGGTTATTTACACCTCTTGATTCATATTTTTCAGCAGTATTAATATGAAACTTAAATTATTTCATTTTGATTTGCATGTTTCTTGTAATTTATTTTCTCTATTTTTGTGGTTCCCTTTTTCAGATATATTTCAGAACAAAGCAATGATTTCTAATCCTGTATCTTTTCTACCTGTGATAACCTATGGGATTTGCTTTTTTTTTTTTAAAGAAGATTCATTTATTATTTGAAAGGCAGAGAGAGAGAGAGAGATGGAGACCTTCCATCTGCTGGTTCACTTCCCAAAGGGCCACAATGGCCAGGTCAGGGCCTGATTGACGCCACAGGCCAGAAATTCTGTCCTGGTATCCCCCATAGGTAGCAAGGACTCAAGTACGTGGGCCATAATCTGCTTCTCAGTCAGGCACATTAGTGGGGAGTTCCCAGGAACTTGAACTGGCACTGCAGTACTGCAGTATGGAATGTGAACATCGTAAGTGGCAGACTTAATTTGCTGTGCTGAAACACCCACCCCAGCTGTGGGATTTTAAATTGAGCTGTGAATGTATCCTTCTTTTTTGACTGATAATTAGATGCCTTCTATGGCCATTTTGTATTTAGGAAAACATTCACAAAGGACTGAGTGACATCATATTGGGTGTTTTTATGTTCTCCATGATACTCTTCTGGGTAGTTCACACATTTAAAATGATAACTCTTCCTCTCCAGAGCTTATACCAAAAATATATATTCTCAGGTCAGCATTAAGTATATTTAAATTGACACATAACAAGGTTACTTTAAAAAAATTGTGGGAAAATTGAATTAAAAGATGAGTTTGGTGCCAGAAATTTTAAATCTATGCATAGTTTCTTCATAGTAATAGTTTTTCATGAACATCTTGAAGACCCCTCTTGCATTGTGTTTGGTAACTGAGTTGCTTTCTTGTTCTGAAAGGGCTGATATGCCGAGCATTACCCAGAGGGAGCCCTCATTCTGACCTCAAAGAGAGGACTGTGCTGTCTGGCTCCATAATGCAAGGTAAACTTTGCCTTTTTATTTATAACTGCCTCACTGGCAAAACAGTTTGATAGTGATTTTTAGTGTGCAAATCCTGCTTTTCAAGATATTTTCCCTTTTCAAATATTTAATAGTAAATACTCGATTATAACTTTCTTGTCTCTGAGCTACAGAGCTTATTGGAAGATGATAGTTCACTAGCTTTTTAATATAGACCTCTTTATTATATAAAAACCATATCTGTGAGACTGTGATGAATGATATGCTATATCTTGAACAACTCTAAAAAATGGTTGATGAATACATATTTGAGGATTTATTATAAACAGGTAATCAGTTGGAAACAGCAAGAGGATAAGGCATTATTTTAAAATTTATGGTAAGTATTTATGAAAAAGTTACTTTATTCAGTCTTAAGTATATATTTCTGTAACATTGTGGAACTATAAGTGTTTTATTTTATTTGAGAATTAGACATGGCTCAATATTATTTTAGTAAGTATATTCTCTGCATCCTTTTTGAAGGCACACCAAGAGCAACAACTGAAAGCTTTGAAGATGGCCTTAAATATCCCAAACAAATTAAAAGGGAAAGTCCTCCCATAAGAGCATTTGAAGGAGCCATTACCAAAGGCAAACCATATGATGGCATCACCACCATCAAGGAGATGGGGCGTTCCATTCACGAGATCCCACGGCAAGATATTTTAACTCAGGAGAGCCGGAAGACTCCAGAAGTAGTCCAGACCACGAGGCCCATAATTGAAGGTTCCATTTCCCAGGTGACTAGAGCATGGCTCTTTTCTGTCAGCACTTTCACTTTAGACTGATATTTATGGAACATCGTTAAAAGTATGATTTACTATAAATAGTTCTTAAGAGGTCAGATCTCTTGGAAGTAAGCAAAATTTTATGTACTCTTTATCATTAGTTTCTCTTGTGTTCAGACATGGAGTGTATCAAGTGGGAAAGTGTGTAGCTCAGGATCAGTGGGTGTGTGACTGAGGCGTTCACACAGACGACAAAGGTTACCTGGGAAACAATAGCTGCCGAGGGCCAGTGTGTCAACCTGAGATACAGCCGCAGATGACTTGGCTACCTGTCACGTTTGTTTCTTTCCCTTTAGGGCACACCAATAAAGTTTGACAGCAACTCAGGTCAATCTGCCATCAAACACAATGTCAAATCTTTGATCACGGGGCCTAGTAAACTACCCCGTGGAATGCCTCCTCTGGAGATTGTGCCAGAGAACATAAAAGTGGTTGAACGGGCAAAATACGAAGACGTAAAGACAGGCGAGCCAGTGCGTTCCCGGCACACATCCGTGGTGAGCTCGGGCCCCTCCGTTCTCAGGTCCACACTTCATGAAGCTCCCAAAGCACAGCTGAGCCCGGGCATTTATGACGACACCAGTGCTCGGAGGACTCCCGTGAGTTACCAGAACACCATGTCCAGAGGCTCACCCATGATGAGCAGAACTTCCGATGGTATGTTACCCACTGCAGCCCAGTTGGATCACTGTTGACGTGTCATAATTCTATGTATTTGTGGGGTACAGTGGACTGCTTGAATACTTGTGTATGTTATACAATGTTTGAGGTGCAGCATAAGCTAATTCCCGATTCAAACATTCAGTACTTCTCTCTGTTGAGGTCTGAGTACCCTAAAATTTATTTATTTTCATTTATTTGAAAAACAGAGAGAAAGAAGTCTTTTCTTATGCTGGTTCACTCCCCAAATGCAACAGCTGTGACTGGGCCAGGCTAAAGCCAAGAGCCCAGAACCCAATCTGGGTCTCCCACATGGGTGGCAGGGAGCTTAAGTACTTAAGCCATCACTTGCTGCCTTGCATCACTTGCTGTCATCACTTGCTGCATTAGAAGCAGAGCTGGGCCAGAGCTGTGGCGCAGTGTGTTAAAGCCCTGGCCTGAAGCGCCAGCATCCCATATGGGTACCGGTTCTGGTCCCGGCTGCTCTTCTTCCAATCCAGCTCTCTGCTATGGCCTGGGAAAGCAGTAGAAGATGCCCAAATCCTTGGGCCCCTGCACCCACATGGGAGACCCAGAAGAAGCTTATGGCTCCTGGCTTTGGATTGGTGCGGCTCTGGCCGTTGTGGCCATCTGGGGAGTGAACCAGCAGAGGGAAGACCTCTCTCTCTGTCTCTACCTCTCTCTCTAACTCTTTCAAATAAATAAAATAAATTAAAAAAAAAAAAAGCAGAGCTAGGATTTGAACCAAGGCACTCTGATACGGGATGTCAGCCTCCCAAGTGGCACCTCAGACTGCTGCGTCAGGCACCCACCCTGGTCTGAGCGTTCCTATTGTACATTTCCATCTCTCGCCTTGCTAGCTGTTGATTCACAGGATCTGCAGGTTTTGCTTGATACTAAAGGGCTATGGCAGGCTGTCATTTTAAAAGTAGGCATCATTCTAGGTAACACACTTAATACTTACATCAGATACAGTGTGTGATAGAATCCAGAAATGCTCTAGAGTAAGTATATTTCTTGACTGGATTTTCAGCTAATCATGTAAGATTTTTCTCGAGGTCAGTTTTGACAGTTGTTTCCCCAGCAGTATGGTGGTTGAAGATTAGGCTGCTGAACAAGCAAGATTGCTAAGACTTGAATTAAGTTCTTACTGTGTAAACTTGGACAACTAATTTTTTGATGTGTTAGTTTCCTCATTCATGAAATAGTAATGTAATATTAAGACATAGCTCACTGGATTATTGTGGATTAAGTTGATGTGCTGTGTTGTTATAAAGAACTTAGAGTAATGTGCAGTGTGTATGCAGGTCGTGATAAAGGTAGACTGTCATTGTTGCTATTACAGTTATTATTCCTATCATTGCAATGCCATGCTGCTAGCAGCTATGTCAGTAAGGTACGAGGCACTAATTTTTACCACTAATTTTTACAACCTGAGACCATAAAAGTGCATCCAGTTCCTTTTAATTACATTGCAGTACATGTTTATTTGAAGTTCACATGCAAAGTCCTTGGCTGGACATCTGAATTGTAAAGGTGAAGAGTGTTTTGTGTGGCAGGAGAGAAGAGGCACAGAGGAGAAAGGGAATACCTGGTAACGGGTAGGGTGATGAATCCATGGCCTTTTGGTGCTGGCTTTAAAGGAGAATACCTGCCCTGCAGAGGGCAGTGGCCCCCCACAGCTGAACGAGTTGGGACTTGGAATGGGGGAAGACAAACCATAAGGATGGTTATTTGGCATTGATAGACATATTTCATCATGGCCAAGTTTGTATTATCAAAGTTTTAGTAATTAGGTAGTGGTGAAGTTTGTATAATATCATGTGTTTGTCTAAAGCCACTAAATGAGTAAATATTATGTGTATTTTACACAATTTTAAAAATTGAAGGTGGTGGCTGTTAAGATATTGATTATGATAGGCGTTGGTGGGACAGTCTAACCCCTCTGAATAGCATCATTTAGAAAGAAGAGGCTGGAGTATGGCAGATACCGGTGCAGGCCAGGCAATGAGAAAGCCACTATGGAAGAAAAGAGCAAAGAAAAAAATAAGTGAAACTATGACGGATGGTGAGGCAGGCTGTTGGGTAACACATAGAGTAAGAAGAGATAGAGATTTGGTACATGTGGAGCCAAACAATTTAGAATTCTGAAGTAATACAAAAAATGAAAACATTCATTATAGAGTTTAAAGAGGAGTGTTGGACTGCAATTTTTAAAAGATTTATTAATTTACTTAAAAGAGGAGAGACAGAGAGGTCTTCCATCCGCTGGTTCACTCCCCAGATGGCCACAATGGCCAAAGCTATGATGATCCGAAGCCAGGAGCCAGGAGCTTCTTTCAGGTCTCCCATGTGGGTACAGGGGCCCAAGGACTTGGACCATCTTCTACTGCTTTCCCAGGCCATAGCATAGAGCCGGATCAGAAGTAGAGCAGCTGGGACTCGAACCAGCACCCACATGGGATACCTGAGATACCGGCACTTAAGGCAGTGGCTTTACCCACTATGGTGCAGTGCTAGCCCCTGGAGCCCCTGGCCTGCATTTTGAATCTTTTTTTTTTTTTTTAATTAATTAATTTATTTTTTGACAGGCAGAGTAGACAGTGAGACAGAGAGAGAGAGGTCGTCCTTTTTCAGTTGGTTTATCCCCAGTGGCCGCTGCGGCCAGCACACTGCAGCCGGCGCACCATTGCTGTTCCGAAGCCTGGAGCCAGGTGCTTCTCCTGGTCTCTCCCATGCAGAGGCAGGGCCCAAGGACCTGGGCCATCCTCCACTGCACTCCCAGGCCACAGCAGAGAGCTGGACTGGAAGAGGAGCAACTGGGACAGAATCCGGCGCCCCGACTGGGACTAGAACCCAGTGTGCCGGCGCCACAGGCGGAGGATTAGCCTATTGAGCTATGGCGCCGGCCTGCATTTTGAATCTTAATGTAAGGTAGAACAGTACTGGTGCTGTGTTCTCCAGATCTCAGAGCTGCTACTCATTCTTTATATTTGCATATTTTGCCAAAGTGAATGTTAAATGTTTAGGGTGAAAAGAAGATCAATATGTTGTTTGAGTATAGTCTGTATTTGTGCAAAAATGAATAAATATTTTTGTACAGTTTGCAAATTTTATTAAGAATTTGACATTGGCTTTTTTTCCCAGTTACAATTTCTTCTAGCAAGTCTACCAATCATGAAAGGAAATCCACACTGACTCCTACCCAAAGGGAGAGTATACCAGCGAAGTCTCCAGTGCCTGGGGTGGACCCTGTCGTGAGCCACAGCCCATTTGATCCCCATCACAGGGGCAGCACCGCAGGAGAGGTCTACCGGAGCCATCTGCCCACACATTTGGATCCAGCCATGCCGTTTCACAGGGCTCTGGACCCTGGTAAGTAAATGTTGTGATGATTTAAAGCAAGGAAATAGTAAGTCTTCTGTTGCAGTACATATGCAGATGACTGTACATATCGTCAGTGGTATACTTGGTTTCACGCACTGAACATTCCCATGGTACCAGCAACCCCTCAAAAAGAACTAAAACTGTAACAAAAGCCTCATCTGATGGTAATTAGTGAGGCTAATTAAAAAAAGTGGTAACCATGAAGAATTATTTTAAGATAAGAGGCGTGCCTTAAACATGTTAATTTATAACATAAACATTCATTAACCAATATTTTGATAAGGCTGAGGCCTTTATTTAGTAAACTTCACCATTGTCTGTCTTACATAAAAGACAAACACGGCCCAGTGTTGTGGCACAGCAAGTTAAGCCGAAGCTTGAGACAACCAGCATCACATGTCAGCGCCAACTTCGCTTCTGATCCAGCTCCATGCTAATGTCCCTGGGAAGGCAGCAGATGATGGCCCAAGTGCTTGGACTCCTGCACTGATGTAACTTTCAGATAAAAGATTTTCTACAGGTATTTTGCTACTAGGAAATGTAAACAACCTTTAAAATTCTTAGGTTTTTAATTTGGCCTACTGATAAACTTCCCAAAAGACTGAGGGGATACACACATATTCTATCTCTGTTTTTTTTTTTTTTTTTTTTTAAAGATTTGCTCATTTATTTGAGAGAGAAGAAAAGAGAGACAGAGAAATCTTTCATCTGCTGATTCATTACCCAAATGACCACAATGACCAGGGGTTGAGCCAGGCTGAAGCCAGGAGCCAAGAATCTGAAACTCCATCTGGGTCTTTCACAAGAGTGGCAGGGGCCCAAGCCTTTGGGCCATCTTGCACTGGGTTCCCAGGTCATTATCAGGGAGTTGGATAGGAAGCTGAGCAGCCAGGACTTGAACTGGTGCCCATATGAGATACAGGTGTTGCACGTGGTGGCTTTCCCTGCTATGGCACAGTGCTACCGCCCTGTGTCTCAATTTTAACTTCAAGAATGTGAGCACAAAGTTTAGACAGGAAGAGAGGTCTGAACAGAAAATATAAATGTGTGAGTGAGGCTTAGTTGGCAGTGGCAGGCAGAAGAAGGACTGGTCCCTAGGAGGACAAAGGGGAGCTCAGTGTGCTCCGGGCTTAGGCCCCAAAGACTGACCGACTTCCTTCCTCCCTTCCTGCCTTCCCTCCCTTCACCCCTTCCCTCCTTCTCTCCCTTCCCTCCCCTGCCTTCCCTTCCCCTTCCTTTCCCTCTTTCTTTCCCCCCCCTTCTTTCTTTCTCCTTTTTTAATTTTAAAGATTTATTTATTTGAAAGGCAGGGATAGGGGAGAAAGAGAGAGAGAGATCTTCCATCCTCTGTTTCACTCTCCAGATGGCTGCAACAGCTGGGGCTGGGCCAGGCTGAAGCCAGAAGCCCAGAGCTGCTTCTGGGTCTCCCACATGGGTGCAGGGTCCTAAGCATTTGGGCCATCTTCCACTGCTTTCCCAGGTGCGTTAGCAGGGAGCTGGATCAGAAGCAAAGCAGCCAGGACTTGGACTCCATAAAGGATGCTGGCGTCTCAGGTGCCAGCTTAACCTGCAGCACCACAGTGCCAGCCTTGCTTGCCATCTCTAAGCCTGCACTGAAGTGTAAATGAGGATAGAGACGCTATCTTCTACTTTTCACCATACTGCTGCTGCCCCTGTGTTGTTTTTTTTTTTTCTTTCATGCTCTAACCTCTGGGTTGGAACACTATAACTTTTGGGCCAAGTATAGCTGCCACCTTTTTCAGAAAATAAAAGTTTATTAGAATACAGCTACACCAAATCTTTGTCTGTAACTTCTTGTTGTAGTTCTGTGGCAGAGCTGAGTTGTTGTGACAGAAACTAGCACAAAGCCTAAAATATTTCCCATCTGGCCATTCACAGAAAAAAATTTGCCAGTCCCTGCTCTAAACACAAACACAGAATCCATGCTTGTAGACTGATCCAATTTTTACCACCAGGAAAGTAAACTTAATATTTGTCATGAGGAACTTTCACATGCACTTCTATTTGCTTGTATTGGGAGATTAGTGCTACACAAATAGTCTTATTTTCTTTTTTTTTGACAGGCAGAGTGGACAGTGAGAGAGAGACAGAGAGAAAGGTCTTCCTTTTGCCGTTGGTTCACCCTCCAATGGCCGCTAAGGCCGGTGTGCTGTGGCCGGCACACTGCGCTGATCCGAAGCCAGGAGCCAGGTGCTTCTCCTGCTCTCCCATGGGGTACAGGGCCCAAGCACTTGGGCCATCCTCCACTGCCTTCCCGGGCCGCAGCAGAGAGCTGGCCTGGAAGAGGGGCAACCGGGACAGAATCCGGTGCCACGACCGGGACTAGAACCGGTGTGCTGGCGCCGCAGGCGGAGGATTAGCCTAGTGAGCCACAGAGCCAGCCTACAAATAGTCTTATTTTCAAACACAACTCTTGGAGAATTCAGGTGAAAATAAAGTTACATGTCAAATATTGGAAGTAAAACCATGTGAGGCATTTGTAACTACCCTTCTCCTCCCCCTTTTCAGTTACATCTCAGATACTAGATTGAGTTAGAGTCCATATTGTTGATATGTCAAGGTCTTTAATCCCTGTAGCTAATTAGTAAGTAAAAGTTCTGTGTGCACTAGCTTAGTTGCTGGCTATTTCCTTATTCTTTGTGTGGGTGATCTTTATCAGATGAATTTCGCTCAGTATGAAACTCAGTGCCTTTCTCTCATTCTTTCACTCAGCAGCTGCTGCTTACCTGTTTCAGAGACAGCTTTCACCAACTCCAGGCTACCCAAGTCAGTATCAGCTGTATGCAATGGAGAATACAAGACAGACAATCTTAAATGATTACATTACCTCACAGCAGATGCAGGTGAACTTGCGCCCTGATGTGGCCAGAGGACTCTCCCCCAGAGAACAGCCACTGGGTCTCCCATACCCACCAACAAGAGGTGTGTGTCTCTGCAGTTAAAAATTCATCAGTTTATGATGTTTACATACTGTTTCTTAGATTCTCAATAGATATGCATTGAATGAAAATGCTGCAGCCTTCCCACTATACAAACTAATGTATCAAGAAGAGGTGCTTTGTTAAACACTAAAATACATAATCCATCACTGTGCTAAATATTTGAAATCTATGTTTGACCAGTTTGCTGTCTGTCTTTAATCTGTCCGTATGTTGAGGTTATTGGTGTTGAGCATGGTATTTATTATCCTTTATAGATTTAAAGGCAGTCTTAAAAAGTAATGATGATCTTAAACATTTTTATGTAACTGAGTCCAAATGACCTTTGAATTTAGAGGTAGATAAAGTTCAGAAGCCCGTGTATCTTTGGAATAACACAACATAAATTGTATTTGTCTTCTGCATAGGAATCATTGACCTGACCAATATGCCTCCAGCAATTTTAGTGCCTCACCCCGGGGGAACAAGCACTCCTCCCATGGACAGAATCACATATATTCCTGGTACACAGATTACTTTCCCTCCCAGGCCATACAACCCTGCGTCTATGTCTCCTGGTAAGATCCTGCAGTGATGGGCCGCTGCAATATGACAGACATGCTCAGGGTTTCACAGCATACCCATTTAAGGTGTTTTGGGCAGCTTCTTCCCATTTGGTCTGCTGTTTTTCATTTAGCATTTAGTAATGGTTACTATTTGTTAGTAGATACACTAGAAATACCCTAAATGCTTGTGTTACATTCTGTTATCTAAAACTCTTAGTAAAATAAAAATTCCTACATCCCAGATTTGGAGGGTTTTTGTTGTTGTTCTTGAAAAAATTCTCATGCATGAATTTAAAACTTGCTTGATAAACTTGGTAGGTTGACATTTCTGTCATTAAATTGCAGATTGGTTTGTTTTACAGGACACCCAACACACCTTGCTGCAGCCGCAAGTGCTGAGCGGGAGCGAGAGCGAGAGCGAGAGAGGGAGAGAGAGAGGGAGAGGGAGAAAGAGCGAGAACGGGAACGGGAGCGAGAGCGGGAGCGCATCGCCGCAGCCTCTTCCGACCTCTACCTGCGTCCAGGTCAGTGAGAGGCTGTGCTCCTGCGGCCTCCAGACAGCTCTTGGGGATCTGGTCTGGTGGGGCATTGGAACACTGTGGAAGATGGAAACTAGAATCCTAAGACCCAAAGTCATCCCAAGGTTCAGGTTGCGAGCAAGGAAAAGTGGGTTTTACATGGGAAAAATGAAGTTTGCATGACTGTCTCATTTTGATGTGCCTAAGCCGTTGGTTACGGTTGGGCCTCTGAAGGTCCTCTGTGCAGAGCTCTTAAAGCGGAAAGAGCTGCCCAGGCAGAGAGTCCTATATATGAAGTGTTGCTGAATTCCAGTTGAAAGAAGGACTGGAAAATACAGTAGAAAGTGGTGCAGCATCTTGATTTAAAATGAAGTGCTGCCATTCTGTTCAGGAGGGAGGCGAGTGTTCAGAGGGACACTTACACAAGTGTGCATGAGATGGATTAGAATCCTGAAGGTGCGCATGGGCTGGTGCCACAAGGCCAGTGAGACAGTGTTAGGAGTTCCTGTGCCTGCTAATGGTGGCCTGGACTATTCTAGCAATGATGAAATGGGCAGAAAGTAACTGCTGGGAAGAATATGAAAGTAGAACCAAAGAAGCTTAATAAGCAGGTCTGGGGAATGAGGGCAAGATAGAAACAGGATTTGGTCTGCAATTAAGGAAGAGCATGATTAGCGAAAGCAAAGAGATGATGATTTTTATTTTGGACATATGTAATCTAGTGCATCCTTGAGCCATCTGTCATCCATGATAAACTTTCCAATTTCAGTTCTTTGAATTAAATCGTTGAGCATGTCCGTCCTGTCCTATATACAGCTCTGGCGCTCAGGAGAAAGGCAGTTTGGAGGTGCTGACTGAAGAGTCGCCCAGGAGAGTTGAAACTGTGGCTCGAGTACGATTTCCACGGTGCTATGGTGAAAGGAGGGCTCGGTCAGTCTTCAGAGAGTACTGTGAGGGCTGATTTTGGTTGGCCACCAAAGGAAGCAGAGAGGCAGGAGCAGAACTCAAGGCCACAGTGGCAGGAAGGCGTCCTAGGAAGCAGGCCCTTTGCAGTCCATGAGGATGGCATGGCAGTAAAGGAAGGAGCCCAGAAGCCAGTCTTGTTGGCTGTGGTAATACTGTTCCCGAAAATAGTGTCTGTACAACCTGAACATGTTTAGATGTCACTTGTTACCTATGTACAAACACAATAACAATCACCACGAATCTGACCATAGGAAATGCTTTAATGAATTGTGAGGCAGCACCATAATATTGACTCTATGTTGCTCATGAAAGCACGTGGAAAATTAAAGCTACATAAAGATGGTATATAATTTTGATAGGAACTGTGTGCACGTGATCCCACAGATGGGTAAGAATGAGGATTTAAGACAATAAAGTACTGTTTTGCCCCATCAGACATTTAAGAAGATTGATAAATATTCTGTGTTGCAGTATCTAAAAAACACAGAAGCATGGGTAGTGTAAACTGGGGTATCCCTATTAGACCCGGCAGTTCCACTTGTAGGAATGGATCCCATAGAAGCACTCGTAGAAACTAATGAATAGTCAGAAGGAAGCAAATTGTTGAAAAGCCTGTGTGATTGGTGCTACATGTGAAAGTAGGAGTGTGTGCTCAAACTGCTCACTCTTAGGAAGTCAGCAAACACTGCAGAGTTGGAATGAGGCCATAGAACGAGAGGAAGTAGAGAAGAAATTGATTTGAGAGGGAATTTGTGTTCAAGTTCCTCCAAGTAAAGTGGTTCTGAGCAAGTCCTAGCCCTGTCCTTAATGGGAGAGCTAAAGTTAGGTGAAAAACTGGCTTGAAGCTTTGAAGAAATGTGTCTACTGGAGCCAAGCCATGGGGAAGGATATTCTGAATGATTTCATCTCACAGGAGTAAAAGTTACCGTGGAGAGCAGTGACATGTGAACCAGGAAGTGCTAAGGTGGAGTGAAAAGCCTCGAGCCCTGGTGTCCCAGCAATACACAATTTTCATTAAGATGCTTAGGAAGCTATACCAAGTCTTTAGAAATCACACACACACCAGAATTTGAGGAAGAATCTGAGAGGTGACCTCTTCTGATTGATAGCAGCACTTTGTTGTTGGAGCCAATTTTGTTTTTGTCTGGAATCAAGGTTGGAACTTGTCACAAAAAGGGGGAAAATGGCAGTACATGTTACCTGCTGTTTTGTTTCTGGTTTTATTGCCTCTTTATTGAGAATATGTAGAACAAGTTTCTAGAGAGGTCAGAAAATAAGTTATCAAGTTTCCTGTCTCATTTTCCTTTTCCAGTGAGAAGTATTAGGAAACCAGCAGTCAATTAATGGTGCTGCCTTTCGTGTCCAGCTTCTTTCTCACAGCGGGGCTATCTTCCTTTTCCTTTTTCTGCCCCTGCAGGCTCAGAGCAGCCCGGCCGGCCTGGCAGTCATGGATACGTCCGCTCCCCGTCCCCGTCAGTAAGAGCTCAGGAGACCATGTTGCAGCAGAGACCCAGTGTTTTCCAGGGAACCAATGGAACCAGCGTAATCACACCTTTGGACCCAACTGCTCAGCTACGAATCATGTCAGTTGCTTGTTACACGTTTTGACCGCACACACTCACCAAGTCTCACATAGACGTTTTAAAATTGGCAGCTGCAAGCATATAAGTCGAGTCATGATTTTCTCTCTGCTAATTTTGTCTTGCAATTTGTCTTTGCATCTCCCCACCCCACGCCCAGTAGATGACCGTCCCTTCACAGAGCTGTGGTTTGGTTTTCTTTACAGGCCACTGCCCGCTGGGGGCCCTTCCATAAGCCAAGGCCTGCCAGCCTCCCGCTACAACACTGCTGCGGACGCCCTGGCTGCTCTTGTGGACGCTGCAGCTTCTGCACCCCAGATGGATGTGTCCAAAACAAAAGAGAGTAAGCATGAAGCTGCCAGGTTAGAAGACAGTTTGAGAAGCAGGTCAGCAGCAGTTAGCGAGCAGCAGCAGCTAGAGCAGAAAAGCCTGGAGGTGGAGAAGAGACCTGTTCAGTGTCTGTACACTTCTTCAGCCTTTCCAAGTGGCAAGCCCCAGCCTCACTCTTCAGTAGTTTATTCTGAGGCTGGGAAAGACAAAGGGCCTCCTCCAAAGTCCAGATATGAGGAAGAGCTCAGGACCAGAGGGAAGACCACCATTACTGCAGCTAACTTCATAGACGTGATCATCACCCGGCAAATTGCCTCGGACAAGGATGCAAGGGAACGTGGCTCTCAAGGTTCAGACTCTTCCAGTAGCTGTATGTATCTCAATCTGAGTTGCACAGTGTGATGTCTGAGTAAAGAATGACTTTCTTCTCTAGGGAAAGCAGAACTGTATGGTATTGAACAATCCTAATGTTTGATGGTCAGTGTAACAGAAAAGGTTTTATGGGTTGACAGGGCAAAAAAGTGTATCTTTCACTATTTTTATGATCATTTAAATATCTCAATGTCCTAAGTGTAAGCCTATCAGCATGTTTCCAAAAGAAAGCTACCTTTTTTACAGCATTCAGTTGGGAAAGTAGATAGGTAAAGACAGCCTGTTAGCACGCCAAGGCATCTGAAAAGTGACAGATGTGCTGCCGTGGCGCACTTTCTTTAGAGGCATTTGCCAGGGTGTGGTTCAGGATCTCCACTGATCCCCCAAAGCCTATTCGATCCCCTTATGGAAGATGTAGGTTTGTAAACAGTGATAGCCTCACTTTGTAATTGTTAATTATACTGTACCATTCTCGCAAGTTGGATTTTGCCCAAGTTTGGTTAGTCACTTATGGCAGGGTAGACTCTGCAGAACTACACTAACATGGTTGAACAGTTAGTTTTTAAAAATTCCTTTCTAACTGTTGCCTAAATTCTTCATGGAATTTCAGAAGAAACAAGCAGGTATTTAAACGAGAAGCTGCTAACAAACGGAGATGATTTAATCATATGATTGTTATCTCCATTAAAGAAATTGAGAAGAGTTGGAGGTAATGAAAAAAAGATCTTTTGTGCACCAGAATGCATGTATCAACCTTTTTACTTCTAAGTATCCACTTAATTATTAATTGCTTAGGCCCCTAGCTACTGGTTGTTAAGGTTTTTGGGGAGAGGGAGGTAGCTTGTATTGAAGTACGACTTCCTTTTAGCCTGGCATTAGGAAAATTCCACAACATAGGTTTTCTGCTTATACAGAATGGCAAGCTGAGGAAGAAACATGGCAGGAATTTTAGAACGAAGTCCCTAGCACACAAGGTGGCTCCACCTGGGCTGATGAAAATAGAAAGCCCAGGTTCCTTCTGAGTGGCCATGTCTTCCTTTTTTTTTTTTTTTTTTAACACCACAAGGCTGTGAGTTGCATGAAATTCACAGGCTATTGGTAGTTATTCAGTGTGGTTTTCAGTTTGACTCTTGAGAGCCTCCCTTGCTCACCCTGCAGATGAAGTACGTTGCCTTGACCTTGCCCCTTAAGGCTTCATAAGCAGTGTGAACGTGTTTTGAGATCAGACATTGTTTTGGCTGATTGTTGGAAGTTGTCAGCAGGTTCGGGCTGATGGTACATAAAGAGTGATAAGTCCGTGCCTCAGTGATGGTTTCCGTCCTGTTTATCAGGTGTTTGTTCTGGCGAGTCCACTAGGGCTGGGAACTGCATTTTCCTTGACCTGGGTGGGAGGAGGAAGGGTTGTTGAGAACGAGGGCGCGGGTGGTAGCTGAGCAGCCGAGTGTCTTCTCGTCTTACACCTGTGTCTAGCTGCAGTCGCACATCCTTTGGGCCTGTGATGGTTTTCTCACTTTGTGGTGCAGCCTATAGATGCAAAGTCCTCTGAAGGCGGAAAGTTCCTGTGCAGGAAGTTCCATTGGCCTTCCGGACTCAGGGCCGCGGCCATGGCAGGACTCTCCCAGGGCCCTTCTCTGGTGTGGAGGATGCCCTCCCTCTCTGTGAATTTACTTCCCTTCACACATTCCCTGCTGCTGCTGTTGATTATCACAATGTAACATGGTACTGAAGAGTTAATCTGGAGTAATATTTGTTAGCAGTACTCCTATTATTGGAGAAAATTATTATATAATGTTATATAACTTAAAGCTTGAAGTCACCATGGTAATGAAGCAGCTTTATAGCCTTGAACTTTTTCTAAGAGTAGATTGTCCTATAAAACTGGGATTAGTGGAATTAATTAGCTGTTGCAAACTGCTCCTTTGTTTGTTTATTAATTTCTTCTGATGAGTAGTTCCCTGATGAATTCTTTTCCATCTCCGAGAAGAACATCACAAATCTGTTCTCAGTTCCACCTTACCTCATTGCTTGGTACAGACTGTAACAACTTACAGATTTATTTATTTGAGGGAGAGTGCCCGTCTTCTGGTTTACTTCTTGAATGCCTGCAGTGGCCAGGGCCGGATCCAGGAGCTGGAAATGCAATGCAGGCCTCCATGTGGGTGGCAGGAGCACAGTGACTTGAGCCATCCACCATGCACGGCCTTCCAGGGCCTGCACTGGCAGAGAGCTGGAGGCAGGAGCCAAAGCCCAGAACTGAGCTCACACATTCTGATGTGAGCATCTTACCCACCAGGCTGAACACCAGCTCCCTATCAAAGGCTTTTGAAAGACATTGGAATCCACAAGATTTCAGAAATCCCATGCACTGCAAGGGTTATAAACACCGAGGCACCTTTGTTACAGCCCGTTGATTTCAGTAGTTTTTATCAATAACTTGGAATGCCATTTAACATTTCTGATAAGAAAACTAAAATATGAGGTTTGAATAACTTGTGCTTTTGAAACGTTTCATAGGATTAGTTTTAAAATAAGATTTTTTTCTTAAAGTGTCTTCTCACAGGTATGAAACGACTAGCGATGCTATTGAGGTCATAAGTCCTGCCAGCTCACCTGCACCGCCCCAGGAAAAACTGCAGGCCTATCAGCCAGAGATTGTTAAGGCAAATCAAGCCGAAAGTATGTCTCTCTTAGCCACTGCTGACATGTTTGCATGTTTACATTGATCATTGGCTTCTTATCTGTCTAGACCATAATAAGGAATGACTTGTTTTGTTTCAGGGTAATCTTATGTCCATCTGCTTTAGAAACGTTTGAAACTGCACCAATGATAAGCAGCTTTTAAGCTATTGATCACACTTTTGTTTGTATTTTAATGACATAATAGTTGATATTAATGTTGGTTGCTCATTTTACTAGTCCCGACTCCTGTCGGTGAAGAAATATTTTTTTCCAAAATTAAGATATATAAATTCCGAGTTTTGAGAGATGTATCACATCCTTTTCGTGTGTTCTTTTGAATTCTATGTAATCTTTGATCATGAGTAAAAGACAAGGGCATCACTGAGTAAGACATCTATCTGTCCTCCGTTAGACGATCCAGGCAGACAGTATGAAGGACCATTACACCACTATCGACCACAGCAGGAGTCACCATCTCCACAGCAGCAGCTGCCCCCTTCCTCACAGGCAGAGGGGATGGGGCAAGTGCCCAGGACCCATCGGCTCATCACACTTGCCGATCACATCTGTGTAAGCTTTTCATTGTTATAATCCGATTTTTTATTTTTTGATCATGCAGAAAGCAGATATATAGAAAAGGAAAACCACAAAATAAGATGTGTGTAGATTTCTACTTTTAATTATGAAGTCTACATTATTTACGTTTTATTTGAGAGACAGAAACACAGAACTCCTGTCCACTGGGTTTACTCCCCAAATACCTGCAACAGCTTGGGGCTGGGCCAGCCTGAAGGTGGGAGCCAGGAACTTAATCTAGAGGCAGGAACCCACTTCCTTGAATTGTCACCTGCTGCCTTCCTGAATGCATATTAGCAGGAAGCTGAAATCAGGAGCAGATTTTGGACTTGAACCCAGGCACTCGGATATGGGGGTGAGAGTTTTTCAACACTAGGGCAGATGCTGGCCTCAAATGCTACTTTCTTTTGCAGGAATATAATGAGTTTAACCATTTCCTTTTTTTCTATGTCACAGCAAATTATCACACAGGATTTTGCTAGAAATCAAGTTCCCTCGCAGACTCCCCCGCAACCTCCCACTTCTACATTCCAAAATTCACCCTCTGCTTTGGTGTCAACGCCTGTGAGGACTAAAACATCAAGTCGTTACAGCCCCGAGTCCCAATCTCAGTCTGTTCACCATCAGAGACCAGGTTCCAGAGTTTCTCCAGAAAATCTTGTGGACAAATCCCGGGGAAGGTACAGTCTTGACTGCAAATGACAGGCAGATTTCCCAACAGTCCAATAGTCTGAATATACCTGCAAGATAGTGGTTCATGTCTCACACCACCTTCAGCTCATTTGCCTTATTCTCTGGAAAGTGTCCATGAGGTTTCTCCATTACATGTTGCTCTTGGGGTGCCTGCTGCCTGAGCAGTTGGTGTGCTTGTCTTTAAATCTATCCACTAGTTAGTTTTTGTTGTGGTGTTTGCTGGTTTGCAAGGACAGTTATGAAGGAGCACAGTTTGGTAGCTAAGGGACCCCTGAGTGGTCCTGAATTCAGAATCACCTCACTCTCTCGGGTTTCTCCTGGGTAACAACAACAGGTATTTAGGAAGGTGACATTAAACAAAGCAAAGTGAGATGAATGGCAACATGATAGGAGGAAGGAGATAGCTTTTTAATGTCAGGACTGTCTGGTAAAGAGAATATCTTCTTACCTGCTGTTCTACATTGGGATTAAAAAAAATGGAGACAGGGTTTTTGGTTCAGAGTGGTAGACTAAACATTAGTATATGTGAAATTACAGTTAAATAGTACTGGGGGAGTTCATAAGAATGCTGAGAATAAGACTGGGATATCAACAGATCAGAGTCGGCAAATACCTGGAAAACACACAGCAGACTCCTGAGCCCAAGGAGTGGAAGCCATAGCTCACAGCCTGAGAAAAAGACATCTGTAGCAAAAGATTTTTCCAGCCTGCCTACCCACCCCTCATGTTTAAGAAGCTAGATGGCCTGTGTTGCCAACATTTTAAATATACAAAGGGAGAGGGCACAGGACAGCACATCCGCATGTATCTGGCTCTGGCAGTCAGAAGGGGATAGCCAGTCCTGTTTGATTTTTTACTCTCTTGCCCCACCCTGCAATTGGATTATTTTGAAGCAAAATTTTGACGTCAGTTCAAGAAACTGGATGATCTTTTAAAAAGATTTATTTATTTATTTGAAAATAAGAGTTATAGACAGTTAAAAACAGAGAGAAATCGATCTTCCATCTGTTGGTTCACTCCTCACATGGCTGCCAACAGCCAGGTCTCTGGGCCAGGCCAAAGCCAGGAACCTAGTGGGTAGCAGGCGGCCTATTCACTTAGGCCATCTTCCTCTGTTTTTCCAGGTACATTAGCAGGATCAAAAGTGGAGCAGCTAGGACTCAAACTGGTGCTCATATGGGCTGTCCATGTCACAGGCTGTGGCATAACCCTGCTGTGGCACAACACCGGCCCAAATCTGGATGGTCTTAAGAACAAAATGAAAGCACATTTATTCTCTTTCAACCAAAAAGAGAAAAGAAATAAAATTATGAAAAACAGAAAGCTTTACAGAAAGTCATGGTTCATTCCTGATGCAAAGTACCCAGTACCCTGTAGCAACGTTTAAGCCACTGATGGCATTTATGAAAGAGTATATATTTGTCTTTTTCACTGCTAACTTCTAGATCACTACACTTGGATTTATTACATTGGTCTCAGTAAAACCATCTGGTTTTTTAGTTTAAAATGTTTATACAATCCATAGTGTTATAAGACACCATTGATTTTTAGCCTATAAGCAAACCAGTTCTAGAGTAGATGCAAATGCTGTGAATCGCAATAATGGCTGACAATATTGGGGGATGGGGGAGGAAATGGACAAGGAAGACAGGTAGAAGATGACTCATTCTGTGACCCTAGTAGGTTGATTGGGAAAGGAAGTATCGTCTGTGAGTTACTTGGGCTTAACTATAACAATAATAAATGTAGATGCTGCAAGTTACAGGTGGCTCCTAATATGCATAATTGCTAAGTCAAAACCATTTTGGTCTAAATAGTGTTTATCCCACATTATCTTTACCAACATGGCATCCAGAGGAAAAACTAAATTGCAAAGAATTCCTCAAAATGGTATAACTGGAGCCTATGTTCACTAACTTGACAAAACTCTAGTTTTCAGGTTAGTACTTGACTCCTTCACTTAATAGGGAAATAATGGGGAAAGAACTGGCAAGTTATGACTCAAAATAAGCAGTCACCTTGGACCTCCTGGCCACGGGAAGGGTGGGGGCCCTCTGCTGAGGGACATGCAGAGGCTGTGGACAGTTGAAGCAGCAGTAACAGCCTGTGCGACAGCCGGGTATCTGAGGACTACTGAAGCCACTGAGTGGAGTTGGGAGTTAACCAGTTTCCATTTGGGACAAGCCTAGGTGAGCCTTTGAAGCAAATCTGGTATTTTACATGTCACAGCAGCAGGCCTGGAAAATCCCCAGAGAGGAGTCACGTCTCTTCCGAGCCCTACGAGCCCATCTCCCCACCCCAGGTTCCAGTTGTGCATGAGAAGCAGGAAAGCATGCTGCTCTTGTCTCAGCGGGGAGCCGAGCCTTCGGAGCAGAGGTGAGGGGCCTGTCCAGGAGCGGGCGGCGGGCGGGCTTTGGAAGCCAATGTCTTTTTTTTGGTTTATGTGTCAGGATGGGGCTCTTGTAGGATCCTTCAATCTGTTTTCCTAGTGATCTAATGCCAGCAGATATTAGTGAAAAAATTCCATTTATTTACATTAGAGAAAGTGTGTTAATTATTCTTGAAATTCAGTCTTTCTTAGTCTGTTTTGTTTAACTCTGTTACTGGGGGTTGTGGCACCCATGGCTTTACCCAACAGGTGAGTGCTTACCATGCACCAAGCACTGTGTAAGCGAAGCACTGCTGAGCACCTGTGCTTTCCCACCTCTCACTCACTGTTTCTAACCCTCCCTGAGCCCACCCTGGGAACTCAACAGTTCTATCCCCATTTGGGTTCCATCTCTTTGCCCTAGTCTCCATCCTTCTACCAGAATGGCTTGTCCAGAATTCACAGAGAATCAAGCACAAGGCATTTGATTCTTTGATGGTCAGCTTATTCTGCTCCTGCAACTCCATTTCCTACTACTTCATCCTTATACTTAAAAAAAAAAACAAAAAAATCATTTACTTATTTGAAAGGCAGAGTTACAGAGTGAGAGAGAGATCTTCCATCCACTGGTTCATCCTGAGATGGCCACAGTGGCTGGAGTTAGGCCTAGGCCAAGTTAAGGTTAGGAGCCTGGAAGTCCACTTGGGTCTTCCACATGGGTGGCATGTCCATATCCACACTGTTGAATACCTCCCTGCTGCTCTCTTAAGTAAACATGTGACTTGTCTGTGGTCATCCTTGTAGTAAGGGAGAAGAGTCCAGTCTTAAACCAAGATTAACTCCAAACAGCTAGTCCATTTCTTAGAATGTGTTATTCACATTTATTATATACATTCATAGGCAGCCAAAAAGTAAGTGGATCCATTTTTACAGAGGAAGTAATTTTATGTTAAATGATACACTTAAATGTTTTCCCCAAGTTTGTGAATTTTTTGATGACAAGGACCATATCTTACTCATTTTTCTGCCACTGTTATTGTCTTGGCATATGGTGTCTGTATTGAGTGATGAATCCGCATGACCTGGTTTTAGTTACCAACAGCTTTCTCTCCATATGTTCTGTTACCATCTCTTACTCTGACTCGATTTATGTTAGGGAAAAAGTTTATTTTTAAAAATATGTTAGTATAGCAGGCTGCCAATGAAATTTGAAACCCTTTACATTAAACTCATCTCAGCTGTTAGTTGGCTTGAAATGACTAATACTTTTCTGTTCAACACACAGAAAGTATTCTGTTGTAGTCCAAGTACTTAGATATAAGCACTTGATATAGGCAAGTGTGCTGTTGTAATTTTAATGTACTTAAAGGTATTTCTGCCAGAATTGTTCCTGATTTATGTGATAGCCATATATGTATATATGTGTTTGTGCTGTTAAATAGAGAGCACCATGAAAAGATGTTTGACTTTTCCCATGGATACTCAGGATCACTGGCTGCTTGTTCAGTCCATCAGAATCACTGCACTCCACCCTGGGAGGCACCATTGATAGCTCCAGTAGTGGTGTCCCTGCCACCAGGGACACCTGGGAGACCAGGATTGAGTTTCTAGCTCCCAGTGCATTCCTGGCCTTGGAGGGCTTTTGTGGAGTGAAGCTGTGGATGGAAGCTGTGTGTAGCTCTGTCCCTCTGCCTCTCAAAAAACAAATAAGCCCAAGTTTTCATTTCATTATAATTTAGGACTTCATTCTTGAGACCTGAAGTATTTGACTTTGTCCTCAAAAAGGTGTACTAACTGGCTTATGATGACATGTTGTCATTAGGATTGTAACATGGAATGAAGAGGCTGCAGCTGTCCACTCTCTCACCAGCACTACTGTTAACAAGAACGTCCCCAGGGTTAGGACTACATGATTATAATAGACTTTCCTGTGTTCCTAACAGGAGTGATTCCCGCTCACCAGGCAGTATTAGCTACTTGCCTTCATTCTTCACCAAGCTTGAAAACACATCACCAATGGTTAAATCAAAGAAGCAGGAGATTTTTCGTAAGTTGAACTCCTCTGGTGGAGGTGACTCTGATATGGGTAAGTGGGATTTCTTTCATGAACCCCAAATAAAACATGCACTAATATTATCTCCAACATTGCCTGTCCTGTAATCCTTGAGTTTGAAGGCTCGTATAGGGCATCCATCTAGCACATCAGACCTAAAGTTCCCCTCCAACATGTGCCTGTTCATGAAGAGTTCCTAATTAGGGAGCAGGAATTCAGGAACCCCTTTTTTTGAAGCTGTGTGGACCTTTCTGTGAGGTGGGGCTGGATCAACTCTCCATTTCTCTTTTTAAACCCCCTGGGCCATCACCACATGGCATCTCTTCAGATATTTGAAAGTACGTCCTTCTTGAGTAGCCTACCTCTGAAAATGGGTCATCTGTCACATTCTCGTTCCCAGTGCCCCCTACAGGAAAACACACATACCTTAGCCTTTTAGTAGGCTGAGTGATGCAGAGTAGTGTGATAAGACCTGCTGTGGATTCATCATTACGAATGCAGCCCATGACTGTGTGTGCTGTTTTTGTTGGGACCTGAACAATGTGAGGGTTTAGTGCACTTGGTGTGAATACGCATTTTCAGGTCAGGTGTCTTGGGATGCTCTTAATCTACACCTCCACCTGTTCTGCGATTACCATCTCCAGGTGTAGGACAGTCTGTGCTTCCCCCCTCCCAACTACGTTTTCTATCCTACCAATGTCTGTCCAGATCGAAATTCAGCCATCAACATTCATATGCAAGTGCAACAGATAAACTCACCATCTCAAACTATAACATTGGGAGCAGGGGGTTGGCCTAGGAGTTAAGATAGCCCTTGGGACACACACATCCAACACTGTAGTGCCTTAGATCGAGTCCTGGCCCTGCTTCCAATTATAGCTTCCTGCTAATGCACACCTTGGGAAGCAGATGATGGGTCATGTAGCTCGGTCCCTGCCACCCACCTGGGAGGACTGGATTGAGTTCCTGTCTCCTAGCTTCAGTCTGGCCCAGGCATGGCTGCTTGGGGATTTGGTGAGTGAACCAATGGATGGGAGACTCTCTCTGCTTGTCTTGCTCTCTGTGTGCCTCTCAAATAATTTAATAAATAAAAATACAGCATCAATAACGGTGGCAAAGGTTATTTAACACTGCGTTTTAGGCACTGTCTAGATTCAGTCCTCACAGCCACCCTGCCTGCTACATACTATAATTACCTTCATTTTACAGCTGAGGGAACTGAGACTCAGGTTTGGGAGCTGGCACAGGCTATGTAACCGGTACATAGTGGGGCTCCAGTCCTCCTCCAGGGCCCGTGCTGCTAAGGACATGTGAATGGCTTCTGACGGTTCTGTACTTAGGGTACTATGAACCAAATTTTTGGAAAGCTCTAGGGCAGAACCTTCCCTTTGGGTTGATACGCATGCATTTATTGAATCCTCCTTATAGTCGGCTGTTCAACACACTCTCTACTGTCCCCTAGTCTAGTCTTTGCTTCCGTTGTCCCCAGTGACGGAGACAGACTTGGTGTACTGCCATCCACTGTTCTCCTGACCCTGTCAAAACAAATTGTGGGCTGTGAACTGTGAACTGCTGGGTGGATGTGTGTCTGCATCTGTGCCCCTTGTGATTAGTAAATGTTGAACATCAAAACAGAAAAAAAGCATGAGTGTAGTGTCACTCAACTTACCCTTGCTCCTGCTGAAGTGACACTCTTTCCAGAGTGTCAAGCAGAACTGCTGTCAGACCTACAGAAGTCTTTTTTTTTTTAAATTAGCATTAGTTTTCTCTTCTCTGGTCTTCAACTGTTTTATCTGTTATTTACAGCTCCTCAAATATCACCAATAAAAATAGGGTGACCAGAGATGCATTTGCCAGTGCTTAGAGATGCACAGGTCTTAGGGCAGCCAGCTGTGGTCTGCACCGCTCCTCTCTAGCCTTTGTCATCGTTTGAGTGGGACAAAAAATTCTGACTCAGAAATGCTGTGTATGAGTTGAAGTCAGCTTTTTGGTTTCCTAGTGGTTTACACTGTATTCAGGAAGTAGCTCTCTGGTCCAAGGATCAATGATTTAGCAAAGTTGCATGTTGGGTGTTTTAGAGTAACAGATGGTCTCTGCTCTGAAGATGTGATGTAGCAACAGGGCAGTGTGTTAGCCTCAGAAGGCAGTGCCTCAGCATCTGGGAGCGTCCTGATGCAAAACTTGTTTTGATTGTGGAGAGAGGAGTTGATACTAAAAACCGCTGGGCTCCTGGGCAGCCCCTTACACCTAAGTCAAAAAGCCACCTGCAACCAGCACAGCTCTGCTTCAGCTCCGTGTTCCCACCAGGGACATGGATGAGTGTATTCTTTAAAAACCTCAATGCTTTCACCTCTGTTTGGTCTCTGCCACTCTGACCCAATGCACAACCCTTTCCCGGGAGTACTTTCTCTTGGCTTTCAGACAGCATGCTCTCTCTGCTCTGTCCATTTCTACTTTGAGTGGCCCTTGATTGTTGGTGGTCCCCCTCCCTTCCTTGTTTCATCCACTACCCAAGTCACACACAGACTGACCTGTGTCCACCAAGCTGCTTCGTGGACTCCTGCAGACGCCGTTTTTCTTGAACGTCTTACTTGCTCCCTCATGCTCCCTGCACCGCGTTAGCTCAGTCAGCTCCCTCTCCTGAGTGTGGTGCCTCCTAAACAGCTCGCACCTGCCTACTTTCCCGTTCCTTCATTTTGGAGCAGTTAGAACATCCATCTGTTTCAAACACGGGATTCAGAAGACACCACAACCAGCCAGTGTGCTTATCAAAGCACCCCAACAGTAGACAACTTGCATTTTTTCTAAGTTACCCAGGTAATTCTGGTTGGTATGTCTCAAAGTAGCACAGTGAACTGTCAGCATAGTATCTAAGGATTATCATTGGTTGAACCCCAGGAAATTGTCTTCATCTGACCGTTTTTGATCAGTAATTTGGAACCAGCCTGCTCAATAAATGCTTGGGAAGTGAATGATGTGTTCTGGTCCCAAGCTCTGTGGCAGTGACAAGGCCATGTGGTTTCCGCTTCAATTTATTTGCTATGGTCCCTGGCCCAAGAATACACATGCTCTGTACTGCTTCCTAAATCTTCCTGGGGACTGTTCTCCTCCTGGCAGTTTAACCCTGAACGTCCAGCCCATGAGCTGTGTAAGGCTCACAAAGTCATTTAGTCTGGCCCTGCCAAGGAATTGTGGGCAGGACTGGAAATTCAGTAACACTACTGCAAGCTAATTTCTGAGTGGATAATAATGCATGGCCCACAAATGGCTTTATCAATTCTATGTAGCTCTGGCAGAGAAACTAGAACTAGGGGCTGTTCCGCCCCTAGTTTACAGCTTCCCATGTCGAGTTACTTGTAGGCACATGCACACCTCCGTCCTCACAGACAGCGCTCACCCCGACACGGGTCTGTTCTTGAGCAGTCTCCTCCACAGCATGCCCTGTTCTTGTTTAGCCACCATTCACTTCCTGCATTCTTTTTTCTTGTTTAAAATTCTCAACGACATGTTGGGAGAGGTGATGGAAATAACCACTTATGTCCCCCAAATGCCTTCCCCTCCTGGCACAGTGCTTTATGGGTGGTTGCCCGCTGTGCTGTCATTCAAACTGCAGATTACACATGGCACAACTGAGAAGAATGAAAAGAATCAAGGGACAGAGGCAAACTCTTTTGCCTTATGAAAGAGTACCCTGAGAATGTAAGAGGTTTCTTAGTTTGCCATGAAGGGAAAATCATTTTCATCATATTCATTGAGGTGGCTTTTCCTCGAACTGACACCAGGCTGCCTCAAACCCACTGGTGCACGCCAGGGTTATCTTCAGGTCCAGGGTTTCTTCTTCACTACGAAGACTGGATTTCTGTTCTGAGACAGCAGTTGTTTCCTGTTTTTCTCAGTATTGCGAAGTTTCTTTTCCTTCCTGGGTTCTATTGCTCCAGTTTTGATTTTCCTACCCTGATTTTTTTATTTCTTTTTTTAAAGTATTTTATCTTTGACTTAATGGGTAAAATAAGTTGAGATCATGGGGAAATAAGGTTAATTTTATTGTACGACTTTTGAGACTTTATTTTGATGGACAAGATTATCATATCTCAGATAACTCGAATGTTTGTTTAAATACAGCAGCAGCTCAGCCAGGAACTGAGATCTTTAATCTGCCAGCGGTTACCACATCAGGTAAGATTCAAAATATATTATTTATTAATTTGAGATTGGTAAGGTAGCAGTCGATCCAATAAATATATATTGAATATCAACTGTATACCAGGACTTCTCCAGTATGTAAAAATGAGTAATTTATTCAGGGAAGAGATAGTCAATAGCACAGAAAGGGGAACTGCAGATTCAATAAATACTTAGAAGACAATCAAAAACTGTTAAAACAGGAGCTGGTATTGTGGTGCACCAGGTTAGCTGCTGTTTGCAAGAAGGTCAGCCTGTATTGGAGTACAAGTTCGAGTCTCGGCTGCTCCACTTCCGATCTAGCTCCCTGATAATATGCCTGGGATGGCAGCAGAAGATGACCCAGTACTTGGGCTCCTACCACCCTAGGTGGAGTCCAGGCTCCTGGCTTCAGCCTGGCCCAGCCCTGGCCTTTGCAGCCATCTGGTGGAGTGAACCAGCAGATGGAAGACTCTCAGTCTCTGTCTGCCTTTGAAATAGAAAGCTAAATCTTCAATTAAAAAAAGCATTAAAACAGTTAATTGAGTGACTTGCTATTAGCAGAAGTGTGGGTAGCTGAATCACCTGGGGAAACCAATCTCCCCATACTGCTCTCTGTGCGTGGGCTGGCAGCATTGTTGCAGGCCACCTGCCGAGTGCTGTGCACGTTGAGTTGGAGGGCTGCCTGTGGCCTGTCACTTCCCTGTCTCTGATCTGCCTCTTGGAATCAAGTGGAAATGCTCTGGTTGTCTCTTCTAGGCTCAGTTAGCTCTCGAGGCCATTCTTTTGCTGATCCTGCCAGTAATCTTGGTCTAGAAGACATAATCAGGAAGGCTCTCATGGGAAGCTTTGATGACAAAGTAGAGGAGCACGGAGTGGTCCTGTCGCAGACTGTGGGAGTAGTGCCTGGTGGCGCCAGCACGTCAGTTGTGACCAGTAGTGAGACACGGAGAGAGGAAGGGGACCCATCACCTCATTCAGGTAATTGTTCATTTCAGTGATCTGCTGCCGTTCTCAGGAAAAAGCCATTTCACTTTCTAAGTTCTGGTGCGTCACTAAGTGACTTCAGTGAGATCTCTGACACTTTGCCCAGACACAGCAGCAGGAGCAGAGAGAAGGTTCTGCATCTAGTCCTGTCTGTACACACACACTGGAACTGCAGTCAAAGTACAACCTCATATTCTGTTTGTAAATAAAAGTGACTTACTATTCTAGTAAAAATGATAGCTTCAGTATAAAAGAATTGAGACTAAGCCGTAGAAAAGGACAGGACAAAAAGGAAGGCCTCAGAGTCCTTCAGGTGCCATCAGCCAGGAAGCCACCGCTGCGTAGCTCCTGAGAGGCGTCACTGCAGACATCTGTGTCCAGATAAAAAGACAGAAGTTAGAATGGGATCATTTTACACATTGTTAAAATCAAGCATACAAAAAAACCATGACTTTAGGCTTTAATGTTTATAAGCACCTTCTTAATCTTCTGAGAGCCGACATCTATCTCTTGGGCTTAAACAACTCCCTGAAGGTCAGTAATGTTTGTTAAGTTTAGCTTTCTTTCCCTGTCTTCAAACAGAGGATCTCACTGTGGTCAAAGATTCAGGAGATTAGTGGTGTTTTTTTGCTTGTTTTAAGCCTACATGTAGCTTTAAGCTGACATCAGTATTTTCTGTTCTGAAGAATGCGCACCGTCTTTCCCTTTCTGCCCTACCATCAAGTGTATATTGATGGAAAGTGTGTGTCTGAAGGCTCTAAGAGCAGTGATGGTTACGTAGCTCCATCCTGCTGCGACTTCTGCAGGACTGGGGTGGGGAAATGCTCAGGTCATGACCCAGGCTCGCATCTCTTCTGAGATGTTTGCGTCTGAGCTCAGTCATCGTGTCCCACTCCTGCCGAGCTCACCAGCTAGAGACTAGAAAAATAGAAAGCAGAGCCTCTGCTGGGGTCCTGGTGGTGGCACAGATTTCTATTCCAGCTTTTCCCCTGGGTGTGTTGAGGATGTTTTAACTCCTCTGCTTGCTTCCCTCTAAATTGGGAGGGGAGAGGGGGTACAGTTAGTGAAGATCAGCCTGCTTTATTTCTTCAGCAACCATATTTTTTAAGTTTATGGCATAAGGATGTATCTGTTTTGGTCGCTATAAGTGAAATTCTGGGGTCTGTTTTAAATAGCTTTATTTCACTGGTTTCTAAAATCCAGATTCCTGATGCTACCACTCTTTTTTCACTTAGTATATTATAACCATTGGCTTTGTGGTAGACTTCTAAGTTGAGAACTTAGATACTATGTGTCTGTTAATTATGTCACTTGAATTTTACTTTTAGGAGGCGTTTGCAAACCAAAGCTGATTAGCAAGTCAAACAGTAGGAAATCAAAATCTCCCATCCCTGGGCAAGCCTACCTGGGAAGTGAACGGCCCTCTTCGGTCTCCTCTGTGCATTCTGAGGGGGACTACCACAGGCAGACGCCAGGGTGGGCCTGGGAAGACAGGCCATCTTCAACAGGTGAGCAGTCCCGTCCAGCCACTAGTAAATGAGACTTAAAGCACCTTTTTGATTACTTCTTTGAAAATCAGAAATTTTAAGCTTTGGAAAACTACATTCCCATGTCTTTACCATTAATGGATTCCACTTTCCAGAATGGAGATTGAATGTACACAGTCTTAGAAATGTTAAGAATACAAGCCTGATTGCCACCCACAAAGGAAGATCTGTGGAAAGCTCCTCCATTCTCCTGCAGTTTTAGTTCTTTCTTGAATATAAAGTGCCACTCCAAGGCCACCTAGTCTTCCATATAGAGATTCCTAGAGAAGATTCCTAGGGAATCTTGAAGAGTTCTTGTGTAACCAGGTCTTATTTCAGTTAAAGCTTATTAATACTTGCACTTGGATTCTCCACAGAAACACCTGGCTTTGATTTACAGGCTTAACTGTAGCAAAGTTTTTCTCTTCTGGGCTCAGCAGCCCTCACCCATATGGTTCCCCCTTCCCCCTCCCCAGACTTGCAGACTGAATCGCTGGCTAGAGGCTAAGTGGTGAAACCTTGGCTTTTCCATCTTCCATCCATTTTGCCTTTGTAGTGTCACGTGACCACTGGACTAACCCTGTCCTCCTCCACTCCTGAAAGTGTTGGATTGGAGATGGGACAGCAGGTGTGCCCCGACACCATAACGCCTCCTTTTTCTTTTGTCAGGCTCAACGCAGTTCCCTTATAACCCCCTGACACTGCGGATGCTCAGCAGCACGCCACCAACACCGATCGCATGTGCCCCCTCTGCTGTGAACCAGGCAGCTCCTCACCAACAGAACAGGATCTGGGAGCGAGAGCCCGCCCCGCTGCTCTCAGCACAGTATGAGACACTGTCGGACAGTGATGACTGAGCCGCACAGACCGGGGGGACGGACACGGCACGGGGAGGGGCTCGTTCTCGGGTATTTTAATTGCAGGTCAAAAACCTGCCCATATGATTTGTGCCCAGAGACTTTTCAGGAGAGCCAGGGCCATACGTGATGGAGAAATGATGGAAATTCATTTGGAGCATCAAACGGGAAGAAACAGAAAATAGCCTTTGATACGCCGCAATTCAGTGGATTCTAATAGTGGAGGGTTGAAATGTAGAGTTTTTAAAAGTGGACAATTCCTGTTCCTACATCTGTTTGTAAAGAAAACCATAATGTCTTTAAATCACTCATGTAAATAGATGACCTTTTTGCAGTGTAGCCCCTTGCTGTAGTATCTGGTGTACTTATGTTCAAATCAGCGCATCAACTCGGGGGGTAATTTTTAAAAGATCTTTTTGTCTATCTTTTTAACCCTAGCCTTCTGAAAAAACAAAACAAAACAAAACAAAAAAAAAAACAAACCTCATACAGCCCAGATACATAATGTTGGCTGTCACGGGCATTGTACTTTATCTGATTTTGTTTCCTCTAAATTCAGCTTCCCAGTGATGTTTAAAATCTGTGGAAATGTTTAGGTTTTTAACACAGACCCTGTCATGAAGTCTGTACGTTAGGGTCAAAGGCAGGAGCGATGAACTTTCTGCCACACTGTAAATTCCCAGTGCAAGCTTTAATTTTTCATTAGTAGCACTGAAAAAATATTACTGCATGGGTATGTTATAGTTCAGTTTTTAAAGTTTTCCAGGCTTCTTTGAGGCACACCTCACTGTTATGCACACTGGTGATTTAACCATGCCCCTAGGAATCCCTTTTCTCCTGCATTTGATGCAGCCCAACAAAGCTTCTGTTTTGAAATAAATTTGACTACCCTGTCCATAGCTACGGCAGATCATTTGTGATTCAAGGCTCTTGGTGTCTCAGGTTCCAAAGGAAAAACTTACATACTTTTCTTTAGTTTGATGTCTATGATTGGCTGAGTCCAAAGACAACGTCTGTGTAGCATCTCCATCACAGAGCTGTGCTTCCTGCTGCCTGGACAGCTCGCTTAGAGGACACCGTCCTGGCCTCAGTCTGTGCCTGCGGAGCTTCCTCTGGACGAGAGTACTGTTGAATGTTTTCATTTCATAGATTATCAAGATGTAAATAATTGAAAAGAATGAACTGGAAACTAAGTGTGGTACTGCAGGGTCAGTTTTTAGTCTTCATAAGAACTTGGTTAATCCTCAGATTCTTAAAGTATAATTTAATCACAGCATTTGAGCATCCTTCCATAGTCTATCCATAGTAATGTTCTGGGGAGAATGCCACTGGTAACTGGGTAGGAGAGAGATCAGAGGGCTAGAAGGATATGATTAGCACTTTACAGACTTCTAAGCAGACCTAAAACTTAAGCAGCACTTGGGTCTCCCAGCTGTGCACCGAGCCAGCCCCTCAGATGGCCTTTCATAATGCTGTCTAATCCCTAGTTTAGCGATGGAGACACAGGTGTTCATCCTTTGTCCATAGAGTTAAGTGACAAAGGTAAGCCATAAGCCCACATTGATCTGGAGTGAAAGCCTTCACTCCTGTCACTGGTCCACTCCTGTATACTTCAGGTTTTTAAAATAAGCTTCAGGTCAGGTTTCATGGTCAGAGTTCCCATTGTTTGGCAAGTTGGAATCTTTAAAATAGTATTCACACCCATGCAGTTTTCACATAAAAGAAAGATAATAAGCAAATGTTCCACTTAACAGTTTTCTGCCAAATTTTTTTTTCAGGTACTGGTAGTATTTTAGAATTTGTTAGTAATTTATCTCGCCAGCTGACCCCAGAAATGATTATGATTGCATTTAACTGTGACTCAGAGCCAGGATGGTTTTTGAGGACCACCCTCCGTGTGGAAGGGCAGGTTCACCTCACCCTGCTGTCCACAGCAAGCAGAGCACTCGGAGCGCCTGTCGCCGCCATGAGCTGCAGATCAGCGCGTGAGCTTTGCAGGCTGAGGGTCACTGTTCCGATGCTGCATCTTTATGATCTGTTTCACACCCAGAACATAGTTCAGGTCTCCCTAATACTGTTCAAAGTATTCTGACAGCCAGTTTTCCAGTGCATGTTTAAGACTGGGAACCTCATGTTTAATTTCGGTACGCTCAATGATTCTATGTTTAAATATTTATGTCCTGAAAACTCCAGTGATGAAATACATTTCCAAATTTCAAACTGCACTGTTTTAAACAATTCAGACCAATCCAGTAAAGGGGGTCCATTCTCCTTTTACTTCACTACCTTGTTTCACAACAGTGCAAATGAACTACACGACTGGGCTGTCGTTCTGAAAACGACTTGAGTTCACCCAGCAGCGGGACCATGAAGTGAATCACTGTGAAGGACTGAGTTTTCTTAAATAAAACTTGGAGTGAAAAACCCAGCTTTCAGTAACTGTGCAGCGAACATTCTCGATGCAGGAGGTTAGTGGCTGGCACCAATTGTTCTATTTCCAAAAAATTAAGACTGGGTTGCACTGAAATACAATCTCATTTGTTAATCTTATTTGAGTTAGACTTGATTAAAGGAATAAGGTGGGTGATAGCTAATAGATGAACTTGGATATAAAGTGGGTAGAAATTTACATCTGTAAAATATAAAATTCTAGTTTTAGTCAAATCCTTGAGGATTTGTACCTGAGTTTCTAGTATTTTCATTAACTCTGCAGTAGGAATTTTTCTATGAGAAATTCAAAGATTACTGGAATACATGTAATATTGTTGTAGAGTTTCTAGTTTATTAAGAAAAGATTCTACATATGAATCAAAAAATATCAGTTTCAGTCCCACTCAATCCCCCTCCCCCAGGAATGCCAACAATATCAGTGTTTCTTCATGGGACCTAGAAAAACTGGCTCTAGACCATTGCGATTTGCAAGACCGCTGTGATAGGAGCATCCGCCCGTGTATCTGGCACGGATACACTGAGGCAGTGTGATGAAACCCTGGCAACACAGCGGCCCAGTCATGTGTTCCTCCCTTTACAGATGAGGTGACTGGGATCCCAGTCAGTGGTTCATTACAGCAGCAGAGTTGTAAAACACCACACCTGTAGGGCCTACAGTGAGGCAGGTCTGGGGTGCGGCCCAGGCATATATGTATCTCACCTCGGTCGACTCAGCTCACGTGACCGACGTTGCATAGGAGTCTTAACACTGACAAGAGGCTGCCCGGCTCCTTCTCTCTACCCCCAGTTTTCAACACTTAGAAAACTAGATATGTATAGTTCACTTTTATGTATAAACAAATGGGTGCCATACTTTCAAGGGCCTAATTCCCACTTTAAAATTTCATGCTTGATTCAATTCTGGCAGCAAAAAGAGACGTCTCTTTTCCTCCTTAATGCATTCAATCCCACCCTGTGCTTCATGAAATAGGTAAGAAAAACAACTCACCATAATCCCCCTCTGCCATGAGACAGGTAGCTCTGGTCTGCCAGATAGTGGTAAAGTGAGAGAAGAGAGGGCAGCGAATCAGTGGAGCCGAATCTTAGGGCAGTGATCCAGGCAGGCTTCCACACCCACCCCCCAGAGCAGCACACACGGCGCCCGACCATGGGTCACAGCCAGCGGCAGTGTGCGCAGCCTGTCCTCCTCCAAGGCTGAGCTGAGGAAACCTGACACAGAACAGGGATTTAAGCCATGGATTTGGGTGCCAGAGACTGGGAGAAGAGCTATTCCTGGGAATCACTCTGCCTACAGCAAAGACGGATTTAGAGCTTGATAAGTTAAGTCAAAGGACTGCTTTTTCTTGACAGCTCAGCCAATTCTTCCCTGATGTGTTGTACAGAAACCTCATCTCTTTTCAGCTCTGCTTGCTTCAGGGCTTCCTGGTAGATCTCTTTTGCTTGTGTATATCGTTCTAAAATAACCCAGAGAGAAGGCAGAATGAGAAGAAAACGGATGTCGCCAAGTGATCCTGAAGAGAAAGCACTCATGAAGACAGATACGGGTGTGTTTCCGGCGTGCTTACTAAGTCAAAGGCTGCAGCTACTTCATTGCATCTCCGTGGAGCATGCTGGCTTAGGGAGGCTGGGACCCGGCCCAGAAAGTCAAAGTCTAAGCCACTGAGAGCCGTGGCTTCTCCAGGATGCCCCGGGCCTGGCTCGGTGAGCCGAGGGTCTCACCATGAAGGTACATGTAGTAAGACGCTTGTCACCCCAGGTTTCTGAAAATTATAGTTGAGGTCCTGAGCATGCTGATACCCAGAAATCTCTGCCAAAGAGATATTCCCAGTAACACCAGCACACTGCGAGCAGCAAACCGCAGCTGTGGAAACAGGCACTGGAGGAATGAGGTACTGTGGGAGTTTTCTCTGATGTGGTTCACTAGGCTTGTACAACAGTCGAGGAGTGAGAGGAATCAAGCAAACAATACTTCACCCTAGCATTTTTTTCTGCACTTAACCAGCCTTCTAACTGTGGAGTTTCCTCATTGCCCCTCCCTTCCCCACACCTCAGACTTGTAACGCCAGTGGCACCCCTCTCTGAGCGCAGGGGTACCCACCTCTGTGCATGAGAACCGCAGCCAGATTGCTGAGCACCATGTGCAGCTCGGGGTGGTCGATCTGTCTCGCCAGCTCCGACGCCCTCTGCATGTGAACAAAGGCCTCATCAAAGCGGCCCTGTGCATCCAGGGTAGTAGCCAGGTCGCTCATCAGCACAACAGTCTGCAAATAAAACACAGACACGGATAGTTAAGATCTGTCTCCCAGCACTCCAGAAATGGCAGGGATGCCAGCCTTTAACTTGTGGGCCTTTATTATTCACAGTTGATAGTGGATAATATTAGTTTGACGCTCCGGGAAATGATACAGATCTAGAAATGGGTCTGCAGAGCTCTCCCGTACATCCTCTGTGCCTGTGACGGCTGCTTGGAGAACCGCAGGTAGCGTGCACAGGCGTCCAAGCACATGCCCAGGAGGAGGTGGGCATTGGTCTTCTCTTCCTCAGGATGTGACTAATCCAGCTAATTGTCAAATAAACACCACCTGAGAAATGACAGCAATCCCACTTAAAGTTCCACGACGTTGAGAAGCCTGCCCCACGTGGTCCGAGGGCCTTCAGGGCCGTACCTCATTCCTACTGCTAACCCCGGGCTCTTCAAAAAAGAGAAACACATCAGCTAGTTTAGAAAACTTTGGCTCCAAGACAGGGAGAACGGGAACCTGAAGTCCATGCTTGCCTCCTTACCCTCATGCTGCACTAGAGGGCCCTTCCGAATAAGGCTGACGTCCCTTTCCAGAGAAATCCACAGCTCAGATTCCCTTTTCTTACACATTCTCACCCTACCATCTACCCCAGCCTCGGAGACACGCTCAGCTCACTCCAAGTTTTGCTGTCTTGCTGGGGTTGCAAACACTCACAAAGAAATCCACTTCTAAGCCGCTAAGAACTTGCTTTACTAGAGGACGGACAAAATGCTTTCAGTTCAACCATGGTACTTTATGTTAAAAAAAACTTCTAAACCACCGATTGAAATTTAAGTCCCTCCTCCTTTCCTGTCATTCACTCCCTGCCATTTTAACTGCAGGGTGATGGAAGCAAAGGCGTTCACGTTTATTAAGCTGAGGAACCCCACTCTGAAATCCCGTGCTGTGTGCTCTGAAGCCATGCAGGCACGGGGCCTGGTTAGATCTGCCTCGTGGGAAAGCTGGTCTGCTGTGCAGATCCCGTAACTGAGCAGTAGTCTCGGAAGTACCACCACCGACTGTGTCCCCAGTGCGCACTCGCACCCTCGGTTCGGAAGCCTCTCTTCCTGTCCCTCTTCTAGGTCTCCCTCCCTTACCTGGGGGTGTCTTTCTCCTTGTATTTCCTCAGAGATCTGCAGAGCTCTCTCGTACATCCTCTGTGCCTGTGACGGCTGCTTGGAGAACAGCAGGTAGCGTGCACAGGCGTCCAAGCACATGCCCAGGAGGAGGTGGGTATTGGTCTTCTCTTCCGCTGAGAAGGAAAGAGCAGCCTGAGCCGTGACAGGCACTTTATAAAAGGCGAGGCAGGGAATCAGTCAACAGGTGCTCATCACTTCAGTCAGCAGAACCCACAGACATCGCAGCAGTATGGGACTTTCAGTGCGCCCCATCACTTAGTACTCTGTATATCAACACCCATCTACATGACAGTCCAGACTCGGAATCGTGGAGCTTCCCCCTTACATAGCAAACAGCCTGTGCATCAATTATAACGTTAAATATTTCCAGTTTGAAACTAACAGATGACAATAAGCCTAATTAAGAATGAGTTGGAGGCCAGCGCCGCAGCTCACTTGGCTGATCCTCCGCCTGCGGCACCGGCACCCCAGGTTCTAGTCCCATTTGGGGTGCCGGATTCTGTCCCTGGTTGTTCCAGTCCAGCTCTCTGCTGTGGCCTGAGAGGGCACTGGAGGATGGCCCAAGTGCTTGGGCCCTGCACCGCGTGGGAGACCGGGAGAAGCACCTGGCTCCTGTCTTTGGATCGGCGCAGTGCACAGGCCACAGCGGCCATTGGAGGGTGAACCAACAGAAGGAAGACCTTTCAATCTGTCTGTCCCACTAAATCTGCCTGTCAAAAAAAAAAAATCTGTCTCTCCCTCTTTATAACTTTGCTTTTCAAATAAATCAAAAAGAAAAAAGAATGAGTTGGGGCTGGCGCTGTGGTGAAGCAGGTAAAACCACTGCCTGCAGTGCTAGCATCCCATATGGACACCGGTTCGAGTCCTGGTTACTCTACATCTGATCCAGCTCTCTGCTGTGGCTGGGAGAGCAGAAGATGGCCCAAGTCCTTGGGCCACTGCACCCATGTGGGAGACCTGGAGGAGGCTTCTGGCTTCAGATCGGCGCAGCTCCAGCCATTGTGGCCATCTGGGGAGTGAACCAGCAGATGCACGATTTCTGTCTACCTCTGCCTCTCTGTAACTCCACCTTTCAAAATAAATCTTAAAACAAGCCAGTGAAGGCCTAAAATGCAAGGCCAAACACCGAATTTAAAGAATGGGTTGGAGCTGGTGTTGTGCTTAGTGGATAAAGCAGCCACCTGCAATGCTGCCATCCCATATGGGTGTCGGTTTGAGTTCTGGCTGCTCCATGTCTGATCCAGCTCCCTGCTAATGTGCCTGGGAAAGCAGCGGAGGAGAGCCCAGCTGCTGTGCTCCTGCTACCCATGTGGGAGACCTAGAGGCTCCTGGCTTGGGCTGGGGGCTGGGCCCACCCCTGGCCACTGAGGTCATCTAGGGAGTGAGCCAGCAGATGGAAGACCTCTCTCTCTGCCTCTCCTCCTTTCTAACTCTTTCAAATAAATAATTTATCCATCTTCAAAGGAAAATAATAAAGACTGGAGGGATTCTGCACTGTTAATACATTACTGAACTGACTACATAATGTCTGAAGAACAACTTTAAACACGTTATGCTACATAAATAAGACTAGAAACACAGAGCTAGGGAACAGGAACCAAAATGAGCTTGCACAAACAAGTAAATGCTTCTGAAAGATGATCTGAATCACACAAACAGTAATGGGCAAGATTAAATGGGAATTCTGCAAACAATTCGAGGGGAAGTAAAGAGCCTCTAGGTCTCCCACATGGGTAGCAGGAGCACAGCAGCTGGGCTCTCCTCCGCTGCTTTCCCAGGCACATTAGCAGGGAGCTGGATCAGACGTGGAGCAGCCAGAACTCAAACCGACACCCATATGGGATGGCAGCATTGCAGGTGGTCATTTCAGGCAAGGTTAGGTAACGAAAGCACCAAGTCCCTGGTTGTGTTGTCAACAAAGCCATCACTCATTCCTACCAAACCCTGTTCTTTCCAGGTCTTCTAAGTTTTTAAGAAATTTACAGATGCTATATAGAACTTTTTTTAAACTGTGACTAAACAGAATGAATAAAGTTTGTTTAAAGTTAAATTAGGATCAGCTTTAAATAAACTTCCTTACAGATTCACTTTCAAAGAAATACAACAAAGACTATAAATTTGAAACTTAATTTATGCATAAATATAACCCATATAAAATACAAAAACTAAAATGACATCAACTATCACATGTAAAGGTCATTTCTATAAAAAGAATATTAAAATACCTAACTATAAGCACACTTTTTAAAATGCTGAACAAAACCTTACAATCACATAGCAGTTTAATACTGGAAAAAAATGTAAAATAAATGGTTATATAATGAAGATAGGCTGAAGGACAATGAGAAGCAAATCTTTCTGCCCCTTCAAGTACAGCAAGTCCAAGAAGATAATTTGTGATGGATTTCAGACTTAGAATAGCACGTTCTCTGAGAACTTCTGAAGACAAAGAAGACTGTTCGCCACAACAGTAACATCCCAGAACAAAGCGTTCCCATCATTCTAATTCTGGATGGAAGCGGCTGAAACTTATTTCTGGGAATCTGTGCTAATTTTCTCCAGATGCTTCTGTGTTTCTGGAAATTATACTCTTTATATATTTCCAATTAGAGAACATGCCCAACACTATAACTTCAAAAGTACAAGAATAATTTCCCAGTTTTACCCGTTACCATAATGGCAAATAACAGAGGCCGAAGACACGGGAAGCATGAGGAACGAGGTACAAGTCTTACTGTAGTATCTGTTCATTAGGAAGTTTTTCAAAATGTATTTTAAATCACAGCACCTTCTGACCACAATAAACATGGAACTATCTTTTGAAAAACTTTCTAGAAATAGGACTAAAGGAGAAATAACACCACCACAGAACTTTGAGAAAACAAGTCTTCATAAAGAAAATCTTTAGAAATCAACAGTGAAAAAAAAAAAAAAAAAAAAAAAATCTAGCCTGCCGCTAATTTAAGAGAAAATTTCATAGATCTAATGAGGTGCCAGAGTTCCTTTCCTAATAATGACAAACATGGTTTTTTGAAATATTAACATAAAATTGTTAGAAATTATTTCTAAAAATCCACTTAGTAACAACTGAAATAAATTGGGGTCACTTATGCAAGAAGCATACTTATCAAATCTGAATCATTTTCATAAATTACTTCCAATAAACTAGGATCCATCACAGAAACTTCAGTCAGAGTCCGTGAACGTGAGGCGAGTGTGGCGGTGCGGCTGGTTGGTTAAGCCGCAGCTTGAGATGCCGGCACCACACACTGGAGGCCACTGCGCTTCGTGTGTCTCCTCCTCCAGGCAGCGCCTCTGCTGCTGACAGCTCCATCAGTATCTAGCAGCATGTCTGCCACATCAGCAGGTACTCACTATTTCCCCTGAAGGAATCTACAAATCATTTAAAATAGAAGGGTGCTGGGCGAAAATGGAATATAATGAAACTAAACAATTATCATTACAGAATTAACATTAGCATGGCGCGTGTCTATGAAAAATAGTAGACGTCAATACAAAGCAGCGAGAAAAGGCTGGACTATGCTGGGGGAGTACAGTGCATGCGTATTTTACAACTCTGGGTAAAGAGTAAATGTGGGGAGCTGGCGCTGTGGTGCAGCAGGTTAAGCTGCGTCCAGCAACGCTGGCGTCCCATGTGGATGCTGGCTCAAGTCCTGGCTCTCCACTTCCGATGCAGCTCTCTGCTAATGCACCTGGGAAGTCGGCAGAGGACGGCCCAACTCCCTGGGCCCCTGCACCCACATGAGAGACCAGGAAGAAGCTCTCGGCTCCTGGCTTTGGACAGGCCCAGGTCTGGCCATTGCAGCCATTTGGAGAGTGAGCCAGCAGATGTAAGACCTCTCTCTCTCCCTCCCTCTCTCTCTAACTGCCTTTCAAATAAATAAACCTTAAAAAAAAAAAAAAAAAAAGATGCTTGCATTTTTAAAAGTCATTAGGAAAAAGACAACCAGCTCCTCAGAAAATAAACAAAGGATATGAAGAGACAATTTTCAGAACAGAAAATCTGAATGGCTAATAAATAAGTGAAAATGTTCCATTTCACTAGTAAGGACAATCACATATTGAAGCCAGAATGAAACCTCTTTTCGTACTCATCCATCAGCAGCTATTCTAAGTGTAACAAGAAGAATGTACAGGGAGCAACAGGAATCCTAGACACGACTGGTGGAAACGTGGCCTGGGAAGAGCACTCTGCTCAGCAGTCCACTGATGCCCACTGTGTGCACCCGGCACATCCGCTCGCCTGTCCAGCACCGAGGGTCTCTTGCGTATGTGCCTGGAGATAGAGATCCGAGTGTCCAGTGAGTGTCTGAACAACCCTACATGTACAGCGGAGTGTGGCATCAGCCCTACTGTATACTGTTTACTGATATCTAAGAGTGCAATAAATAGGCAGGCATCAAGTTCTACATGGTTGTTAGGCAAAGGGAGTTAAAATACACAAAAATTTTTTTGAAGCAAATATGGTAAAATACTGAAATGCAACAAAGCTAAAGGGAAGGTAAACAGGTGTGAAATTCTTTTCGCCTTCCTTTTGCTTGACATCTCTAACAGAAGAAGAAAAGCATAGAGCTGACTTCTGAGGACAGTAAATCGGTAATGTGGAATACAAGCTGAAAAAATTCCCAAGATACAGACCGGAAAACCGAGCGAAGGGAGGACGAGTGTGAGAGAGAGAAGCAACTACTCAGGCGAATGGCAGTCCCGAGCGGGCAGAAGCAGGGTCCACGCGCAAGGACGGGCTGCACAGGCTCGCAGGGCCAGGCCGCTCCGGGAGCCCTCCCTGGCAGCACGCTGGCACAGCTTCTGAGTCCTACAAAGCACACACATGGAAGAGAACAGGCCACTCACCAAACAAGACAAACTGGCTTCAGAATTCTCTACAAGAAAGTCATCTAAAATTACAGCTCAGAGATTTAAAAAAAAAAAGAAAAAAAAAGTTGGGGAATTAGAATGGTCGGTGAATGTCCTGCAGAGGAAACTGAAAATGGAAATTATTTTCCTCTAAAGAAGTAAATCTGTTTTGAAATTTTTTTAAAAAAAGAACCATTAAATATATTTGTTTGAAAGAGAGACAGTGAGTGAGCGAGCTGGTGAGCGAGCACCTATCCACCACCTATCCACCGATTTAATCCCCAAATGTCCACGACAGCCAGGGCTGGGCCAGGCTGAAACCAGGCGCTGGGAATTCAATCCAGGGACCCAACTACTGTAGCTCTCACTGCTGCCTCCCAGCGTGTGCAGGAGCAGGAAGCTGGAATGCAGAGCAGAGGTGGGACTCGAACCCAGGTACTCTAGGATCCGGGGTTCAGGCACCCCAGAAGGCACCCACTGCCGCACCAATGCCTGCCCCCTGAGGAAATGATTCCTAGATGAGCGCATGCCTTCCCTCCAGAGTATCAGTGGAGGCTGCGGAGGGAAACATCCCTCTAGCAGGGACTGAAAACAAAGGAAGCAGCAAACATAAGCACACTTTCACATGCAAAAATCACAACAGCTGTCATTGAGTTTAAAAAGTCTTAAAATTCTTTACCAGGAGACAATGAATTTAACTCAGGTTTGTAAAAAAAAAAAAAAAAAAAAAAATCCAACCAGAGCCTTCTACAAAAGGCACACTGAAAAACAACTCAAGAGTTTAAGATTACCATACGTAGGTAATGTGAAACCAACATTTGTGACAAACACCTTAAAGAGGAAACAAAATCACTTCCTGATGAATGGACAGCGCGCAGTAAAGATACCTTTCTGGGCTGTAAACAGAGCACAGGCGTTCATATAAAGGTAAACCAAAAAGTCCTGCGTACAAGGACGGGACAAAGCCAGCAGGGCTGCAGATGACGGAACAATGCTGTCGCCCCGCCCGACCTGGCAGGCACATCCAGAGCACACCCGCAGCACTCTCCAGGGTGAATCACGCAAGGCCACAAAACCCCTCAAAACATCTCAAAGGACTGGAATCACACAAAGTAGGTTCTGCAACCACAATGGGATGAAATCTGAAATCAACAGCAGAAGGAAATTTGGGAAATTCACAAATACTTGGAGGTTACTCAGCACAGTTAAATGCACAAAGGGCCAAAGAAGAAAAATTGGAAAATACGTTGAGATGCACAAAATGGAAAGATAACAGATCAAAACTAACGTGACGCAGCTAAAGCTTCTAGGTGTGGATGCCACGCTAGAAGAGAAGGAAATCTCATTAACCTCATCTTCCTCCTAAGAAACTGGAGAAATGAGCACAATACACTCAAAGCACGCAGGGAAGATGCACCAAGGTTAGAGCGGAAGTAAAACAGAAACAACAGAGCAGATGAACGCAGCCGGCACTTCAAAAATACTGGCGCAGCAGGGAAAGCTGCCTGCAAGGCCGGGCATCCCAAATGGGCACTGGTGCAGTCCCAGCTGCTCCACTGCCCACCCAGCTCCCTGCTAATGCACCTGGGAAAGCAGCGGAGGATGGCCCCAGTGCTTGGACTCCTGCACCCCTGTCCTGCACCCGGAAGAAGCTCTTGGCTTTGGTCCGGCACAGTCCTGGCCGTTGTGGCCATTTGCGGAATTAATCAGTGGATGCAAGGTCTCTGTCTGTCCCTGTCTCTCTGTAACTCTGCCTAATGATAAATCTTAAAAGAAAATATCCAGAAAACAAAGAGCTATTGTGAACAGTAAGGAAGATCCTTCATAAACTAAGAGGTGAACTTAATACAGAAGCCCAACCATTTAATAAACTGGGTTAAGAAACACATCACAACCTACAAACTCTTACAAAGCACTGAGTACCAGTCACGGGGCAGTGCATTTAATTCTCTGAACAACTCTATGAGGAAGGCTCTACTATTCTCATTTGACGAATGAGCAAACTGACAACAGAGAAGCGAAATCACCTATCCATAGCAGACTGGTGCTACGTAGCAGAACCAGAATTCGAACTCGGGCTCTGATTTCAAGTACTCATAAAACCAAATATTAATATTATGCTTCAACTGTCCAGAGTTTTATTTGGAATATTAAAATGGATGAAATTTTCAAGGGAAGCAGGGTGGAATCAATATGAAAAACCTTCTACTAATTTGAACACAGTATGTAAATCCAAGACATCACAGACTAGAAAAACATGTCTTAGACACACAAGACAGTATCGTACATTGTGCTTTAAAAGTACAATTCCTCTTGCGGCGCCGGCACACCGGGTTCTAGTCCCGGTTGGGGAGCCGGATTCTGTCCCGGTTGCCCCTCTTCCAGGCCAGCTCTCTGCTGTGGCCAGGGAGTGCAGTGGAGGATGGCCCAGGTGCTTGGGCCCTGCACCCCATGGGAGACCAGGAAAAGCACCTGGATCCTGGCTCCTGCCATCGGATCAGCGCGGTGCGCCGGCTGCAGCGGCGGCCATTGGAGGGTGAACCAACGGCAAAGGAAGACCTTTCTCTCTCTGTCTCTCTCTCTCACTGTCCACTCTGCCTGTCAAAAAAAAAAAAAAAAAAAAAAAAAGTACAATTCCTCCAGAAAGTTTCTTCTTGGAAAATAGTGGAAGTTCCTTTACCCATAAATATTCATGCAGCACATACCTATACTGCTTGCTGTGCACCCAGCACTGTCCTAGATCCTAGGGTTTAATCAAGAAAATCAAAGAACCTTCAATATCTGAGGAATCAAGAACCAAGAGAAAAGCTGCCAGAGAATGAACTCAAGGAGACCTGGCCGCCAGTGCTCCCTGCAGAGTCTACCACGCCCAAGCAGCAGGTCACGCCCACGCAACGTCCTACACCTAACTCGGAACCCAAATACAGGGAGCATCCCGACTCACTCGATCACATTCGTACAATCCTTCAACAACAAATAAATACAAGAAAAAAGCCACAGCTCTCATGTAAGAAAAAACTACAGGGGTGGACATTTAGCCTCGCCGCTGGCTAGATGCCAGTTACGACGCCTGTATCCCACATCCGAGTGCCCGGTTTTCCTGTTCAGCTCCACTCCTGACTTCAGCTTCCTGCCAAGTCAGTGCCTGGGCATGGGCTGGCGCTGTGGCGCAGCCGGTAAAGCCGTGGCCTGCGACACCAGCATCCCATATGGGCACTGGTTCCTGTCCTGGCTGCTCCACTCCCCATTCGGCTCCCTGCTAATCATCTGAGAAAAGCAGCAGAGGAGTGGCCCAAGTGTGTGGGACCCCACTACCTGTGTGGGAGACCCAGGGGAAACTCCTGGCTATTGCCTGGCTCAGCTGGGGCCATTGTGGCCATCTGGGCAGTAAACCAGTGGATGTCACTCCCTCTCTAACTTTTTCAAATAAATACATAAATCTTAAAACACACACACACACAGCCCGGGAAGCAGCAGTGAAGCAGTGATGACCCAAGTAGTTGGGTTCTTGCTACCCACGGGGGAGACCTGGATTGAGTTCCTGGCTCCTGACTTTGGACCCCAGCCCCAGCTGTTGCAGGCATTTGGGGAGTGAACTAACAGATGGGAGCTCTCTCTGTGTCTGCCTCTCAGAAAAATAATTTTTAAAAACTAAAATTCAGTATCAAATACTGTAAGTTCAGCTGCCACCTGCGACACCTGTATGAGTCTCAGCTGCTCTCCTGCAGATCCAGCTCCCTGCTACTGCACCTGGCAAAGCAGTCTGGGTGCTTGGGACCCTGCCATCCTCGTGGAGACCCGGATGGCGTTCCAGGCTCTTGGCTTTGACCTGCCCATTCCCAACCGTTCCAGCCGTCTGGGAAGTGAAACAGCAGATGGAACACTGCTTTCTCGCTCTTTAACTCTGTCTTTCAAATAAGTAAATAAATCTTCCAAAAAAAGTACTATCCAGAGGTATAACCTACAAGCATGCCTAGTTTGCTCTTAACAAATATAATACTAAATTACTTACATACTTGGTGCCAAGTCAGATTTAAGTTGTCTGTCACCACCATTATTGCATGTTGTTCTGAAGTCACAGCAAAGGAACTAAACTTAATAAAATGGATACGGAGTCCAGAGAATAACTATCAGAAAGGAAACAGTGTCGCGATTTCCCAAATGTAATGAAGACAGTGTATGTATCAAGTGAGAAGCTAACAGTCCAATAAAATGGCCAGGCAGAATGGAATTTAATGACCCAGCTGTCACATCTGTATGACGTACACTGGAAGCAGGAGCCCCACAGGCGCCCAGTGGGAGGACACAGTATTTCAGAGTTCACCCTCTGCTGACGGAAAGCTGTTTCGGCCCGTGTCCCTCACATCACTCAAGCCTCTAGAGGGGACTCCTGTCCTCAGCAAGGGGTCCTATCAAGGACTTGCCAAGGACTCAAACAGCACGATTCAATTCCAGCCAAATAAAAAGGGAAGGACGAAGCTACCAGGGGCCTTGAGGAAGGAGGACCGTTATCCTGGAAAAACATCTCCTTTGGTGTGGGCCTGTGGCACAGCAGGGTAAGTCTCGACATGGTGCTCACATGGCACGCCAGAGAGCCATGGCTTCAATCCCCACGCAGCTCCCTGTCACACACCTGGGAGGCAGCAGGCGGCGGCTCCGGCTCCGTACGTGGGCCCCTGGCACCCACAGCGGGGACCAGAATGCAGTTCTAGGCTCCTGGCTTCGACCCGCCCAGCCCTGCCATTGAGGGCACTTGGGGAGTGAATCAGCAGATGGAAAATCCCTGTCTCTCTGCCTTTCAAATAAAAAATGGAAATAAAAAATGTTTACATCTCTGGATGAGACTGCTGGGAATTGCTACGGTCACTTTTCAACCTCAAGGGGATCCTGAGGAGAGAGCCAACATACTGAGGGGACAGTGGGAGTGATGGAAAGAACCTGACCCTCAAGATGGTGCTG